TTTTACTTTAATAAGTAAAAAAAACATATAAGTTAGCTTTAAATAAGCTAGTTTTATCTCTTTTAACCTAAAAGTAGTTATTTCTTGCCTAGATTTTAAGCTAAAGACATTAACACTATTTAACTTATGCCTAAGTAGCTAAGGCTCTTAGGACCTAAAGACATTAATTATAGCATATAATACTATATAAAGCTTTATATTACTTAAAAAAAGAATTACTAGTTATTAATATAGCTTATTAACTTATTTATATAAAATAGTTAACTTATAAACTAAAAGTATTAGTAAGTTAATATATAAACTAGCTTTTATTAAAGCTAAATACTATAGGCTTTATATAATAAATAAGATACTAAGTAAACGTTAAAGGGCTAAAAAAACCTAACTATGTCTTAGAGGGTCTCTTAATACAGCTAAAGTAGAGGTAATATAGGTAAAAAAGGGTATTATTAATGCTAAAGGCGAAAATATGCGTTAAGAGGGAGCTTATATAGAGGGGAGTGAATTGTATAGTTAGTAATATAGTAATTGCGGAAAAACTAGATATAACATATAAACATGTCAGGTAGTTTAGGAGACCTCTGAAAAAGAGGATAATAAGTAGTTTCAATTGATTTTGTATAATGCTACTGAATTAACTTATAATAATAGTAGGAAGGTAGAGAAAGGTGATCTGCTCACTATGTTGATCCGCTCACTATGCATGTACGTTATGCCCTAAATCGGTACCGTCTTTTTGTTCCTAATATCTTGGATGGGCCCGAAAAAGCCCCTTGGGCAATGCCTAGCAGCACTGTTTCCATGTTCAGTGAATTCTTATAGAAACTTTCCTTGTTTCGTCCGAATTATAGATCGGTCCAATCATTGCGAAACACGGAATAGACACGGGATGACTCGGGCAGCCTTGGCTCAACCTCAGGGGTCGCAGAAGATTACAGATTCTCAGATTAATATGGATTTCTATTCCGAAAGTGCATTAATCTTTGCCAAGCGACTGCAACGCAGGTTAAATTGGCCGTCGTAGCGTTACTATGACTGTGTTAAAGGTTATTGTAATGGCTGTCAGTTTCTGGCTGAATATATGCAGCCACTACGGTTTGTGACTGACAAATCTGTATCAACTTAACTACACTTATAATCGCAAGCCTCGTTCCAGACCATTGATTAATTTTCTTGCAATGCGCCCGGGCTGTCCCGTTCGACCTCTTTCCGACGCCCTCCTCGAAGCTGCATCGCTCTGTCCACCAGTCGAGCCACGTTTCTGCCCTAGCGCCCTCCTCCGTCCGGAGTAATCCGACACTGACATCGATGACATCCGGCCGCCAAATGTCATGCCAGAAAACTGTCGCGCCACACTTTCCGCAGAAGTTGCGCAGCACACCCGGCGACGACTCGTAGGTCTGAAGGATACCGGCAGGTAATTTTGAGAAGTCGAGTGAGAGGACGGCGGGCTGTCCATTGGGACCAGGTACGTGGAAGAAGATGTTTTTGCGGGGAATGAATGCCCAAACCTGGATTTCGAATCCCGAGGCGAGTCGGCAAGAGCGGCACGCACACGTTCCAGCGAGATATTTCGTGCCGTCTGCTCGGATCCACCATTTTCGCTTGTCCGGGTTCTTCATAAAACTTTCGGAGTGCTTGCAGGCGGCGTACTGCAAGTCAGGAAAGCCGGAGTGTGGAAGATAGCTTCGCTCGTTGGGGCGAGTGATATGGAAGCTCACAGTGCCGCAAGCACAGGATGCCGGCAGCGTGTTTGTCGGGACGAGTGCCGACAATCGAGGCAACGCTGGGTTAGCTTTTCAGTCCACTGACGAGTTAAGAAGCTCAGTCGCGTCCAGCATGCGCCCATCAACTTGAGGTAGCCATATGGAGATACCGCCGTCCTTTGTGTCTGAGACTGATGTGTGTCTCGTGTACTGCGCATCGCTATCAGTGTTGTCGCCGGTGCTGTCGATCAAGACCCCAGTCGCTGCATCCCACTCTGTCCGGCATCCTGCTACCTTTCGTCGAAAGACATGACATCCACAGTTGCAACAGAAGTATCTCGTGGACCCATCGGGGCCAACATATTCCGCAGTGCACCCGGAGAAGTGAGGTTCCTCAATGGGATAGTACGAGGCGCACAGAATGCCCGTAGCGTGCCTGTCAGTGTCACTGTGGCTCAAGGATAACTCAGTGATCCCGGAATCGGAGCCGCGAGATTTGACTTGCTGGGCGACAGCGCCACAAAGCCAAGAAATGGCCATTAATATCGGCATTGCGATGTGAATCCGGCGGGTTTATAGATGGCGGGCTGGAGTTGACAGAATCCTGTATTTAAACTTCATCATCCACGATTACCATTTGAGATGCGAGTTGCACCTCAACAGACTAATAGTACTGACATTCCCCCGCACCGGCTCAGGCTCCAAGTGAGCAGTCCGGCTAATCGGATGCCGAATCATAGCCCCAAAGGTGGAGAATCTCCCGAAGTTTCGGCGAGCACTCACTTCGTACTGGCCGGCCGGAACTCGCTCCGCATTCCCGTTCAGTGAGACCAATGTCTGGAGGATCGGGCAGAACATCCAATGGAGGTCGTACTGAGAGTGGCAAGAATCTGCATATGAAGCCGTTTGTGGACGCTGTATCATACACATCGCGAAATGCCGTTTCAACTTATTTCGCGGGGCTTATCGTGGTGTGACAGGAAATTTTCGTTTAAGGTTAAACAGACGTCCATGTGCGTGTATTTGTGTGTCCTGGTCCCATCCCATCCATGCATGGGCAAAGTTGGAGGGAGACTTTGATCCCGTTTCAGTTGCTGGTCAATGTAAAATGAACCTAATGTGATGATGATTATTGCTCGGCCCAGAAACAATGCTGGCACTGTACTTGTGCGGACGGAGAGCAATCGAGGGCAATTACTGGTAGACAGCCAATCGTCTGTGTGTTCCCATCCCAGCCCAAATCAGTTGTGTTTCTATTTAGGTCGACTAGTGTCTGGAACCTTTTGAGCTTTCAAGCCCCACTTCGTTTGCTTGGTCGACATACGAACCAAAATGGGAACACCTACTTGAAGATCTCTAAGCCCAGCAACGTTGCTCATGGTTCTAACATAGCACCAAAATTCAGTTGAGTTTATGCAAGTGTACTCAGGTAATCGATCTGGAGAAAAAATTTCGTATTGATGATAATCTTGAGACCAATGTGTTCACCTCGCAGCACGAAGAACGCTGATGTTTGTTGTTTAGGGTTTTACGTTTCAATAACCTCTGACGAAGTTTTTGAAATCCAAGACATGTGTCGAGGCACCCTTACACAGAGCAAAACCTAGCGTCTGATAGTGGGCCAGCCGCATAACACGTCAAAAAGTCATGTGGACGGAGAGCTGTCTTGTTGTTTTGACTCACTGCCTTACTTCTGTGTATCTTTCTTCAACAAGGAAACCTATCGTTCTACCTAAACCAATTCTACGGTAATTGATATGTAATAAGCAATGGCTATTGATGATCAAAGTTTCCAAAAGATTTCAATTATCCGTTGGTCTCTGCCCCTTGACTGCTCATCCCAAAGTAATATTTTTTCATGAATTGATTTGCTTTTTGTTCTCCTCAGCACCAGTCCATCGTTTTGCCTGTCAAACAATTCCGGCTGCAGTCATGATCGAGACGAAACCAAAGATTGTCTTGGGTGTTATTACACTCTTTCGTTTTGGAATCCGACAGGCCAAACCCACACTGTTCCTGACCTTACAACCTCGAACGGCTGATTCACATGGATAGGACAATCAATGGTAACATACCAGTACTAATTCCAGGTCTGTACGTGCTTGATCAGCTTTCTTGCAGCATAATTCGGAGCACAGTTGCAGAGTAACATACTTGCGGGCCGAAGACGCATACGAAGCACGCCAGGACGACTCATAGAAATTTCAAACCCTTTTTTTCTACTGGCTACAATGAATGAACATTCGATTCGTCAATATTGAATCACAACCAGTAAAGCTCTTCTAATTTCAATAAACGGGACCAAATCTATTGCCCAGACTCAGTTGGAAATACGCTATGACAGCTTGTAGCGCTCTAAACTACCTCTGTGTTTGGTCAAGGATGTGACTGCTGAGGCAACCCACATTCTGACTAATTGCACTAGTGCTGGCCCGCATTACCTGTCTCAAGGGTATCAAACAGCCTACCTGGCTCACTTCTATGGCCAACTTGCGCCTCATACGTGGTATGTAAACCTGAAGAAGTGTCGATCAGATTCTCCTCCTCATGCGGAGAGGGAAACATGCCCCATGGGATGGCCCGATAATACCCGCTCGAGCTAGAAGGGTGTTCATGCAAGCTTATCGCGACTTCGTTGTCTACGATAATTAGGCGCATGCTCCATTCCTCACCTCGAGCTGATGGCGACTAGTTGGAACCAGGTCTTGTCAAAGCATTAGCTGACCTGCCAAGAATTGTTGTTTTATTTCAATTCCTTTTCCCGACTGCTTCATCGGCTTCTGTCTGTCAACGAATCCCTCTTCCACTTTATAATCCGGTTCACTGATCGGCGATGGCTAGGGACTTTTGACGAACCATCACAACAATAAGCCGGGTTTGTGGGGCCAGTTACCTGAAAAGGGCAACTTTGGAGGAGTTGCACCATCGGCGAGACGATGACGTGCTTGGCCGAATAATAAAAATTCTCGAATCTATCCTTGATACGTCGGCTCAGAGTGGAGGCGATGGTCCCTTATCGGATATGCGTGGATTCCGTCAATGAAAAGTTTTAGGATTTACACCTCGCGTATGGATTTGCCCAGCCATGAGTGTTTGAACATCGTTGATGGTGTGCTCGAACGATGGGGCCCATGATGCTATTTTTGCGATTGATAAGAATGTAGCCTTTGCCCTGCACATATCTGGACTGCATCTACATCTGCATTTGCGTCTGCAACCGACGGAAACTTCTTGATACTGCATAGTGTTAGTTCTAATAAGTCGATCTGAGGAGTCCGCGTTTCGATGAATATCATGGCTGATATCGACAAAAAAGGCCCGACGGGGTTACATCCGACTGAGGATACCCTTGGCTCAGACAAGAAACCAACATCAGTCACGTCGGCTACAGCTCCGACGGATGTAAAGTCACCAGACCATGCCACAAGAAATCAGCCAAAGACCGGCGCCGACGCTGCCCTCGAACTGCTCAATGAGACCGGATGTCTGGACCGAACGATCGATCCGGAGCTCAAACAAAGACTCAAGCGCCGTATCGACACCCATATCATGCCTCTGATCTGCATCGTCTACTTCTTGCAGTACATCGATAAGACGGCTATTTCCTACGCCAGTGTGACCGGCATCCAAAAATCCACCGGCCTTCACGGCAACCAGTTCAACTGGGTTGCGTCTATCTTCTTCTTTGGCCAGCTCGCATTCGAGTTTCCCACCATCCGCCTCATCCAGATGTTCCCTCTGGCTAAGTATACCTCAGTTAACGTCACCCTGTGGGGCATTGTCTTGGCTTGTCTTGCGGCATGCAAGAATTATTCTAGTCTTCTCGTCTGCCGGTTTCTTCTCGGCGTCTTCGAGGCTGCGGTTGTCCCAGCCTGGGTTCTCTTTACCTCGCAGTGGTACACCAAGCAAGAGCAGGCCTTCCGTGTCGGCATCTGGTTTTCGGTATGCGGCGCAGCTCAGATGTTTGGCGGTTTCTTCGCATACGGCGTTGCAGTCCACGTTGGAAAAGACCCCAATGCCGCTCTCCGCGGGTGGCAGGTCATCTTCCTGTTTCTCGGCCTCCTAACAGCTGTCGTCGGAATCGCCTTTTGGTTCATCATGCCAGACTCGCCCGCTTCCGCCAAGTTTCTATCACAGGAAGAAAAGGCAACCCATCTGGAGCGCATCCGCGACAACGAGCAAGGTATTGGCTCGCAGCAGTTCAAGTGGTATCACGTCAAGGAGGCTCTGCTAGACACGATGACCTGGCTGTACGCCTTCTGGATTTTCGCGGCGAATATCCCCAACTCCACGGCGACTAGTTTCGGCAACATTCTCGTCAAGGGCATGGGCTACACGAGTGAAGAGTCGTTACTACTTGTGACCCCACTCGGCGCATATGAGATTGTCGCATTGGTCAGTCTGACGTGGTTGGCGATGAAGACAAGACAGCGGCTTTACTGGTGCATCGCCGGGCACATCCCTGCCATCATCGGAGCAATCCTGATGGCGACGACATCAAAGGTACCCGCCTTGATCGGATACTACACTTCAGGCGGTATCCCGATCGGATGGACGACAATTCTGGGTCTCCAGAGTTCCAACGTTGCCGGTTCCACCAAAAAGATCACCGTTGCATGCATTGGCACCATCGCATATACCGTTGGTAATATCATCTCGCCCCAGACTTTTCAAGCCCGAGATGCGCCGAGATATCTGCCTGCCAAGATCTCGATTTGCATCATCTATTTCTTGGTTACAGTGGATCTTTTTGTGATGCGTTGGGTGCTGGATAGAAGGAATAAGAAGCGTGATGCTGAGAAGGCTGCGCTTGGGGACACCTACAAGGTGGAAGAGAATCACGAGTTCTGGGATCTTACGGATCTTGAAAATAAGGAGTTTCGGTATGAGCTCTGATAAAAGGAGGTCAGAGATTCATTCTTACGCAATTGACTCCTAAACCATGTTGTTGGACAACGTCAAAGTAATTACCTTTCCACCACTCGTGTTTCAAATATAGGTCATTGTCGGAATAGCTCGCGCGCTGCTGGAGGCACACGATAATAGGGGTTGACCGTCACTGTATTTGTTGCCGATGATGTTCTAAGTCCTAGATATCTGGCAGATCTGGCCCTTATATAGGCTGGATTCTGCTGACTAATGTACAGGTGGCATTACCGCTTGGATGCGTACGAATGCGTGCGAATCTCTATTCCAACAGTCATCTTTTTTTCTGACCTTGTTAATCGTCTGCATCTTGGTGCCCAGCTGTTTCCCACCTGCTGGCTCTACTCTTCACGTGATCGAGAGCTGGTCTTTGGATGGATGTCCATATGGTTCCCATCGCTCTCTTCTGCTATCTGCTTCTGCAAGCCTCAAGAACATTTCAGTGGATGTGTGCTATACTACTTCCCAGCTTTCGTGGCCATAAATCTGTCTGTCCACATATTGAACCTTCCAGTTTAAGCCAAAGTCGATATTCTGGATGTTGAGGCAGTCCAATCTTTTGGTTGTTGAAATGACACCTCAGGGTCATTGTCAGCCGTTTGGGATCTCTCATGGTGGACCCAGATGTTACTGCGTCACACCATGAATGCATACCGCACAGATAGCATCTCGGGTCGTAAGCACTTGAGCATACAACCCTATCGTAACTGCGTCACACATGTTGGCCACAAGGCAGGACTGTTCCGTCCTGTGCAAGATTTATCAAAGGCTTATTAGTAGACGCGCTGCTTCGCGCCCTTTTTCTTGTATTCAGGGTGTCATAGTTGCGAACGTGGTGTTATCCGTGATCGTTTTCGTTTTGGCCTGTGGGATATCGTCCAAGAGACTGCAATCGCAGTACTTCATTTTCGTAAAAGCGAGAAGCTTTTGTAGAACCGCAAATTCCACTTTCAACTTGATGCTGTATACTATGGCTTTGCTCGTCGTCTGGAAAACGAAAAGTCCCATGTACTCGAGGATGACGAGGCCGGTGTCGAGGAGGAAGACGAGCATGAACATGCTAACGAGGTAGCTCAACAGACTTCGTGCTTCCCTAGCTTTGAACTCGAAAAGACTCTTGAAGTTTCGAAATCCTGCCCTGACGAAAATACCGGTTATGATGGTCTCCTGTACGGTGAATACCATCAAGGAGACTTTTTCGAATATCCTGAAGCGCTCAGTCCATACTGGGTCGTCGCTAGTCCATAACCCAGCGAAGAGGACTGTTTGTGGGATATGGACGAAGATGAAGGACGCACAGATCATTGCCAGAACGAGTCGAATTGTGATGCGATTGTAGACTACGAGGTGTAGCCGCGACCACAAGACAACAGACTGGCCGGTCACCATGCAGTACCAGCCTATGTGGGCAAAGGCTCCAGGTATTGGTGTTCGCGTCGGTTGCAAGAATCGACCTAAACTGCCGCAAGCGTGAAGCAGGATACCAGTGTTTGCTACCAGCATACTCCAGAAATACCGCCCCCACCGTCGTTGGAACGTCGTGAAAATGAGGACGTAAATCTCGAGGACATTGTACATGCCGGCCGTTGCTAAGCATGTGATCGCGATTGCTTCAGCATCCGACAAGTCTTGACCTATTGCCCCCTGGACCTGCGCCATTGCTCAAGGCGAGGTGGCCAGCGTGACCGGCTGCTTCGTATGAAGTCGTAACTCGATGTGGTGTTGTTTGCTCTGCTCCCCCAACTGCGATCTTGAGCAACGTTTGTGCTCTTCATTCGATCCCAATTGAATGGTAGATTTATTGAGCGGGGCCGCAAAGTGGATGGCAGGATCACGGTGGTTTTCATAGGTTTCAAAGGACGCCATCATTACCTAGCTCCGCCAGGCCTAAGACTTGGGACTACAACAAGGTTCGTCCAATCGAGTCCTTGAAACGTTCTCCTGTTTAGTCACCAGCAGCACAAGGCAAGTTTAGGAGCGTACTCTCGGACTTTGGGTGCTCTCAGCTCACCCAGCTGTCTGTGCTAAGCGCCACTTATACCAGGCGGGGACCAAGCGGAAGGGATTACCCTAACGCACAGTCTCTTGCTGCTGCGATGATGCTTCAGTTTTGCCGGTTTGGTCACAGAGTTTGACGGTCTGACTTCTACGCTAACAGATATTTCTGCTTGATGTATCGGATAGGTCTGTCAAACCTCGGTTGGTAACAAAGGCGCCATACATCGGTTTCTATGTTGAACACGCCGCAAAGTAGGTAACACTCGTAGTGAGGTCGGAAGATGTGGACATAATGCACGGAATTTCAGTACGGTGGTTCTGGGCATCATTGAGCCGGCCTGGTGATTTTCATGCGAACAAAAGCCTTTCGATGGGATGACCCAAAGTAATCTGGCCACATCGACAGGCACGTGGCATTGATGATCTCTTCTAGACTTCTTCGTTTTGCGCCTTTTCGTCCTCTTTTGAGGCAATGATGACCACAACATAGACCGCAGCGGCAGAGAAGAAGACAAATAATGCAGTGATTGTACTGAACCAACCCACTCCAATGCTCTCTATGGCCGGTAAACACACGGCAGTACCTACAGCTGCGATGGCATACCGAAAGAAGTAGTTTCCGGCTATGTAGAGATTGTGTCAGTCACTGCAACGGTAAACTTTGCGGAGATCCGAACACCTACATATTACTTCTGCGCTGCGTCCTTTGAGTACATCCAGGCAGTACGTGTTTATGCTAGGAAAAGCGATAACTTGGGCGAATCCCTGAACAAACATGCAGATTATGGGAAGCGGAATACCTCCTTTTTTCTTTTCGATGGCCCAGCCGTAAATAATGATGCAGACTGGAATCACGGCTCCCATAGCCACAAAAGAGCTGCGAAGACGGTCTTCAGGTATGCGCTTGCCCCTCCGCTTGATCCAAAGTTTGACAGTACGATCCGCCCACCGGCCCCCAGCATATGTACCGAAGAAGAAGCCACATCCCGGGGCGAGGAAGAATAGGCCCGATTGGAGCGGTGACGTGAGGTTAAACCTGGGGTTGATAACATATCGGATAGGGGTCAACAGGGCCTGCATGTTCCACACCAAAGCCGCAGCTGCAATTCCCTGTATTCGCACGGTTAGCCTCCAAGCAGAACTAATGATAATGATATAGTGGTAGGCTCACCGCCACAAGTAGCTTCGGAATCAGCAACAGGGCAAGTACGCGGAAAGGATTCGCCCATTGCCACACCTGCGCAACTTTGGCTCTGAAATTTAGACCTTTCAATTCGTCTGCTCGTCTTCGATGGCTTGTTTCTGGCAGAAATGATACTGCAAGAATTGCAGTGAGTCCACCGAGGGCCGACTGAAACCAGAACAGTGTCCGCCAATTGTGGAAGGTGACGATGACGCCGCCTATAAAGGGTCCGAAAGATTGCCCTATTAAAGTGCCATTGAGAAACCATGCCAAGGCGGTCCCTCGTTCAGTTGGTTTATAGATGTCACTGATGCAACTGGAACCAAGGACGAGATAAGCCGATCCGGTGAAGGCTGATAACAGTCGGAAGACGAAGAACGCCGCAAGGTTTGGGGATAGTGCAGTGCCCACACAAAAAGCAAGGAAGGTAGAAGCTGAAATAATACATGGCTAGCAGGGATCAGGTAAGTGAAAATTGCTAACTTAGGGTAAATGTGCTTTAACATACCCATTTGCGACCGTAAACTTGGCTTATGGGACCCCAGAAGAGAGTGCTGATACCCATGAAAAGAATGTAAACGGCATTGCTGACGTTAATAATGCTGCCCGTAGTATTCAGATCTGCTGCAATCTCAGGTATGGCGGCTAAGAGCAGCAGCGAAGATATAGTTGAGGCAACACCGCCACACGCCACAACGGCGGTAACGAGTCGTTTCCGGGATGGTTTGAACTTGCTGTAGATGGCGTCGGTGTCATGACGGCTTAGACCCGCATCATCATCGACTGCAGGCAGAATGCTAATATTCTTCTCGGCATTGGACGTCGTCAATGCCAAGTCTGGAGAACTGGGGCGGCCTCCACCGATCGGTTCGGGCTTCTCACTCTGTTCCCAGGACATAATGGATTCTTGCCTTTTTGGGACAGAAGGCTAAATAGCTCGGTTCAATCATGTGGGGAACGGGCAGTAAGAGCTGCAAGAAGAGTTGGTCAGTCTCTTCATGCTAGCGAACAAAACATTTGGGGGGGCGAGTCGAGTTTTTCACCATTTGATTGACTAGATTTTCGGCAAGAAGCCACGGTTGGCCGACGGCATTTCTTCATATCCCCCCATCAGAAACGCCCAGGATGTTCCTCTTGAGCTTACTTATCCGAAGTCGGTGACTGGCCCAAAGATCAACATCCAGAGTAGTCCACCAATCCCCACAGTCCTTGGCTCTTGATTTGCCTAACACAGAAGCTGGGATTGCCGGCTGAGTGGAATTCCCCGCAATTGTGAATTGGTCTCTGTGAAACTTACGACTGAGTTCTTGCTTCGGACATCTTCCGAGGACTCGGTATGGCCAACTGAGGGGGGATGGTGATGCAATCATACACGGCTCGGCAGGGGTTCGTAGATCGCGGCGCCCCCAGTGCTCCGAGATCGGCCGGGTCCGAAACAAGACCCGCTCGGTCTCCGACAGTCAGAAGCCGAGATCGGTAACTATGAGGGTCGCCGGCTTGGCACTTTGCCGGGCTTGGTCCCGATCGCCCGGGACATCTGACACCAATACAGATTGTTAGGCCGGTGTCTGCTGGACTTATAAGGCTATTTGGTTAACACAAATGGTTGGCGGAAAAGAACGCATCCGGCTCCTCTAAAAGGTCCAAAGAAACCCAATAAAAGAGGTAGGTACGTCCAATCGTTGAACAGGCTTAGACATGTTCAATTATATGTTAAAAAGTCTTGAACCCGGCGATATTGACATATCGAGAATCCTATGTGCATTATCACGTTTTGATTGGACTGATCTTTTTTGGCGGCTCAAACGTGGGTGTGCTGAGCACTTTTCAATATCAGTTACGTGGCCATATTCGGTACAATGATGTCCCGCCGTGGCTCACTGAGCCGGCCTGCATGGGTCCAGGTGGGGTTGTGCTTGGGGACTATTCATTGAGGGGACCAAAGATAGCAATGATTCGGGGAAACTTTCATCCTACTGTTCTAGTCTAGCACTAACAACCGTATTCTCTTCTTCGTTGGCGAGCTGCATCACCCAAGCACTTACACAACTCGCAAAACGATGGACAAGGGGACAGGTGCAGCCAATGACACGCAAGCTCCTAGCTCAGACGACCTCACCGCCGCCCTCGAGCTCGACTTTATCGCCTCCAAATTCGTTAACAACAACAATTTCGACATTACAACCTTCAATCCTCATCATGATGAGCTCAATTACGACATCCAGAATCCAGAGCCTGGAAACATCTTCCGTAACTTCGACATTGAGTCCTTCCATCAAGACGCATTCGATCTGGGTGTTGCCGGGGTTGGAAACTCGGACCAGGAGGTCAGCATGAGTTTCGGCGACAGACAGCCCATGAACGGGGGCTTCGATGAACCGGATGTTCTCATGTTCTCCGAGGTCTTGAGAGATGGCGAACCAATAAGCCACCTGATCAACCAGGGCCAGAATTTCACCACCCAGACCTCCCAGCAGACCTCCCAGCATTCTGATCCGACAACGCCAGCCAAGATCGGAACACGTTTCTCATCTAAGTCATTGCGAGTCCTAAAAACGTGGCTAGCGAATAATAATTATCACTCTTATCCGACAGCTGCAGATATGGAGATGTTACAGCGACAAACGGCTCTCAGTAGGCAACAGATAACTAATTGGCTAGCCAATACACGGAGACGAACGCGGTTCAAAGTACCGCCAAAGCGACCGCCGTCTCCAGCTATCACGTCAGCGAGGGCATCACCAATTGACATTCCCCAAGGCGCCGGTCTGCCTGAAGCCTTGCAAAATCTGAACCCTCTGGAGCGCTGGCAAGTCTCGCCTCCAGAACACGAGCCCGCGTCAGTGTCTGCGATCGCTCAAGCTGTGTCGGGGTTTTCTTCAGACGGCGACGATTTTGCCGACAGATCTTTGACCGACAGTATGCCAGCGAAATCTTTGTACGACCAATCCTCTGCGAGCAGTGCAGGCACGTCGCATTCCAGTAGAAGCTCTGCCAACTCGGCATATTCACACAACTCTCGTGCTTCGCCAAGGTTGTTTGATCCCCTGGGGAAGACTGCTGTCAAGCGAAGACGACGCAGAGCACTTGCCAAGAGGCCTGACTCAAAAGCCGCCACTACACTCTTGCAGACAGCAAATACCTACCAATGCACATTCTGTACTGAAACTTTCAAGACGAAACACAACTGGCAGCGCCACGAGAAGTCGCTGCATTTGTCTCTTGAACGGTGGGAGTGCGCGCCAAATGGACCCACGGTACCCGACGCCAGTGGACAGTTAATATGTGTCTTTTGCAGCGAATCCAACCCCGACAAACGGCACCTCGAAAAACACAACTACCAGGCGTGTAAAGACCGTCTATCAGAGGATCGTACGTTTTACCGGAAGGATCACCTTCAGCAACACTTAAAACTAGTGCACGATGCCAAATTCTTACGATGGCCTATGGGGGAATGGAAATACGAGAGCGAGGTGATACGATCTCGATGCGGTTTCTGCGGCTGGTCGATAACCACTTGGAATGACCGCATCGATCACCTGGCGGAACATTTCAAGGATGGGAAGACGATGGCTGATTGGCATGGAGACTGGGGGTTTGACAATAACGTGCTTAAGATGGTCGAGAACTCAATGGCCCCTTGTAAGTGCCTTTTCTAGTAGCCGAGGACAGGAAGCTAACAAATCTCGTCTAGACATGATTCACATGGAACGCTACTCGCCGTGGCCATTTACGACGAAGCAGGGTGTACCAGAAACGCCGCCGAACGCGTTCGAACTGATTAAGCTGGAGCTCGAACACTTCTGCGCCGAGCACCAGAACACTAAGGACCAGATGCCTACCAACGCGGAATTACTTTACGAAAGCTGCTGCGTGATCTTCGGGTGCGACTCGGTATCGTTTTCAAAGAGACCTGCAACCTCAACGCAATCCTGGTTGCGCGACTTGCTCATGTCATCCGAGTCGATCGTGCAGCAAGCACGTATCCGGCCCATGAAGGACAATTCGAAGTCCAGGTTCACGTACCTTAGCATTAACGGGAAAGCAAATATCTTTGAAGCGTGCAGCTTGGAGGAGCAGCTTCTGAGCTATGTGGATATTTCGAAGCTGATCGAGCCTCAAATCTCGGACGAGGAACTCCAAAAAGAGGCCTGCAGCATTGTGGAACGCATGGAGGCCTCTTCACCTCATCCATCCGAAATCTTTGCAAACTTCCTGATCAGTCTCATTAATGGTTCGGATCATTGGCTAGCAGCTTTTCGCCATCGCGCGAACCTTCCCTCCTCAAGCCTCTACAGTCCGCCGTATCATGAGACGCAGAGGCAAGGAGTGGCAAAATCCGACACGGCTGTCCCCAATATTAACCCTACAGGAAACTCTTTCACCGCATCGGATCCGACACAGCCGATCAGTAATCCAGATGCCACCGCCTTCGGGCCATGGTCTGGCACGAAAGACGGAAAAGCCGCGGCTCCGTCTACTTTCTTCGTTAACGAGGACAATTGTTACCGCAAACTGGTTAGGGAGTTGACCCGGTTTGTGACTATCACAACCTCACCGCGAAATCCCAACAGGCGCATTCCTACTGATGCCGAGCTCCAGCATCAGGCGCGCTGGATCTCGTTTGAAGAGTAAGTATTGAACTTCGGCGTCATGTTTGCATGTTGGCAAGTGTTCTAATGCTGATGCGCTTTGAACCCCTTAGCGACGATCCATGGAATCAAACCCCGGCCGACAATCCAGATTGGCTTCGAGACTTCAAGCGTGAAATGAGTATTCCGGACGATGCACAAAGCCAAACCAAGCGGTGATCTTTATGTCTTTCTAAGAATTTTCAAGTGTGGCTATCCAGTAGATCCGGAAGAGTCAATGAGAATTGTACAGACAAGCGGCTCTAGAGATATTTTTAGTTAGTAATCCAAGATAAAATCATGTAACACTCGTATAGCCAATCATAGACCCCGCAGTCGATGCAGCGATGTCGGTGAGGACATGTGCGCCCTTCGCTGTGGGCAAAGTTGGATTACTTGGAGGGCGTAGGGAGCATTTCACATGATTCTTAAGGGTCCTCGATATATCCTGCCTCCCCACGGCATTAGGGCATGATCAACGCAACACGCGCTGCTTTTGGTGTGTGTCCTTGTTCCAAGCATAACATGCCCGCAGCGCAAGTATGCTACAAAGAGCTTATCGTTGTGTATCCCAGCTTGCATCCATTTGCGAAACGGCCTTAAAATCAGTCTGATCAACCTCTGATGCTGCCGGAGATGTCCATAAGCTGAACTCTTAGCATATCAACCAGCCTGAAATCTGCGCCGAGTGCCCTTCGGTTGGAAGCACTATCCGGCGTGGGTCGGCCAAGCTGTCCAAAGGCTGTTTCCACCAAGAGCCATGCGGCGACGACGAAATGCCGGCGAAACGAAACCCAGCAGTAGGACTGGGCCCGGCCGCCGCCAAACAGCGCAACCATGCATTGAGGCTCCAGCTTCGACTATAATTCAAGGCCCGAAAAGCGTTCATCGTTAGCCCCAAATGTCCTGTAGCCAACTTTGCGGGTTCTTGCCGCTCGACTTCGTATTCTTTGGGTATCTAGTTTGGATAGCGACTAAATACATATGGCTGCTGGGAAATGATGGGCTTGCCGTTTGCCCGTAAGCCTGTTTTGTCCATATCTTCATACTAACGATCCATTGGCTCAGACTTGGATGCCCCGCACAAAATAATTGGTCCGTCAGACCCCCCAAATTTGGTCCTCATCCACTCGCTCAGATTGCGTCGCCAGTTCTCATCTTCAGTTCCAGCCATTATAGCGTTCACATTTGGGGTATCCGTATGCTTCCTTCCATCAAATACCGCATCAATCTCCTCCAGGGTTTTGCCCTTGACTTCAACCCAGTACCACCAGATAAAAATGAAGAACAATATGTTCCACGATCCGTTAATAATGAACAGCCAATGTCCAATGGCATCCAACGCCGCCGGGAAAACAAAGTTGCCCGCGATACCACTGGCACAAATAATGAAACTAAACATGCTCATGCCCTTAGCTCTTATGCGGAAATAAAGCATCTGTGCAGGGACAAGAAAAAGAACCGGGATCCACCCGAAAGAGAAGGAAATCGAAAATATAAATATACCAGAGACAGTAGCCCAGATACCAGGGGTGTAAGTAGTGTCTCCGTAAAATTTGGTTAGAATGCCGATCATGAACAACCCGATCGTGACTCCAGCAGTGCTAATCAGTGTGACAGATTTAGTCCCCCACCTATCCGTATAGTAACTGCCGATGATCGAGACGATTAAAGAGCTTGCATTAAGCCCCACGTTCTGCATTGTTAGCTCCAAGAAACCTTGCCTACAAGATCTATGACAATGCTTACCACAAGCAGTTGTGAACCTTCATCGCTCACTCCAGCGTTACTGAGCATTTTACCGATGTTATACATGACGAAGATGTTCCCAGTAAGCATTGAGAACAAGGCGCAGGTAGCAGTGATGATGAGCCTCTTTCTGGCGCCTCGGTTTCGGAATGCCTCCTTGCTTGACATCGGGTCCCGTTCGTACTCGATAGTTTCGCAGATTTGTCGGAATTGAAGCCGCACTATATCGTTTCTCGTATTTCCATTTGAATTGACCTGGGCTAGTACTCTCAGAGCTTCTTCTGGGCGTCCCTGATCAACCAACCAACGTGGACTTTCGGGCATCCAAGGCAGTAAGGAAATACACCATAACCCCCAAAAGCCCTGAACAAGACTTGGTAGCCGCCAGGCCCAAGTGTTATCGAATCTGAAGGATGAGTATGTTACGCCCGCAGCAGCGAGGGCGCCTACGTAGAAGAAGTCGTCGAACAAAGCCAACCCCCATGCACGCTGCTCCCATGGTAAAGTCTCGGCCAAATAGGCGGAACCGGAGATGACCGAAGCCGTCGTGCCAAAACCGATGAGGATCCGGGCAATGCAGAACATAGCGATGTGCTGTGAAGCCCCTTGTAAGATAGCGGCGAACACTGTGATCATGGCCGACCAAAACAGACCGAAACGACGGCTATACACATCTGTTATCCAACCCCAACAAAGGCACTACAGTCTCGTTAGTTACGAAAATAACCCAGTGCTGGTGGTAATTTTGTGTAGCAATTGTCGTCTGAGACGCGGAATACAAGAGATAAAGAGCAATTTGATGTGGAGGAAAGCAGTCGAGAAGACACTTACAGATAGAGCTCCTCCAACATAGTTGGTCGCGATGTTGAGAGAACGGGTAGCTGTCGATAGCTGAAAGTAGTCGGTATACTGTGGTAGAATGTTCATGCTGCCCATCATTGCCCCGTCATAACCCTGCATCTGAGAGTGGACATACAATGTAAGCTGCATTCACATGAGGGGGATCTTGAGGCCCTTACAGTTGCGGTGATCAAAGTACAGGCCAGTAGCAATGCAACATTTCCTTTTTTGGATTTCGGCTGCCATGTGGGCGCTCCGAAGGGAAGAATATTCCCTTTGAACGTAAAGTGGAGGCATGATAGCCACATGTCTCTTCCTCAAGGTAAGAGATATCTGAGCATGAAGCTATCGCCGTTGGTTCTTTGATGGTCAACAGTCCGTTAGACGCTCGTTTGCTGTGAGAAAACGCGTTCAAACTTGAGGGGTTTGAGCGGGGATGTTAGTTGTACAGCAACCGCGGATATGATTGTGCCGCACCCCCACTCTTTTGAATTCAACAAACTCCTCATCGACAAACTTAAAACTTTATCGTCAGGAGGAACAGGCGGTAAGGGAAAGAGTGGTTACGGAACGGATGATATTAAATAGATGGGTAGGATAGCTGACTAGAAGGTGTTTACAACCGCCATGGCCTAGTGACTAATGACACGGGGCGCACCATTTGAATCCAAGCTGAATATCAGAGATTACCAACGGCGTTGTTCGTACACTACCAAGCTGGTGACAAAAAAAGTGATACATAGAATCAGACTCCCCCGCCCACGGCCTTCACAACAGTACCAGCGACGTCTTCAATATTCGGAATGTGTCTGGTGGAAAAAGACATTTGTACACAATCAAACTCTATCCAAGTTTTCCCGGAATTTGGAAAGAAGAGCTCGGGTCTCCGTAGAAGTATTCCTAGGTGAAGTAGGGGACTAGTAGCAATTGGGGTGTTGTGTGTATCACTTTTTTTGTCGACCGCTTGACTACGAAGGTTTCTAAGAGACTCGCTGCTTGCCTAGCCTGTTTCATGTCCTTTCCTAGCCACAGCCCAGAGTCCATTGTCTCGGCCTGTGTTGACGTCAAGACCCTTTGTTTGCTTGGTGCCTCCACAGGTGCGACAACGATGCGCACTAACGAGGTCGGAGGTCCGCCAGCTTTTGAGACCAGCTCTCCCAGCGAATTAGAAGTGTTGACCTAACCCAAATCGCCACTGTGTGTATAGGCAATCCCATGGGACCGCCACTCCGAAAGGGCAGGGTTCGGGGAGCTTTCTGTCTGATCCCTACCTCCTATGTCGCCCACAATGCCCGCTTCACTCTGCTCGTTAGCAATCTCTGGTATTTGACTCACTGTATGGAAGAAATTCTCCACTCAACCTTTAGTGATGCAGAATGACTCTGTTCAATTGTCTGCCAATAAGTTATTCGTCACAACATTAGAGCTTGAGTTGATCCACTATATGATCGGTTGTACTACTAGAAATCAGATCTAAGAGTCATGGAAAGTCTACAAGTAGGAAAAATAACAAGATGAATGAGTAGCAGCCTGTATATTCTGACGGGTGTCAACGACAGCTGCAAGAGCCCAAGTTCACCTCACTCAAGCAGCTTCCAATCCTGAGTTATCTCAAGGGGAAAGATAGGAGCATCATGATGAATTGAAGTGAGTTCATAGCTGATTTTCGTATATGAGAGAATCCGACATACTAAACTCACAGGCTCACACTGAAGCTTTGCGCCATCTGCAACCCGGGGATTGATTACACAGTTTTGAGATGGATACCAGGATTCTATCTGACAATTATCATTTTCCGAGTAGTTCTCACCTGCTGTGTCAATCTGACTCTGGTGATGCTGGCGAGAGGCTTAGCCGCACTTCCACAATCTGCCAAAGCCACCCCATTAAGGACACACCTGCGATGTGAAAAATCATCGATATTTCGGAGCATGGATAGAAAGTCATCGTTGCGGTTTGACCTCGTAGTTTGCTGTTGAAGAATGTCGGCCTTATTCCAACTTATCTTCAATTGAAGGCTTGGTAGCTTTGACATATTTGTCACAACTAGTTTCTTGGTGTCTCTTTGAACATAGCTATGGTTTTTCTTCCGTTTCTGGAAATAGGGAAAAGATACCAAGCGCAGTCCAGATCCGGTTGATACGAGAATTAAGGTATCCCTTCTGAGTCAAGATGGTAGCTCTGTGTATTCACTTACAAGATCGTTGCGCACTAGGTTAAGAAGGAGCTAGCTTGAGTCTAGAACGCCGCTGAACGGGTGTGAAGGCGCCGAGCTGCAGTAATTTTTCATGATACGCACTGGAAGAATATGGTAAGAATATGGTAAAACTTAAGGCGAAGCAAGACAGCTTGACCAATAATGATTATCTTGGCGCCTCCAATTAAGCCAAAACGAAAGTCGCCACCCAATGTACTTGGCTAATCGGTGGAATCGGGTGGAACTGTTCGAAATGTTGGACAGGCACCTCGGGTGGCAAAAATCAGCGCCGGGATTTGTATGGTAAAGGTATAGGAAAGCGGCGCTGGTTTTTGTCATCCGAGTGACAGGCAGATAAACCGAGGAGAAACAGCTTGGGTGGCTCAGTTCAGTAGCAAAAACCTTGCATGAACCTAATTTGCCAGCACGTGCATATACCTGAAAGGCCTTCGACATGACGCCGCCCATAGATTACAGGGTACTCTTCTCTCCCAGCAAGGTCTGTTGGCGTCTGTCGGCTTAGTATCTGAGAAGACCATTTTGAGACTAATTTATCACTATGAATATATTTAAAGACCTACGAAATCGGACCAAGTGAACATGAAGATGGATTGGATTGGTACAGGAGGCGGTGTAGCGGAGGACCTGGAAGGCATCCATATACTTATGACACAATCATGAGACATCATGAGTTCTCCCAGTCAAACACAAACATCATTTCGAACCCAATGTCGCTTGGATGGAAAGATGCAGAATACAGAGCTTCGTGCAGTAATTGGGGATCCAAGACAGCGAGAGGTGTCACACTGATCACCATCAACCAGGCACACCGACGAAACACAGCTGGCAGCCCCACAGGCCACAAACTACCGAGGCCTTCTTAACCTTCGAAAACGATACCACCCACAAAGTTTGTATCTTCCATGGCGCCAAAGGAACATCCTGCGCCGGATTTGACCTTCACAAAGTCGCCAAGTATGAACCCGAGCCCAGAGACGAAAGTTACGAGTGTCACGAAGGTCTAATCATTAACACATCCCACCACGTTCAGGGCCGAAACATAAACACATCGGGCCCTCGCGCGCGCAAACCAAACGGCTCGTCATCTGTGCGATAGCCGAATACGCCATTGCTTGTGTTCTCGAACTGTCTTGTCCCGGAGACGTCCATATTGCCGAAGAGGGCGCGATATTTGGGGTCTTCCATCGACGCTTCTGTGTGTCTCTCATTGACGGCGGCACGGTCCGGCTGCAGGCTGTTGTGGGCCTCGGTAGGGCTTTGGATGTAATCCTTACCGGTCGCGGGGTAACGGCGCAAGAGGCAGTGCAAATAGGTCTTGCGAACAGGGTTGTACCCAACGAAAGAGCGTTGGAAGAGACCACCGAGATTGCAGACCAGCTGTGACTTTTCCGCAGAATTGCATGAACACGAACAGAACGATCTTTTACTACTCAACTTAGGATGCCGCTTCTTTCGGGGAAGCTTTGCCAAATGAATTCAACCAGGAATTCAGGTAATCAGCAAAGAGATCGTTAGGTGTCCTACGTTGTTCTGTGTTAGGGCAGGACGACATGGCAGCTTCGAAAAGCCACATTTCTGAATTGTCAGTTAATTCATGTGTTTGGTCTGGCAAGGACAAGGATATTACCGTGAAAACTCGGCCAACATCGGAAAACATAGACTTTGAGCTCAGGCACAAGGAACAAGTTATTCAGTCACTCTTACATTAGCACAGGGCGCGGAGTAATAACTTCAGTTGTCGGCAATTGTGTATGTTACATCGATGGCGTAATGAAGGCACCGACAGACCCGCGTGCGTGCAGCCACCCGGATCTATCTACCGAGTATTGCTCCTGCACGCAAAACCAGAACCTGGCAAAAGTCAGTCTGTGTTGAACTGGTTGCCAAGTTGCATTTATTCTATGCTCGGCGTCTTGCCAAATTTGCTGCAATCCTGCTCCCTGGTAGCTGTAGTCAGAGTTATTCCATGCAACACTTGTAGTAGGCTCTTGGGGACTGTATCGTAATAGATTACTGATGTTATGGATAGCAGAGTCTGAGCAGTGCGGCAGAAACCATTTAACATAATCCTGACTATTGTGTATGAGGATTGAACCACGATGGAACACTTCGTTCAGCTTCAAACAAGGCAACCTGCTTGAAAAGCTAGGGTCCGACGAAAAGACGTCTGTATCACTAAACCCACGATGCATCTGTTCCTTCAACTGCATGTGAGTAACTGATTCCGTAAATATGAATTCAATAATATCCAAAACCGGAGGTATTAACACCATCCCATCTGAAATGGTCGTTTCTCCTGATTTTCCCGACGACTGTCGGTCACTAAGGCGAGTCGGATACAATACGCAGCCGCCATCTTCATCAATCTTGATGGTTCAAGATAAAGATGACTTATCCCTAGATATGTTGATAGTGCGACACTATGTCGGAGATAAGCAAGGATATCAGAACTGGTGGAAAGCAACCCAGAAGAGGTTTATTAGAATGGATGCCGAGTGATAACCCCACCTTCTTACAACTTCACCCGAAGGTCCTTCGATGACTATGGGTAGTGATGAGCTCACCTTCACGCCCAAAACACTAAAACACCGCTGGTTTTATTGACCGTACTTCTGCTAAAACAGGACGACCGGAAGATGTGTATCGCAGCGTGAACGGCCATGTGGCAAACAGCTCCTCTACGCAGACCTAGTTTTCTTAATGGACCCTTTGGTCGGAAATCTTGTCTCCAAATATCACAGTTGAGTCAGTGAAGGGCCTGAAACATACGTGAGGTTTTTTGAGATCAATGGAAATCCTACCCGTCTTGAAAAGCGGTAGCATATCATTCATGCTGTCAAGGAATTTGCCTTAAATCTTTCATTGAATATACCTCGAACAGAGCGTGCCGACTTCCCCGATCAAAGATATTCCAAAACATCTGCGAAGTTGCATGTCCTAATATATATATATATATATATATGCTCTTGATATCCGGTTCTAGTTGCTAGCCTCAACCCATGTCTTCCCGCAAAGCTTTCGCATTCGCGTTGTCCGTCGAATTTATTGTCTCAAGACAAAGTATTTCGTCGGCGGTTGTTGGCTTGACTTGACACTAACTATCCAACCAGTTATGGTGTTATAGGAACAGCAGCTGGAAACATTACCAGGCACAAGCTTACCGACTCGCCTGGATGCTTGAGTAGAGGCTGTTTGTGCGCGGCTAGGTGAGCATCATTACTAAACACAGCACAACTCCATACTATGACAGTAACGTCCCATTTTCAAAGAGAGGCTCCGAGAGGAATCATCTTTGACTACTGCGAAGTCGTAGAGTTTCTGGTTCCAAAAAAGAATCCCTTCATGCGTGTACCGCTTGATCCCTTGCAAATTGCAAACTTCTTTGAATCCGTGATGGCTGGGAGCTCCAATCTCCAGTAACACTAGGGCTCCGCTGACTGGATCTTTCCTAATTTCTTGGCCTAATGTGCACGGGTAAGATTTTCACTGCGTGGATCTATACTCGAGAGGTAGGTACTAGATACTGCAATATCCATCAGACAAAATATTCGGTGGTCTTTAGACGATTACATATAAGGCCTCTTCCGCATTAGACCGAGCCGATGAGATGACATGGCGAAACTTCCCTTTGGTCGGGTATGAGAGGGGCCATGGCAGACATTGTAAGATGCCTTCAAGGACGGTTAATGCAGGAGTTTTGAAGATCCAGTGTAGGAACCTGTATACTGAAGTTTAAGATGGCTTTGAAAAGGTTGTTAAATTGATAATCGAGGTTAGTATATTTGAGATTCTTTGGCATGATCCCAATGGGTATTACGAATGACGGTGATCTGGAAAAACGTGCATCTGCTATCCGTGTTGGAAGGAGACTCAATCCGCACGAGCAACCCCATGCTTCCACGCTGCTAGCTGCTGAGCTGCTGAGCTGCTGGAGAGCTGCAAGATTGCATATCTGATTTGACGGTATTGTTAGCGGTCTGGCGGCAGCACCGCAGCTTCTTCGGGAGTCACTTTCTGATTAGAGGCAGGACGGGTTGGTACGGGAGGTATGATGGCAATTCTTTAAACAAAAAATCCATCGGGACAGCCTTCACCGATCTGGCGCGGCGATCCGTGATCATCAGCAAGTCTGATTCAGACGAGAGCACATCTTCTTGATTGATTGGCCCATGCTGTTCATCGATATGACAACGGTTGGCTTTGCTCGGCTCCAAGAGTTTGAAATGAGTTGGGACTTTGACAGTAGTGTTCCGGTTGAGGATGAGAAAACGACTTGATCATTGATAGACGGGGAAAACGGCATTTGGGGACTACTCGAAGAGATGATCTTTGCTCAACGCAAAAACAAACATTACCGACGTGCTTGGTTGGTATCAACACCAATTAGCCTGTCCTGCAGCGCCAAGATACAAGGATGTTTGTAACCAAGTTGGGTAGTGTTATGAGAATACCACAAGCCAAAAAACATTATCAAGCTGCATCATTATTGATGGCCATATTGTCTCCACCATGCCTAACCCTTTGATTCGTTGTTCTCATTTGAAAGACTCATTACCGGATCCCTTGTCCTCCTATCTACACTGTGCCTTTCCTACGCTTCAACTCAATCTTCGCACTCACTGGTGGTACAATCGTCACGCCGACCCACTGCGGCTTTGGTCGTTCGGATAGTGGCTTCAAGTCGTAGTTGAGGAACAAATTGGCTACTACCATTTTCAACTCGTGAGCGACGAAGAAGCGGCCCGGGCTGCAACGTGACGAGTCAGTTTGGGAGGCTTCAAAGCGAAAAGGTTCAAGAGAGAAGATTGTTACCATGCGTGTCGTCCATGCCCAAAGGGGAGATGACTGTCACTCGTTGTTACCATGCCGAGGTTCTTCAACCTCAGTCCCTCCTCCAAAGTCCTCTCCGACTGCGGTTTCGCCTCGTACTCTTCCCTTTGCCGACTTGTACGGAAGGCGTCGTACTCCCCTGCGTTGGGCGTGAGATCGTCGTCGTGGTGCAGGCCTTCCAGGTTGACGGTCAAGAAAGTGTTTTGTGGCAGGTACCAGCCCTCTTGTTCGTTTGTAATGCCCTCCTTGGCAACCACCTTGCGCTCCATCAGAGTACAGCTGAAGTTGCTCAGCCTCTGGCTCTCGCGGATGGCGCTGTCAAGGCGGTATAGTCGCGACAAGCCGTTCTTGGTCCAGCGACCACCCTCTTCCTTAAGCACCCGCTCTGCCTCTTCCCTGATGCCTTGGATATACCCCTTGGCAGGATCAGAACTCAGTAAATCAAGAACAATGCCATGGCCGGTGATCACAGTCGTGTGGATTGCCGCAAACTGAATAGGTAAGAGTCGTTTTGAGATGACGTAGGGGTCGAGCTCGAAGTAATTCTTCTCGGCTTTGGCCATGCGGACGTCCCATGTAACGAAGTCTTCAGGTGCAGTCCAGCTGTCGTAAGCCGGATCTCCCGCCTCTTTCTTCGCCAGATCATCAAGGCGCTTCCTGATGACGGGTAAGCTATGTTTGGCTGCCTTGCGCCACAGCCACCAGTTTGGCAGTGTGATGAGGCGTCCGAAAATGGGGAGCATAATCTGCGGCACCATATGCAGGGCGAAGCAGTTGAGGATGACCTGGTCGACGAATGAAACCATTGCCTTGCAGAATTCCTTGTTTCGGCAGATGCCCTCGCCGACAAGCATGCGGTTGGTAACCGGTGGCACGATGGTCAGCCATGCGTCCCAAAGACTTAACGTCTTCCAGTTCTCGGTGTCGGTGCCAAACGCTTCGTCCACGGCCACGGAGACTTCCTCCTCAATCCCTGGGACCAAGGAGCTAAGATGGCGGGCAAGGCTCTTATGGATCACCCGGGTATGCCAGACGTCATCGGCGTAGACCTTGCCCAGGAAGTTGTAATCGCTGTACAGCACATCGTTGTGGGCTTCGTGCGCGGAGACAACGGAGTCCGGGTACTCGAGCAGCCACTTCGTGAGGGATCGCGGGATGATGATGTCGGGTGCTCGACTTGCGGCAGCGGGAACGATGAATGCGCGGTCCTGCTTGTTGTACTACATTGTCGCAATGCAAGTTAACATTGAGCCATGGTGTGTATCAATGGCGGGGTATTGCGCGAACCTTGTGGTAGCCCTCGATTACCCAGTCGCGGTAGCGAAAGATGTAATAGTAAAAGTTCTTGATACGGGCGAGAGTGCCCTTTCCATAGCCGACGACGGGGATGTTTTCCGGATATGTCGGCTTTGAGATGTGGTCGAGGACGAGCAGGCCGACAAACACAAAGAAAAGCGAGCCAAAGACGCGCCCAGGCGTCAGTGACTCGGTGATTTGGGCGTGGAGGCTACCAGCCATTGTCACGAGCGGCAGTAAGAAAATGCGATGCAGACAGAGGCAATCCGGGACTTCTAGCTACTGGTCTCAAGCATCCTCGTCGCTGGGATGCGGAGCAGGGCGCGCGGGTTAGTCTTAAAGGGGAGATCAAGTTGCATTGTGGAAGTTCGGAGCATTCCAAGACACCGATCGGGAGTCGATAGATGGTTACGCTGGTCTGGGGCTCTGGGTCATGACGCACTAGCTTGCATGGCGTCTGGGCTAAGTTTGTTCCTCACTGCCAAAACTGTTTGCATCCTGCAATTTACCTTAAATAAGAGGCACTTGCCCACCTACTTTGCCGCCCCCTAGGGAACCCCTCGACGTGAAGGGTGGGATGTTGGCTTTGTGTCTAAGCTGTTGATTGGTAGCGAGTTTGCCCAAACGAGGCACGCTGTGACCTGTTTCAGGTACGTGCCGTCTCACTGGAGTTCTCGACTCCATGCTGACCTAACTGATTCACATATATCTCCCATGCAATACTGTTAGTGCAGGAGCATGCCTAGGGGATGGATTTGCAGGGTATCACTTCTTGTGTGTCGAGCCTTTCTGAAAATAGCTAGATCCATCGGGGTGGTCCCCACCACCACAATCACCATTGTTCAAGCACTCAATGGCCAGCTTGAGTTGCAAGATGTGTTTGCACCACCTTGTTGAGCTTTCGCAAGATACGAAGAACTGACCACCCTCTCACAGAGCGCAAACTTTTTCTTTTCTTTTTTCAAATGAATGGAATTAGTTCAAGCGCGGTGAAGACTGACTTGGCTGGTAATGAAGGACCAGCATTCCCCTCACCTCAGCGTCAGCTTTCCAACCCTTCCGCTCGATCCGGAGGCCCAGCAAATCCCGCCTGAGATACACTCGACGCTGTCAAATGAGCCCGTATCGAATGTTTTCCATGTCCTGCCGTCGTCGACCGTGATGTCGGAGCCGGAAGGACCCACAGCGACGGCCACTCCGCACAATCCCGGAACCCATGATGCCCCTGACCGATAACCGCCAGGAAACACCTCCGACGCCGTCCACGTCTCTCCGCCATCCTGGGACCATGCTGACGTGTAAGCGGAGCCATTCACGACGTTGAAGTCACCTCCGGTCGCAATGCCTTGCAACCCGTTCTTGAATCGTACGGAGAAAACCCCGGCCGACGCACCACCGGCGATTGCGCTGCCTGATGCATCCCAGTGATATCCATCAGGACTCCGGAGGACTCTGCCAGGATCAATGCCACCAGACGCCAGATACCATCGTCCCGCTGCCGTGGAAATGCAAGTCCCACTGGCAGCGAAACCAAACTCGCCTTCCACCGCAGGCGCCATGCCGCTGGGGTCAACGATATTCCACGACTCACCCCCGTCAACCGTTTCGATCAGCCGAAATTTGCCGTCAACGGGGTCACTGACCGCAATGCCCCTTTCATCGTCCTCGAAGTCGACGCAATTGTAAAAGGCAGCAGCCTCAGTGTTGGCGAAAGTCTGCGTCCATGACTTGCCGCCGTTGGTGGTGATGTAGATGCGCGAATCTGCCCCTTCGCCAATGGATAAGATGATGGCTTTGTCTGCAGAAAATGCCTGGACGTCGCGGAACTGCAGTTCGGCGTCGCCGCCAGTGAGTTCAGGGCCGACTGATTCCCAAGAGGCGCCGCCGTCGATGGTGCGCAGGACAGTGCCTCCTGTTCCAGAGACCCACGCAATCGTGTTCGAAACCGGTGACAGACCTCTGAATTGCTGTTGACTCCCAGTTGGCAAGATATCCCAGCTCAGAGTCAGGTTTCGAGATGCGATGAGGTTTCTCGTTGTGACAGGCGAGGCACAGGCAAGTGCTGCCAGACCGAGAAGATGAACCAACATGGCGGCGGAGTGCGTGGAACTACCCGGGGACCCAAGAGCGATGAGAATTTCAGATGTTAAGGTGAAGAGGGTTGATGCTTAAAACTTATCCCTCATCGCGCGAGGCGGGGCTGCGAGAGACCAGCCCCCCATTTTGCAGATAAACAGGTCGGCATCCATTCTGCAGATCATCATCGACCTTCCCATTCGGGTCATCTATCTGGAGACAATTTCGGGTCCGGCTCCACCTCTACCTTGGTCCTGGGCCCGAGATACTGGTGTCGGCGGTCTCTTCTTGTCCTCGCTCGACAATGACCAACAAACCTATCTAGATGTTGATTGAGTTACTGCTGATTTTCAGAGCGAATAATACAAATGCGAAATGACTGGAGCGCTTGCAGCCTCTTCAACAGAGTGACCTGCAAGGGTTCAGTTTGAGGCTCTTCTGGGCATTATCGCCGAACTAAACATGGACAATTGTCTCATAGCTTGCATTTGTATCGATGATGACTTGCGATGAGGATCCTCACTATCTTTAGATTCTCATGAAATAGACAATACAGTGCCCACCACAACTCAAACAAGAACGCCGTGGAGGCGAGGCCCCGATTCAGCACAAAGCTGTCGGCGGCAACGCGCCCGCGCAGCCCGAAGGTCAGAATTAGATTTCTTTCTGTCATCACGTAGCTCTTTCAATTACATACTAGGCTATGAGAAACGTTCTGAGAGCCCTCCCTAGGAGTCTTACTGCACTTGAGTCCAAAATCTTTAGCTCTCTTGTGACTGTGTCAGCGAGGAAATTGTCCAACCTTCTCGCTCTGGCACGACAGACAAGTCTAGTGCTGCTCAGCTTTGAAAAATCCGCTCTCATTACATGATATCTCTTTAACCCCTGTCCATTTGTGTCATTATAACTCTGCCAATTTAATTGACAATTATGCATTAAATCGTTGAACCAGTTCATAAGGTGTGGCCAATTGCCTCTTTGATTTCGTATTGCGAATACTCCATGTTTACTAGAATTCAAAGACACCCTTTTGCCTGGACTGTTCAGTACTGAACGCCTCCGTCGTGTGTTTATCCTTTACGTGCCCTTCCCTATTGTTGATTGTCGAGACACTCGCATCATACGACCAGTCACGCACTGCGGGGCACAAAACAGACGTTCAACTTTCTCAATGTGACTCGCAAAATAACCTGAGTCCATAACAGGCAGGTCAGCAAGTCACATCCTACGGCACAGCAGAGCGGCGCACCAATCCCAGCATTGCTTTACTTGCAAGCGACAGCCAACCATGCAGCAATAAAGACATAGCGCTGCTAACCTACCCTGCTCCTTGAGGAGTTTGACTTAGGCAACCAACTGTTATCACACATGATCAAATGGAATATGTCTGCCCGGAGGCGGGGCCGAACTTGGTCAAAAAGGTATATAAGGGAGATTGTGTCCAGCATGAGGTTTGGTGCACGTTACATTCTTTCGACCACGCTGGATGAGAGATTCAACATGGCACCCTCCTACCTCGATTCTTCTAGTGAGGTTATTCTTTCTGACCCAAGTTTTGAGACCATCACCACTTTAGCCTACTCTGCTGGACTGCCAACCAATCCTCGGAACAAAGACGCAAAAGCCTGGTCGGCATGCTATCTTCTTCAATACGGCATCGAGCGGCTCCGTGCCGCCGCTCAAGACTTCTCTTGGCCAAAGGTTGCGCATGAGATGGAAGAAGAAAATCAAGTGCAGTTGATAGCCCAAAAGATCGAGGCACACATGATCGCCGCCTTCTCAGATGCTGCTCTAGACCCCAGTCGGCGATTCATAGTACGCCTTGCGTTCAAGAAGGAAGGAGAACTCCGAATAATGGCTGGCCCGCGACCTGTCAATCTGTCTATTCCCATGTACCCTTTTTCCCTCTACAAATCCAGAGATGAAACAGTCCCGGTAATGACGGTTTACGTGGATCCCAAACCCACAAGCCCCTCGCCTTTTACGAAGCATAAGACGACGCATCGCCAACCGTATAGTGTAGCCTGGGCACGAGTCGGACTTGATGAAACAACATCACCAGCTGAATTTGATGTCCTCTTGCATAATTATGACGGACAGGTCATGGGAGCAGCTTTCAGGACCGCTTACTTCTGGCGGGATGGTGGATGGGTCACTCCAAGCAGGGAAAGCGGATGCAAGATTGGGGTATCGCGAAGATGGGCCGTGGAAAACGCAAGCGTTAGAGAGGCAGTCATTTTGGCTTCTGGATTGGAAGAAGGAGAGATTATTTGGCTAAGCTCTGCGGTCGGCGGTTTTAATCAAGGTCTTGTGAGGCTGGTTTCGAAGTGACAGTCCCTCGCAACGTTCCTTCCAGCTTCGAAACATGAAAGACGAAGGACTCTGGATGAAGATCCACTGTCTTGATAATTAACTGATGTATCTTTGACACCAAATTCATAATTTCAAAGGAACTGACTCTGTTACACCCGATGAAGATAGTCCAGTGATCCGTAAATACTGCCTGCTAATTCCGAAAACCACACATATTGCTCAGGCTCCCTGTGTCAGCTCTACAGTGAGAAAAATGCTGGCCACTCATTAAGAATTGATCTTTCTGTTGTCTATCAACTTTTCGTGGCGAAAACAGCATAAAAGATGTATCATATACATGAAGCAACCTCGTAACTGTAAGGTTGAAGAGACGCTAGGAGAGTCCAAGAATTTCAGCGGTAGGATGTAGACCTCCTACATCATCCAGCGAGTGAGTGCTCTGTTCTCGAACAATCTATGTTGTAACTAATAACCGGAAGCACTTTGCTTGCCCTCAGGGATACCATTGCCAATAAAACCAGCCTAGCATTACTATAGACTATGATCCTTTATTGCACATTGGGAGCTATTGGACCCATTTTTCCTGTCATGAAGCGGTCTTGCAGCTGGCTTGGCATACTTTCGGTCACTGCGCCCTAAAACGACATGCATTTGACATTTCCCCGCAGCCAATAGCGGTCGGTGTTTGAGTTGACCGCTGCATCACAAGGATTTCGTCTTGCATAGATAAGTTGCGTCAAGTCACTTCACGAAATATGAGCTCGTGTGTTCCAACCTACAACATACCACGTCCAAATATCAATCAAGCCTCCGAAGCTCGCCTCTCTGGCTGTCAAAGTTGTCAATATGGAAACGCCAAACAGTGTCACATCAAAAACCATCAGGATCAGGGGCCACCGTGCCGGTGACATGGGCTACATCACCTATCGACATGCGGCGATCTACTCAAAGGATTTTGGCTACAATGAGCGTTTTGAAGCACTTGTTTGCAGAATTACATCGGACTTTCTTTGCAACTACGACCCTGCCATGGAACGGTGCTGGATTGCCGAGAGAGACGGAGAGTTCCTAGGGTGCATCATGCTTGTCAAAGAGCCGGAAGCACCAATCAAGGCAAGACTGCGATGCTTTTTAGTGGAGGAGGCTGCGCGGGGATCTGGTTTGGGATCGAGTTTGATGAAGCTCTGTATCGGCATGGCTAAGGAAGTAGGATATGAGCGAATTGTGTTGTCGACCAGCAATTTATTGGTCTCTGCGCGACGATTGTACACTACATTTGGATTCGAGTTGAAGGTTACCAGGGAACATGAAGATTGGGGCACGAAGGAGGTAGGAGAAACGTGGGAGATGAAATTGTAAGGGGACTCGACTGTCAGTTTTGTATTGATATTCTGCGCCATATTGAGGTGCAATTTTTCAAAACAAGCTGACTGAAGCCGGAATAGTGGTCACTGTCTCTTGAGTATTCTTACAATAGTATGCCATCTATGGAACAAAGCCTCTTGTTTCACTTCAACAGAACGACGATCAAGAATCTGGACAGTAATCCGCCTTGGTCTAACAAAGATAACAGCTTGAATCCGCGTATCAATGCTCTAAAGATGAAACCTTCAAATGGCTTAGTAGATATCACATAACATCTATATTGATGATAAGGCCCTTTGTGATATAAAACTGCGTTTCTCGGAAAACCTCGTTCATTTTCTTTGGGCTTGCGCATTTGTCTCATGAATACTTTTCTGCTTGAGACGACACTTGCATCTACGTCCACCCCTGAAAAGTTGAATGTGAGACGATTGTCTGCTTGATGTGATGACATGTAATGTCACCAAAGGATCTTCGTTATGTGACGCCTGTGGCCTTCAGATTCTGCTCTCTGCTCCCAAGGGCCTTACCGGGCCTCACCTAGACGCCTGAGGCGCACATCCCTCGTGGAAGCCTCTGGATCATCAAGTCACGTGTGCTGAAGGGTGCAACAAGTCGTTCCTGCCTCCAAAATCATGGACATGTTAAGCGAGACGCTAGCCTTGTCTTGGATTGGGTGGTTGGCTTCCCTCTCCCATCAACGCCGCTGCCATCCAAACAACTTCTGACCAAGCCTTCTGCACAACAATCTTGCAAAACAAACCAGATCTTGCATCGCCCGAAAAAACTCTCCTCATATCTTTTGTACGCGGACACTTGATCATTTCCTACTTTCTTTTGCGACTTCTTCACATTCGCACTGTCACCCTGCCGATCTCCATCCCCAATGCCATCGGACAAGATGGCGGAACGCAACATGTCCTTCTCGCCATTTTGGTATTCCTTCTTCATCACGGTCCTGTTAGTCCTTCTCCAGATTCCATCGGCTTCTTCGGGGCCACTCTACTTTCGCGATCCTTCACCAAGAGCTGCCTTTGTCGCGCTTGTGTCCGAGACCCAGCTGGGCCAGATGGTTGCCTCGGTCGCACAGCTCGAGAAGCGATTCAACAGCAAGTACCGTTACGACTGGGTGCTCTTCAGCTTTGAGGAGCTTAGCGAAGACTTCAAGGATGCTGCTTCCAATGCCACTGCCGGAACTGTCACCTACGACTTGATCCCTCAGCAACACTGGTCTAACCCCCGGTCGGTTAACAATGGCTGCTTTGAGGCTGGTACTGTGCGCACTTAGGGGGTGAACGCCGACACAGCCCAGATCCGAGCTTCGCAGCACAAGCTTCGCTGGTCCGCTGGTCTCTTTGCACAAGAGAAGCGTCTCCAGACTTATGACTGGTTCTGGATGGTTGAGCCTGGTGTGAGTTGGCGTTGGAATCCTGCTTGTCTTGGTTTGTAAGGGCTGACACCAGCGGTCTCTCCAGACACAGTTCATGTGCGATATCAACGTCGATGTGTTCCGCGTAATGAGAGATCATGGCATTGCGTACGGCACCAACGAGATATCTTCCCAGAATGATGAGAATGCGAGGCTGCTATGGCAGAGCACCAAGTCGTTCGTAGACAAGCACCCCGAACTAGTTCGAGCTGACGCCGACATCACGTGGATTGTGAGCGACAGCGGCAACTTGAGCAAGCCCAACTTTTCTTCTCATCATTACGTTGATGAAGGGGACGAGGTACAAGTCGATCAAGACTCTCAATCGGAAGTCAAAGCCTGTAGAGTCAGCGGACCAGATATTGAGGCCGGCGTACGTCCCGGTGTTTCCTATGAGGCTGATCCTGAGCAGTGCGACCCCGACCTGGTGGCCAATGCCTATGATACCCAGCTTTCTTCTACCTACTGCCAGTACAACGCAGAAGCAGACACCGTCATTGAGATTGGCAACCTCAACCACTTCCGTAGTCTTCAGCATACTTCCTACTTCGAATACCTCGACAACGCCGGCGACTTCCACTACGGCAACACCGGTGACGTTGGTGTCCACTCTCTGAGTGCCAGCATGTTCCTACCCCGCGACAAAGTCTGGCTTCTTGACGACATGATCTGCGAAATGTGCGGCTCTCACAGCTGCCTTCCCTTGCCGCGTTCGACCTCTCAAATGAATGCTGTCGGAGACTCAACCTACCTGGCTGACATTTTCGGCAGTTCCTGGTTCCAGCCGTGCGAGGGTAGCCATCTTTCCATCCTTCACCGCATCTGGGCGAACATAGCCTCTGGAGTCGTTCGACAGAATGGCTTCCCCGCAGCACAAACCGGCCACACCGCCCTCGACGAGCGCAACTTCAAGATATACAAGCCAGAACGGTACCCCGTGGATGTCAAGCAGGGATGGTACTCGCTAGAGGATACCTGGGGCTCGTGGGCTATCGATCGAGGCAAGTGGTTCCTAGCTGTCTTGGGATGGTAAGCTGTCCTCCAGGTTGGCGTCGAGCATCCGGCGGGTAATCATGAGATCTGGGAAATCACAAAGATTACGTCTCCAAGAAAGTCATGAAGGAGGGCTTCCGAACTTAGGATTTGGTTTGTTTCGCTTTACTATTTGACCTACAGAGCTCCTACTAGCACTGCATAGTCATCAATCGATAGAAATTGATGATTCATAATACCTATGGAATCCGTATCAACATGCTTTCACAGTCCAGTTGCGTTTTTCAACCCTCGTAGTTGGCGCCAACTTTGAGTAATAGTGGAAAATTTGGATGGGATCGACGCTGTAGGCATTCCAAGATCCACACAGGACAAGAGACAAAAGCTCCATAGTCTGGGTGCTCGAGGTAACAAGTTGAGAAAGGTAAAGCATTCAGGATGTGTCACGTATTGGCAGTCTGCCTGGGTCAAGTTTGGCATGCACGTAATCGCAAGGGCTCTTCGATGTGGTTACTGAAGTCAATCCTATGTTTGTCTTGTCTTTTGCTTTGAAGTTCCCTCTGACCAGATTGAGAGACGAGAACCAAGGATATTGTGCAGTCGACCCGCTCAGAACGAAGCATGCTGGAAAATCCATGTTTTGAGGCAATAATCCCACCATCATATCAAGGGGCCTGAATGGTGTCTGCAGCAATGCAATCTTGCATAACTAGCCAGAATGACTGAGGTGTTGTCTCTGTGTCCTATTTAAATAGACCATTCGGCTTCTCGATCAGCCCATGAGCTACGCTTCGGCAACGCTTCTCAAATATGGTCTTTCATTTTGATCCCCTCCTCCTCCGCCTCTTCAACAGCAAGATCCATCAATACCACGTCCCCAACATGCTCCGTGACTTCGCTATCGTTGTCTCGAAGCTCAATGCGTTTGATCTGTTGTTGATCGTCCAGGTCAATGATGTAGACATCGTGTTTCTTGAAGAACCGAGGAGTTTTGTTGCAGTAGCCGAAATCTCCGGCCCCCGTTGTCCGGAATCGAGCGACATGGCAAGTGACTCGTCCTCGGTCGACAAGCAGGAGCCGGTGGGCTGTGTGTTGGTCGCATTGTCTCTCGTGCTTAAACCAGTCGATGATAGAGTCAGTATCGACGCAGATATCGCTTGGATTCTCCAGCCTGTCGATAAGCCTCGCGTTTGGACTCAAGTGCGGTTTTACACCACCCCAGTCCTCATTGTCGAAGCACCGAAAGAAGTGACGAATCTTGCTATCAATGGCCCGTCGCAAAGGGCGATCCGGAACCTCACCATTGACTTCAGCAGCGAAGATGTTGAGAGCGTCGTGGCCGCAGAAGTTCATCTTATCGTGATGCTGAAAGAGGAAAGTCAGCATAGCTTCCATGAAGAATAGCGAGGATATAACACAGTTGTGGACTTGTTGGTGTCGAGCAGATAAGTTGTGTTTGATATGTTAGGGTCCAGCTCGTCCACTACGATATTGTCTGACCTCTGTTTTCTGTACCAAGGAGGAAATGTGGAGGGTTAAACGACTTCAATACCCAAGAGAAAAGATGCCTTCAACAAGTGAATCAGAAAGCATGTTCAGACAGCATCAAGTGAATGTTTAGGATAATGGTGAACCGCAATGTTCCTGCGGCGGGTTTATATTGTTTCACTTTTCCTCAGCAACCCTAAACCCAAGTTTGACATATCTCTCTCACTCCTTGTTCAAGTATTGAAGTATTCTTTACTCGAGTCACTGATTTCAGCTGAACGCGCTTCTTACCCGAGGTTTCCGTAGTGAGCAGCTGGCCCTCGTTCCGTTAGACCATCCACTTGAGGCCGTTGTCGAGGTCAAAGACAAAGACATCCCGATCTTTGGCAATATTGCCGTTGCTGAAATTATGGTCGTCTATGTAGGATAATCCGGGAGGCTCTTCATCGTCTTTTTCACTATAACCGCAGAGAAACTTGTAATCCTGTCCGCGTACAAGGTGACTCTGCCTCGACCAGTTACGACAATGGTATCCAGGGGGTTCATAGAAAGTTCCTTTCAGTTTGTATACAATCGCGGCTTTCTTCTTGTCACCGGGAATCGAACATGTTGCAAATGACTTGTGGTCCTGGTGCAAGGAATTTGCAAAACGACAGTGAAGCGCCAATATTGCTTAGAAAGATTTTTGACCAAGCGGGTGCCTTGGGTCCTCGTCTTCCGATGATGTAGGGAGGGGTCACCTGGGTGAGTAGGATGCAACACCACAGAAAGTAGATGTTGGATATCTGCTGAAAGAAAACAGATTTACCAATATTCCAAAAGCCTTTCAATTTCAATTTGGTGGGATTTGCATGGGAGGAAAGTCGAATGCGTTGGGGTGATCAGAATAGGTAGACATTGCTGTTGGTGCTCACGCTGGAAGAACCTTGGCTGGCCTTCTTTCAGCGGCGGTCAATCCGAACAGGTCCACTGCACGCTCCCCGACCGCAATCGACAGCGGATGCAGGGGGCCCCACTTCCGGCTGGGCTTACCGCGACGGGTAAAGTGAGAGACACGGCAGATGGTCTACCTACGTGTATGTACCCCCCCCCCACCTTCATCTGTGGGGGAGGTTGAGTTCACCTCAACAGACTAGGTACCGTACGAACTGGAGCTCCCAGACAGTGGCTTGGGTGGCTTGATCCGGGCGTCATGACGCTCTCAGGTCAGGGAGAGGCGCTCGATCCTCTCTGCGCTCTCAGTCTCTTTAGCTCAACCTTTGAGGGGCCTTTATCACGGACCAAAGCCGCCGGCTGGGTTTCAAAGCGTCTTTCAACTACATTCCAATTTCATTTATTTCACGATGCCGAATCAGATATCCAAGCAGTGGTACAAGGATGACTACCTTATCTCCACCGACCGGTCGCTCCTCGACCTCAAGGCCATCAACGATGCGTTTGACTCGGAGTTGTTGTGGTGGACAAGGCGGGTGTCGGAGGACGCTCTGCGTAGGATGATTGACAACTCGCTGTGTCTTGGTATCTACAAGCTCCCCGCGTCTACCGCCGATATTGCAGGTACGTCGCCCCCTCTCTTTGATGCAGTCTACTTCCAACCGTTGCTAGGCAAAAAGGGACCCGAGCTCGTGGGCCTCGCCCGAATCGTCACGGATTACGTCACCATCGGCTACCTTGCAGACATCTACGTGCTGCCGTCACATCAGGGCAAAGGCCTAGCGCCGTGGCTGATGGAGTGTTTGAACGAGATCTTGGATGAGTGGCCGGACCTGAGACGCTTCTTACTCCTGACCTCGTCACCGCAGGCGAGCAAGCTGTACGAGCAGGCGTTGGGGACGTTTGAGTGGGGCCAGTCGCACTCTGGAAAGCTGTATCTGCTCGAGAAGAGGGGGTCATCGATGCCCGAGGGCCCGGCTGACACGGACGACGATGAGTGAGCTTGGTTTTGGGAGATTTGTCTGGTCTCGGATTGGGAGAAGCAGCCTAGACCTTGACGGAGGTCTTGCCGTACGCCCCACCGGCGGCCTTTCTCAGTTCGATGGCGCGCTTGTAGGGAGGTGCTGTTGGCGGTTGCACGGGGTCAAGAGAAACATGGTCCTCGGGCAGTTGGTAGGACGCATCAGAATCGAATGCCGACAGGTCACCGCATGCAATGAAGGGCGCAATCCACCTAATGTTCTTTTCGTGGTCCGTAGCCTCGTCCGTCTCGTCGTATGCCTCCACTTCGACGACTTGTCCTTCACCCCTAGTGGCAGATGAGGTGGGCGATGTGTCCCACTTGCCCGTGGCGGGGTTCTGCATCAGCGCGTCGGCGATGGCGGGCAGCTGACTCCTCCGCTCCTCGACCATCTCGGGCAGTTTGTGTCCCACGCCCAGCGGATTCTCGAGGCTGGCCTGGAATCCTGCAGGGGGCTGGAAGTTGATGCACACAATGAAAGCCTCGACACTGCTCGCGCGGGATGACCTAGGCTTGGCGACGATGACGGTCTCGAAGAAGATCTTGAGCTGCGCATACAGGAGATCGACGTTGCGGCCACGGAAGATCTTGGCGACGAACTTGCCGCCGGGCTTCAGGACGCAGAGGGCGAGGTTGAGTGCGGCGAAGAGGAGCTGCGACTGAACGTAGATGTCCAAGTCGTGAAGACCGGTAACATCGGGGGCGCCGTCGCTGATGACCAGGTCGACGCGGTCGGTCGCTTGCTTGCTCTTGGAGTTGGCATCGTAGTCAGGGTCGAGGGCCTTCAAGAGTAGAGGCACGGTGGCCGGGTGCGTGATGTCGGCACGCAGAGTAATGATACCAGGCAGAGGGCTGATGGGCTGCAGGTCGATGGACACAATCTTGACGTCCTTGCGGGGCTGGGCTTCTTCCTTGGTCTCCTCTGCCTGGGTTTTGGCCTCGGACGCGCCGGATTCAGGGGTAGCAGGGAAGACGCCAAGCATCTCCTGGCGGAACTTGGCCCCTCGATCCTGCCATGCTGAACGGCCAAACTTCTCCCCTTTGATGAGCACACGAGACAAGACTTGCGACCAACTCCCGGGGGCGGCGCATAGGTCGACGACTCTGGTGACGTTGGCGAAGAGGTCAAACTCTAGGCTCATGTTAGCATTTGATGCCCACGACACACAGAAATGGCGGGGTAAAGTGACTCACCCTCGTCCAGTTGCAACAGCTTGAAAGCGCTGCGTGCGCGCCAGCCCTGCTCCTTGGCGAGGCGGTAGTAAGCGTCGCGCTTGTCCTTGGAAGATTTACCCATGTTGATAGCAACGAGGTGAGTGAGTGGTGCGAAAGGGGCCGAGTTACGCGATGCGAGATGGTGGGGGGAGGGGAAACGTTCACTGAGAATTATTTTATTAGAGGGGTTCGAATGTCGCTGCCCGCCGAAAGAAAATTTGCTGCAGCGATTGCCGGTCGCTGTAGGGCTGAATTAAGGTGTGGTCTGGGCTTCTGAAGGCGCTCTCGGGGCTCCATCGTTCGGTTGAAGTATTTTTCCGGGTCCGCTGAAATTTTCGAGCGCAGCGCAGAGAAACGCAGCGAGCGATCAATTGCTCGGCCGCATTTGCGCATCGAAATTTTGGGTGCATTTTTCGCGGGGCATTTCCCAAGACATTTTCTTTTCGCCTCGATATACCACCACCACACACGCCACGATGCAGCACAAGAGGAAACACCAGCCCTCCGAGGCCGGCCAGAACCCTCAGAAGCGTCAAAAGTCCGCCAACACTAAGAATGCGCCTTCGAAAAAGCGCAAGGTCGCCGCCAGCGCATTGCCTTGGAAGAAGGTCGACGTGCCCGAGATGTTCGACGATGCCGAGGGTTTCTACGGGCTGGAGGTCATTGAGGGTGTGGATGTCGTCAAGCATGGAGACAACATCGAGTTTGTACGTATCTGACCCGTGTAGCCTCTACAACCCGCACCTACTGACCGAAGACTAGGTCGCTGCTATCCCCTCCGGCGACGAGAAGGAACAAAACGAAGACGAGTTCGAAGGCTTCAGCGACTCTGAGCCCGCCCCTTCTCAGCCCGAACCGGTGAAAGAGGAGCCCAAGACAGAGAAGAAGACGGAGCCAAAGAAGACCAAGAAGGAAAAAAAGGCGGCAAAGGCAGAGCAACAGGCAAAGAACGACAGGCCTGAGGACAAGGTTGACGACACAGATGCCGCCGAACCTGCGACTGGAGAACCCCAGGGAAAGAAGAAGAAAGAAAAGAAGCAGAAGAAGGCCCAGTCCAAGCCCGAGGACGCCAAGCTCGAGAGCAACCTATTTACGGCTCTGGAAAAGGTTGAAGAGGCCGAGGAGGACCTTGACATGACCCCGTGGGTGGATCTCGGCCTCTCGCCCGCCCTGGTCTCGGCCATCTCCAAACTCAAGTTCGCCAAGCCGACAAAGATTCAGACATCGACCATACCCGAGATCCTTGCCGGCCACGACGTCATCGGAAAGGCGTCGACCGGTTCCGGTAAAACGCTGGCGTTTTCGATCCCCATCGTCGAAGACTGGCTCGAGAAGTACGAGGACAAGGCGGACGGGGAGAAGCCTGCGAAGCCCGAAAACACACCACTCGCGCTGATCCTGTCGCCGACGAGAGAATTGGCCCACCAGATCACCAACCACATCAAGAATCTCTGCGCCGGCCTGCCCAACGCGCCATTCGTCTGCTCGGTGACGGGTGGTCTCTCAGTATTCAAGCAGCAAAGGCAACTGGCCAAGGCAGATATCGTCATTGGTACGCCGGGACGTCTGTGGGAGGTCATCAGTGGAAGCCGGGAGCTGCTCGCAGGGTTCAGGCAGATCAGGTACCTCGTGGTTGACGAGGCTGACAGACTGCTGAGCGAGGGCCACTTTAAAGAGGCGGGCGAGATTCTCGACGCCTTGGATCGCGAGGTGATTGAGGAGGACGACGATGACGACGACGAGAAGGACCTCTCGGCCCGGCAAACGCTCGTCTTCTCCGCAACGTTCCACCAGGGGCTGCAGCAGAAGCTGGCGGGCAAGGGCAAATGGGGCCTCATGTCGGAGAAGGAGTCGATGGAGTACCTGCTGAAGAAGCTCAACTTCCGCGAGGAGAAGCCCAAGTTCATCGACGTCAACCCAGCGAAGCAGATGGCGGCCGGTCTGAAGGAGGGCCTCATCGAGTGCGGCGCTATGGAAAAGGTGAGTCGTTTCCGCCCCCTCACCCCCTTCTTTCGTATTTGTCACGCAGCTAACACATCCCAGGATCTCTACCTCTACACTGTCCTCCTGCTCAACCCTAACCGCAGGACCCTTGTCTTCACAAACTCCATCAGCGCCGTCCGCCGCCTCGCACCCTTCCTACAGAACCTCAACCTCAACGCCACGGCGCTCCACTCCCAGATGCCGCAAAAGGCGCGTCTCCGCTCCGTCGAAAAGTTCACGGCGACGAAGCCCAACACCACCTCGGTCCTCATCGCCACCGACGTCGCCGCCCGCGGTCTCGACATCCCCGGCATCGATCAGGTCATCCACTACCACGTGCCCCGCGCCGCCGACATGTACGTCCATCGCTCCGGTCGTACGGCGCGTGCCGAGCGCACGGGTCTGAGCATCATCCTCTGTGGGCCCGAAGAGGTCGTCCCGACACGCCGGTTGGCCGCCAAGGTCCACGCCGAGCACGCGAGCAAGAAGAAATACCTCATGAGGACGATCGACATTGACCGCCGCATCGCGTCCCGTCTCAAGCCGAGGGTGGACCTGGCCAAGAAGCTCACCGACGCGACGCTGGCCAAGGAGAAGGGCACCAAGGACGAGGACTGGGTCAAGGCCGCGGCCGAGGAGCTCGGCGTCGAGTACGACAGCGAGGAGCTGGACAAGGCGGGCAGCTGGACCGGCCGCGGGAGCCAGCGGAAGAAGAAGCAGCAGGAGGACAAGAACATCTCCAAGGCGGAGATGGGCGCCATGCGGGCGCAGCTGCGCGAGCTGTTGTCGAAGCGCGTCAACGCCGGCGTCAGCGAGAAGTACATCACAGCGGGTACCCTCGATGTCGAGGAGCTGCTCAGGGGCGGCACCGGGGATTTCCTGGGCAAGGTTGATGGCTTGGATCTGGAGGACTTGTAAGAAAGGCGTCATGTCACATTACGCATGCGTGCACCAAAACACAATACCACTGATTGCAAGAAATCACTTTTTGATTACTGTCATATCCTTGGCTATATTCATTTTTCCGTGTCCACATCCATATTGGTCGCATCTGTTCGCGATTTGACGGACTCCATCATGATGAACTCGGCTCGCCGACCGTGATCATGATCATAGTATAAACGAACATAAAAGTTTAAAAAAAAAAGAGTAGTTCCCACTGAACAGGGTAGAAGCTTCATGGATCCTCGGGAGATCACTCGTTCTTCGGGGCAGGTTTGTAGACTGCATCAGAGGAGGGGTTGGGGGATTGGAGCTGCTGCTCCTTCGTATGCGAGAGACGCCGAGTCGATGGACGCTTGAGTTTGCGACCTGTGATCGGGGCGGGGGTATCAGATGCCTCTTGTCCCGAAGCATTCTGCTGCTTCTGTTGCTGTTTGGGGGTCGGTGTGGCAGGAGACATCTTCGTGGGCATCCAGAATGTGACACCGCTCTTGAGGTGCTTCGCAGTCGTCGAGTCCGGCGTCACAGGCTTTTCCGGGCTTGACATGTTTGCTGTCTGTTGCCCAAATATCGGCACAGGGTCATGTCTGCCGAACATGGCAGAGAAGTCCGATGCTGTTGTTGGGGGTCCAGGCAGTGCAAAAGGGTTTTTGACTCCTGGGGCCTCAATGCTTGTCTTGAATATGGCGGCTGTTCGGTTTTCGTACTCTTGGTTCGACTCATCAATGGCCTGGTTCATTGCCGCTTCGAATTCCTCGTCTTCCTCCTCGGCATCCTCCTCTCCTTGATTCTTCTTTTCGTCCTGGGTCTTTGGGTTCGTGGCGTCGTATGCCTGCGTGCTTTCCATTTCCATGCCAGTATCAGACTGAGCATCCTCCTCTGAGCCGTCCTCGTTGACGCCTCCCAGCCATTGGGCTCTGTTGATCATTTCCAATGCTTTTTGCTGCTTCTCTTTGGTCTCGGTGGTGTATAACTGCGTTTGGTTCGGGGATGTCTTCTGATTGTTCTGATCCTCGGCGCTTGTGTTGGCACCAGCATGTCCGTTTTCGAAATTGCTCTTCATTCCTTGGACCTGCTCTTCCAAGGTCATGATACTTATGTCACGGTCCGTTATCATGTCAGCTGCCTTCGCTACAGAAACAGTTAGCATCTTCTTCAGGCCGTAACTGACCTCAGTCACTTACTCAGCTGATTTCGGAGAGCTTCAGTCTTGTCAGTCCGGGTGCCGGCAGCAAGGTTGTCCCTCTGTCGGCTGGCCTTGTTGTATTCGACCTTGAGCCGGTTATACCTTAGAAGGTCTGCGGTGGCCTCCTTTTTTCTCCTCTCCTCCAGCTCTGTGAAGCGTTTGATGGCATCCTGCTCATTGGTAAGTGCCTTGTGCAGCTGTTCCTTCAAGCTCTCGACTTCTTTGTCGTGGTCCTCGTTGTATTCTTGCATCTCGGTGACTTCTTTTTCCAGGCTACTGATACGTACCCGGGCAACAACAAGGCTGTCTTGGAGGTGTTTGAATTCGCCATCCTTCGTGGCAAATAAGGTTCTCGCTTGGTTCAGGTCAGTTTGATGCTGGTGCTGCACAGCTTCCAGACGCTGTTCGATAGCCCCGCTGTTGGCGTTGGAGACTGCGTTCTGATGATGCAGCTCTTGAAGTCGCGATACCTCTTGACGGAGGCTTGTGTTCTCGTTATTGGAAGCATCCAAATTGCTGCGTAGAGAGGCGATGCACTGCTGTTGCTCGGTATGGATGGCTGATGCCTGGTTCATCTTGCTAGTGTGACTGGCTTGTGCGGTTGTGAGCTGGTTGCTCAGCTCTTCCGTCTGATGTGTAATGCTTTCGATGTGTTCTTTCGTCATTCCAAGGACCAGTTTCTCTTGTGCGGCTGAGAGCTCGGCGGTCAATTTGTTGATTTGGTTAGCGACACCGGCCATGGCCGCATTTGACTCGCCTGTGGCCTTCTTGACCTGGTTCTCAAGCTCGTCGATCCTAGCTTGCTTGTTAGTAAGACCCGCCTTGGCTGTCTGAATATGTTTCTGAGCATCCGCCAGAGTGTCTCTCAGAGAACAGATCTCAGCTTTGTTGCCAGCATTCTGCAAGATATTGGTCGAGTCACTCAGTTGCTGTCGCAGGTTTTGGTTCTCTGTTTCCAGCAAAGCGTACATAGTCTCGGCGTATTTCATCTTCTCGTCGCGGTCTTCCTCAACGGCAATTCCCGCATCAATCAAGAACTGGATGGTCGTGTCTTTCTCTGCAATGAAAGTCTCAATGTCGGCAGGCGTGTTTTTTCGTGTTGCTTCGTCCAACTCCTGCTTCAACGACTTGATCTCGGCACGCATAACCCCTAGCCTGTCTTTTGCCACCACGGCGACATGCGCTGCATCGCCGCGGAGCTTTCTGGCGTGGGCGTCCTTCCGTTCGATGATCCACTTTGAATTCTCGACCTCTGTCTTGAGCAGGCGCTCGGCCTTGTCGGCGCGAAGTCTAGCCTGGTCGGCCTTCTTCTGGTATTCTGCCAGCTGAGACTCGAGTTGTCGGATGTTATTCGCTTCCGGGCTGTACTGGGACAGTTGTTGCTCGGTACGATCAAGGCGTTGCTGTATGAGTTTGCGAGAGGCTCTTTCAGTATCCGTAGCACCGTTTGCGTCGAGCTCGCGCTGTTCCACCTCTCCCAGTTGTTTAACCAGCTCGTTCACCTCCTTTCGTTTGATGTCAAGTTGATGCCGCCTGGATTCGCAGACAGGGCCCGGTAGTCGGCATCTCCGCGCCTCAGCGGCTTTTTGCTCAGTTGTAAGTTCCGCATGGAGATTGAGGGAAGGCTGTTTCGCTTCGGTAACAACGTTGGTTCGTCTCTCCTTGAATATTCTGTCGGTGGCCAAGGTCGCGATTGTGATCGATGTCCGACACAGATAGCCAACAACTGCTGCAGACGCGTGCAATACAGTACTGGGGTATGGGATGAAGGCAACCATGCTGCAACGAGCTATCTTCTGGTCGATTCTGGTCGCAGTTTCTTCTGAACAACCGAGCGAAGGGATGAAGTATCGGATTGATGGGTTTATAACGTAAAGATAAGAGAAGGGGGCAGCGAGAAGAGTATGGATGAGAATCCAGAAGCCGACAATCATCTTCAGGTTGTCTTCGATGGTCAGAAGCTTCAACAACTCTGGGAGATAGTATAAAAGTTGGATTGCGGCCTGGAATAGGGCTCTCAACGCAATGATGAAAGCACCGAAGGCCAGAGCCACGTTGATGGGGTCGATTCCTCTCATCTTGCCGGTTCTCTGAGAATATAGCAGAGGCAAGAGATGATCGAGTGTAGTGCAGTTTCGGATGATAACTTGATAATAGCGATTCCAAAACAGGAAGCCAAGTGGTAGAAGTTGATGATGAGGAGAATCGCTAAAGCTGGTGTTGAGAGGAAAACTCAAGGTGAAGGTGAGACGAAACAGTGAGATGAGAGACCTAAGTTAGACTGAGGGAAACAGTGGCTGGTGACAACACGACTTGAGGAAGGCGCGGTCTGGAAGGAATTCCAATTGAAGGCAGGTGCGAAGGTGAGAGGTGAGGCAGGCAAGGATCGACACAGCAACCCTATTCAACCTCTTCCTCCTCCACAGGGAATTCACTAGGTACACTCTGCAATCTCCCACATAGATATGGATGCTAGTATTCTTCTTGTAGACTTGACTGTGTCGCTTGACAAAGAAGGCCACCAAGAGGCATTGGCAACTGATCGACCGCTTTGTTACCTGAGGGTATGAGAACGGCATTGATGAGCTTTCGCAAAGTTCAGTAACACGGCATACTGGTCGTTCCTTTTTCTTTGAAGATACATAAGCCTTTGTTTTAGGTCACCTGTCGACATCAGTGACATTTCTTCTCAAACATGCGAGCTCAGTAAGATGTCTGCCAACACTTTCTTGCTTCCTACACGAAGGATTCTGGAGGCATCGTCTCTACTAGGAATCTTTACATGGCGCAGTGTTGCACACTCAATCTTTTACATTGGATTCGCGATGGATCAAGATACGTGTAGCGACCGCGAGACCACATCGTCGCGTTGAGAGTCGTGTACGCAAAATCAATGGTCCACGATGCAACCTGCGAAGATTGTATGCGAAATGCCTGTCGGTCTTTTTTATATATTGAACACTCAGCTTTCCAAACCATGAAAGTTAGAAAATGCTGCGGCGCATATTGAATACCATTGCTCATTGCCTGCCAGCTCACCTCAACTGTCAACGCAATGAGACAAGGTTAAAGCAGGCCGAATATCCACTAACAATAGTCGTCACCGCAGGCCATCAACTAGCATAGCGGTACGTACCGTCTAGTATTTAACAACCCTTCCATCTCCGCCAGTCTGCCGAGTTTGGCAAGTTTTCAACAAGGATTAATAGTCTTCTACAGCAGATTAAAATTCTTGGAACGGACTACTGAGTAAACCGATACTGCCACGAATCTCATCGTAATCCTCAAGTGTAAAACAGTCCTCTTGGCATTACATAAGAGAACAGCCTCGGACCTTGGTACCTGCCCACTTCGGGAAACACCTCAAAAGCAAATGCAAGCCAGAGATTGTGTGGCACGTTCCTGATCGATGCCCTGTTATTTGTGCAAGTGTCGTTAATGTTCACCTTGTCTCTCAGATCGATTGCAATAGACTTTGTCGGATGCTGCATGCATACGCCGTACATCTTATCGGCCCAGACGCTTGAGTGGCTTGTGAGGCTTGCCATCATCGTCATGAACCTTGACTTTTATTGACCTGCAAAGCTTCAAAAGGTACATACCTTGCTCACATGGCGGCGTGGTCAATGTAAACTTAAGCTAGACGTGACCCAGCCTTGGACTAGAAGACCGCTGAATCTTGGTCCGCAGTCACGGTCTTCGACCTTGGCCAACTGGTCCAGAGGCATTCCTCCAACTTCATAACAATAGTTGACACTCAACCAGAAATGCTCCGAAACTCGAGGAACGCATCATCCGGCAAGATGCCGGGCAATCTATACACCATGAGCCTCCTTTCCTCCAGCAACCTTAGCAAGGCCGGCCCCTTTTTTGCGGCCCTGGAACAGCAGCTTTACCAGCCCATCATTCCAGGGAAATCTATCAACGGGCCGACCGTCCCAGTAGACGAAGCGAGGAGCACAGCTCGGCAACACCGAACAGACGAGTTCGATGACGTTGGCGAGGCATCCGTGGCCAAGCATTACTTTGATGTTCCCTTCGAAGTAGACGTCACCAACCACCCAGTTGACGAGACTGAGAAAGTGAAAAAGGAAGAAGAACCAACTCTCGATAGTGCGCGGCAACAGAAATCCGTGGCCGAAGCACGCGAGTTCTTGAGGAATTTCATCGAGGCAAGATGGGAGGATCAACTACTTGCGGGATACATCAAGATTCAGTGCGATCTGACCATGTTCGAGATCAGGGAACTCGGTCGTCTGGACAAGGCAAACGGCTTACAGGAGTGCCGAAAGCTCGTCAGCGCGCCAGTGATCCACGATGCTATTGGGTATGCCCTCTGGTCTGAGCTGGCAGGAGAAATTGCCACAGGCAGAGAAGAAACGCTGGGCGACAACATCGAAGCAACAAAACATACATCCACCAATACGGGTTTGATCACGACCACACAGGGGAGGATACAGTCGTCAACTGCGATGAGCCCAACGAGCGTAGAAGAAGTTGCTGCCCGACGGGCGAGGTCAATGAGGAGACGGGCTACGGATGGAGATGCCATTGCCGCACAGTCTGCGCCAAGAATCACTTCACCGTATATGGCCACTACGGCACGCGCGCGACGAATGAGCGATTTGCACTTGGTACGGCCGCATCAAGTCATATGCACCACCTGCGGGAGCAGAGCAGTGCCGAAACCCAGGCACGACGACAACGCGATATCCGACGATGAGGATGTCCAGGGAGAATGCGAATTTGGGTCTAGGGAGAGGAAACGGGACAGCATCTCGAGACGGCTGTCTGTCAAGATGAACAAGACTATTACAAAATTTGGAGAAGGTCTGGCGACTGGTTACGGAGGCAATGGGGTTAGCCGGGTGACTGGGTAGATGGCAAGGGGGCCAGACTCAACGCGTCCAGAACAATCAAGATTTGAGGGCGTCTGGCAGTGAACTTGCATAGTTTGATTGGAGCATGTATGGAGCGCGGTCCCTTGATGGAAGATTGATACCATAGATTGATACCATAGCGAATAGACGACGAGAATTGCACGAGCCAATTCGGCCCAGAAACCTGGATGAGCTCGCAGTTGACTACTTCTGAGTTTCTGGTGATCTGCACGCGCGACGTCTCCTGCGATCGGTCTGCATCTCTAATGGAAACAGTGACATAGTGACTTTGGCATACTCAACCGTGGACTGTGCAGAAAGCCGGACGGGGTGGATCATTTAATGTGGAGCTTGGCCCCTAACCCGCTCCGGGCTTCGGTACTTGGTGGGGCGTTTCCGGGCGGTGCTAGCTGAGACTGGCCCTGTCCTTGCTAAGGACGCAATGTTTGTTTTCGCTACACGCTCCACGTTAGCTCGCCCTCCCTGTCAACACTTAAAAGCCCACGAGGCAGAGCCGACAATCCCGAGTGAGACGGGAAAGCTTTTGCTTCAGCTTTATGTCAAATCGCCTTGCCAGTTAGACGTCTTTTCGCCGTTTACTGTACACGGTCACTCTCTGAGCAATAAGTAACCCTGTGGCACGGCACTGAAGTTGGATGGTGCATGGAAACGCCTGCCGTCACCTGCATTTCCCATTTCTGTGGCGTCTGCCGGCGTCTGAGTCACAAAAGTAAAAGTTGGAGGTGGCCGTAAAAGACAGTTGTGAAGACGCGACCGCGAGGATCTCGCCGATTACATAATATAAACAAAAGAAAACGAAGCATCGTGTATTGGGGTCTCGATCTATTTAAGGTTCTTACTTCGACATACTTCGCCAAGCTTGAGATGATTTAACCGATTCCTATCTCCATCATTCAAGTTGGCTCACTTGTCGGAGAGTAACGAGGCTAGGCTGGCTTAGCCGGGCTGATGTCTTTGATTGTTAGACGCCGTGGCGGCTACGACTAAGCCTTCTTGTGGGACACGGCCGTTGCCCCTATTTCCAACGGTCGAAGATGCGCTCTTCGTGTCCATCTTAATCGAGGAGATATCCTTACTCAAATTTCTATGAACAATTGGTTCTTGGGCGGGGATTCTGTTCCCTCTGCTGCGAGATCTCAAGAGGCACAATGAGGGCCACTTGTTCACGACATCGCCAAGCTGCGCTGGGCAGAGACTGCTTTAGCCTAGGAGTTCAGCTGCCAGCGGTCTGCGCTACTTTGGCGCCATCACAACAGGGGGTCAGTGCCGTAATGGGTAGTGATTGATCTCCAAACCGCCAATTCTGCCCTTTCAGATGTGGAGGTAGGTTGCTCAGGGGTCGACGGAATGGACTGTGGCGTTTGGCTCCTGGCTGATGCTGCCTCTTCCCCGCGCCCATCCCATGTCGTGTTAATCTCACTCCAGGCAGAGGCCTCTTTCTCTCTTCTCACCTCTTCTTGTTTTCGTCATCCTAGTTGGGAGGTTCGACCTGTCCTTGTCTCCTTCGACGGCTTTCGTCATTCCATTCCTTTGCGTCCCTTTATTCGAGATTCCGCCTGATCTCGACGATGGCAGCCCCTGTCTTCAGCAGCCTTGCGACGGCTGCAAGTATTGTATATGTGACTGACCTTTCCATATACACTCTGTTGGTATGACTACACCTGTTTTTACTCCCAAGCGAATCGGCGATGTCTTTGGATACTTGACATGCTGACCCATTCCAGGCACCTTGTGCCCAGACTGCTCTCTCGTACAACATATTCACCCAGACCTACTCGGCTTGTGGCGAAGCACCCACCGACTTGCAGTCATGTATCTGCACAAAGAACAACAACCTCGCTGCTGTCTCGACGTCCGTCTCAAAGTCGATCAGCTACAGCTGTGGCTCCACGGCATCCGAAGACCAGACGAGCGCCGCGGCAGTCCTTAGCCAGTACTGCAATCCCGATGTGACGGTCGCCTTCGCGACGCCGACGACCAACATCGTAACCAAGTATGCCACCGACATTGCCGAGTTCACCAACATGGCGCCTTGCGCCCAGTCGGGCGTCTCGTATGCCTTGAGCTCGATGAACTCGCTCTGCCCGGAGCCAGCAAGCCTCATGGCACCGTGTATCTGTACCAAGAACGACAACTCGGCACGCGTCAGCCGGTCTGTGGCGTCGCTCGTTAGGTACTCCTGCTCTAACGCAGCAGATGTGACGTCGGGTCTCGCTTTCTACGACGCGTACTGCGCCATGAACAAGGGCACCACTGCGTTCCCGCAGCCGTCGCCGCCTCCGGGGGACATGACGTACTACATGACTGCTCTGTCCCAGTACAGCTCGCTAGCCCCATGTGCGCAGTCCGGGATATCGAACGCAATGTACTCGCTCACGAGATACCAATGCCCCGAGGGACCCAAGGCACTGGCGTCGTGTGTCTGCCTCAAGGACGGTGTCACGAACCTGGTGACGAGTGCATTGACGTCGGATGTCAAGTACTACTGCTCTTCAACGGCTTCGGAGGACGTCTCTTCTGCCCTGGCTGTCATGGACTTTTACTGTAAGGCTGCTCGGAACGAGGTGGTTGCGACGGTTGCCGAATCAAGTAAGAGCCCCAGATTTTGGTCATGATGTAAGTGGTTTGCTGACGCAGGTTAGTCGCTCAAACGTATGCAACTGCACAAGCTGGAACCGGGTCGGGAACTTCGGGACCTCAGCCGACCAGTACGAGTTCAAGTGCCGCCGGTGGCAACCCCAACGACAACGGCACCAGCTCTGGCGGACCCGGTCTTGCTGCCATTGTAGGTGGTGCCATCGCCGTCATCGGTGCCTTGTCCATTGCAGGTCTCGTTGCGTTCCTGATCTACCGCCGCAGGAGGAAGATCCAGCCGAGGTTCCCCATTTCCTCAACCATCGGCCCGCCAGAGATGACCGGACCCCCCGAGCTGGGCGGCACAATGCTGTCGACCCTGCCACCAAAGAGTCCCCAGATGAGCGTTTCCCAAACGGAGTCTCCCCGGCCCGACACGATATCTCCGGTCTCCAATGCCAACAGCATGTTCGCTCCACCGCCATTAGGCGCAGAACTTCATGGGCAAACCCGATTACCATCCGAGATGCCAACCTACAGCAATAGCCAGCTTCAGCCTTCGGGTCCGCATATGCCCCCTGAACTGCAAGCTCAGCAGTACCAGGGACAGTATGGACAGGCACTCTCCGTTCAAGGCGGATATTCCCAGTTGCAGGGAGGCTCACCGCTGGCCGAGGCTCACGGCCAACCGATTCACCAGATGCCGAGCGGGCCACAGCCAGTGTATCAGACACCTGGTCAGCAACGGGCGGAACTGCAAGGAATGGGATGGCACGCAGGGCCGAGACCGGGGTACTCTGAAATGGATGCAAGTCAGCAGCGTCGATAGCCTAAATAGTCTTGACGGTATGAGTGGAAATGGGGAGTTTTTGGCGCAACAGCTTGACAATTTAGGAGGATACCAACTGCCTTCAGTCTTTAATAGAATGGTGAATGTATGTTGTTTGGCAGGCAAGAGCGCTTGAATCAGGGTCAGGGGATGTTTTTTTTGTGAGAATGCCAAGAAACGGCAAATGTGAAGAAGCTCTTGATGGTTCGATGTTGAAAATGGAAGCCTTGTCTCGGATGTATTACTCGAGTTGGGCTTAGAAAACTCACCGAGTGTTCACCTCTCACCGAAAACAGGCTTGGTGTATTCCGGTGAGAGAGCTCTGACTTCATCACCCACATAGCTGCAGGAGCTTATGATGAGTCAGCCGGCTGATTATCGGTGGCGGACGCAGCTGGCGACCCATGTTACTTCTGATTGGCTGAAACAAGGCTCTGTCGCCCATGGTTGCAGTTTCCCCCAGCCTTGCTGGCCGGGTTCCACAGTGTGCTGTGCTGGTCTGGAAAACATCCTGCTGGTCGCGCCTTCTCCCAAAATCTTGCGATTTGCCTGTTGACGCTACGCTAACCGCCAAATCCACACTTCAATTCCTCGTCGCCGGCTGCAACCGACACCCGCCCCAACCCACAAAGGCGGATTCAGGTTGATTCTTCATCTGTAGACGAGGGTCCTACTCTTCTCTTCTCTTTTTCAACGACCTAATCCCTTTTTTCCCTGCTTCAGCCTCTCCCGACTGGTGGGGTGTTCGACACGCGAACCAACAAACAACACCTCATCGACCGCGAACGATCTCGAAACTCACTTTCGATGTCGACAACTAGACCTTGAATTACAATCACAATGGCAGCGGCGGTGGATATAGGCTATGTGGCCGGCCACCTTGGCTTGTCCGAATCGATAGTTTCGACAGCCACGACCGATCCGACCCCCGAGCTCGTCGCGAGCCTCCTCGAAGCCGTCATTGCGAAAGCTCGAGAGCATGACGAGCTATACGCGCAGAAGCTCCAGGTCGACATCGAGCTCGAGAGCGCCCATCACAGCGCAGAGTCTAGATGCCAGACCTTCAAGGCTACTGCCGACAAGGCACTGAAGGACGTCGAAGAAGTTCGTCAAAAGTTGAGGGAGGAAGGTGCGTTGGCGATGCGCCATTGAATGCGTGTGCAAGCCTACCAGGGGACGGCTCACTGACCCCATCTTCACAGAGACGAAGCGACAAACTGTTGAGAACGAGCTCCAGTCGCTCAAGTCGCGTGGATCCGACCACGACTCTGAGATCACTTCCCTACGCGACCGAATCGAGTCTTTGCAATCCTCCAACCGTGCGAACATGGCCCTGCTGGAGTCGCGGAACGCTCGCGACTCTGAGCTGTCCGAGGAGTTGGCCAAGCAGCACCAGAAGAACGTTCAGCTTCAGAAGGAGATCACTTCCCTGCAACAGGCTGTTCAGACTGCCCAGGCCGCGGTTAGCAGCGCCAAATACCGGGAGGAATCTCTCCAGCAGCAACTCGACCTGGCCCGACGCAACAGCGAGTGGTTTGAAACCGAGCTCAAGACCAAGAGCGAGGAAGCGCTCAAATACCGCCGCGAAAAGGGAGCACGTATCGCCGAACTGCAGCGCCAAAACGAAGACGCCAAGTCCAGCATTGAATCCCTGAAGCGAAGCGAACAACAGCTCCGAGACCGCCTCGATGCGGCTCAAGCCAAGGCCGAAGAGGCCCTCACCAAGGTTCAACAGCAGCAAGAGGCCTTTGCCCGCAGCGAGGAGAGCTACAAGCACGAGATCGAGAGCAAGCAGCGCGTCGTGGACATGACTAACCAGCTGGCCGACAGCCACAAGGCCCGTGTTCAGACTCTTGAAGGTGAGAAGGAGGCTCTGAAGGAAAAGCATGCAAACGAAATCAGACGCATCCAACAAGAGCTTGAGAGGGAGAGGGAAACTTGCCGTGCTCTGGAGGAGAGAGTCACCCAACTCGAGGGTGAGGTTGATGAGCTTCACGCCCGCATGGAACAGGGCCCTCCCCGTGGCTCTACGCCTACGCCACAGACACCGCGCATGAACGGTTCGTTCCTCGGAAGACCTGCCTCTCCTTTCGCTACTCCGGCCTCGGCGCGAAGCAAGTCGGCCATCACCGCAACCCAGGCCATTGATGAACTTTACAAGGTCAAGGGACAGCTGGCGGGAGAGAAGAGACGCAACCAACAGCTCGCCGAGGAGCTCGACAACATGATTGCTCTCTTGGAGGCCAAGACACCCGAAATCGAGGAACTCCAAAACGAAGCCGACAGCCTGCGAGCCGAGATCACTAGGATGTCCGAGCTCTCTCAAACGAGCTTCGAGGAGCGCGATGCTGCGAAGAAGAGCGCAAGGAAGGCCGAGGGCGCGCTGGCAAACGCACAAGCAGAGTCCAAGATCCTTCGCACACAGGTCCGCGATCTCAGCACCCAGATCCAAATGTTGGTCTTCAACATGCACGCCCGCGAAAAGGGCCTGGAGCAGCTCAGCCGCGAGGAGACTATTCGCTTGGAACAGCTTTCTCGAGGCGAGGTCACCGAGGGCGCTCTCGCCGACATGTCCGACACCCACCAGTTCATCACCCAGAAGTTTGTCGTCTTCAAGGACATCCAAGAGCTTCAAGCCAAGAATCAAGAGCTCCTGAGAGTTACCCGTGAGCTGGCGGAGCAGATGGAAAGCGAGGAAGCTGTCGCTGCCAAGAGCCAAGCCGTGGAGGATCACCAAGCTGTCGAGCGCCTGCAACAGGAACTCGCCAATATGATCGACGAGACCAAGTCCCTGAGGACGACAATGGAGAGCTTCAAGGCCGAGCGTGATATGTTCAGACGCCTCCTTCAGCAGAAGGCCACCGCTGGCGAACTCGCCTCCATCCTCGGCTCGGATGACGGACAGCGCCAACCGCTCGCTAGCATCGAGAACGAGGAGGCCGATGGTGTCTCGCCCCAGGCCGCCCTCCGTGCCCTGCAAGTCGAGTTCGACACATACCGAAATGACGAGGAGTCAGTTCGCCGGTCGTTGCGGGAGCAGATTGACAGGCTCTCTAGCGAGAAGAACTCTCTCCAGGGCGAGGTCGCCAAGATTTCTAGTCAGATCACTCTCGCTTCCGAGCGATACGAGATGCTTCATTCCAACTTTGTCGCCCTCCAAAGTGAAAACAAGGAACTCCAGAAGCGGAACCAGTCGCTGTCTGAGGACTCCATCAAGCATGAAATCCGAACCCAGCAGGTCGCCGAAGAGCTCATCGATGCCAAGGGCTTGCTTGAGAGTGTCCGCAACGAAGCCGCGAATCTCAAGGCCGAGAAGAAACTTTGGAAAGACATCCAGGATCGTCTCAACCAGGACAATGAGAACCTCATGCAGGAGAAGACGCGACTCAACAACCTCCTGGCCAGCCAACAGTCCATGCAGAACGAGCGCGATATTTCCGAGTCTGAATATAGACGGAAGGCGCAGTCGAAGATCGATACACTTGAACAAGAACTCAACAGCACAAAGCGGAAGTTGTCGGACGAGATGGAAGAGGGGAAGAAGCTTCAGCTCAGAAAGGAGTTCGACGCACGCGAGTCACAGAAGCGTATCGACGAACTATCTACCAGCCTTAGCCAGATCCGTGAAGAGCACGTCGCCGTTAAAACTAGCCGTGACCATCTTCAAGCGCGTGTCGACGAGCTTACCATCGAGCTTCGCAATGCCGAAGAGCGGGCTGGCCGCTTGGCGCCCAGACCGACGCCCCGCCCCGGTACCATGGCACCTCCCACTCAGACCGATCAAGAAAACGAGGCCGAAGTGCGCGAGCTCATCAACGAGGTCTCCGACCTCAAGAGAGAACTTGATATCGCCAAGTCTCAACTCGAAAACGCCAAGGAGCAGACTGAGCAATACAAGCAGCTCAGCGAGCAGAATGAAGAAGCTCTGTCCGAATTCACCGCCTCTCAGGAACAATACAGAGAGGAGATGGAGGCTGCTCTCACTGGCAAGGACGCTAAGATTAAGGAGCTTGAGCAGCGTGTCGAGGACTTGTCAACCGAGCTGGCAAACTCCAACAAGGAGCTTTCCCACCTACGTGACTCCCAGGCGGAGGTTGCTCGCAAGTACGAGGATGAGAAGACCATCTTGGACGAGGAGATAAAGCGATTGAAGGAAGAGACGGAGCGTCACGCCGAGGCCTCCAAGTTCCACCAACAGGACCTCCGCGCTCAGTCAGAGATCACCGCCAAGGCTCAACAGGACTACGAACACGAGCTCGTCAAGCACGCTGAAGCTGCCAAGCTGGTCCAACAGTTGCGCACCGAATACAACGAGCTGAAGAGTCAATCTGCGACGCTGAGAGCTGAGGCTGAGTCTGCCAAGGTTGCTCTCTCTCAGAGTGAGAGCTCATGGGAGGAGAGAAGACAACGTCTGGAGCAAGAGATGTCGGAAATCAAGACTCGCCGTGACGATGTCAATGCCCAGAACAAGCTGTTGCACGAGCAACTGGAAAGCATCACGAAGCAGTTCTCTGCGCTCAAGGAGGGTCGCAATACCTCGGCTGAGGATGCCGGCGGCAGTGAAGAAAGTGGCAACGACAGCGCGGCCGATGGACTTCGTGAACTCAACAACTACCTCCGACGCGAGAAGGAGATTTTGGAGGTCCAGTACGACCTCAAGGTGCAAGAATCTAAACGCCTGCAGCAACAACTGGAGTACTCTCAATCTCAACTCGACGAGGCCCGTCTCAAGCTGGACCAGGAACGTCGCTCGCAAGCTGAGAGCGGTCAAGCATCCATTGCCCACAAAGATCTGATGGACAAACTCAACGAACTCAACCTTTACCGCGAGAGCAGCGCTACCCTTCGGAACGAGCTTGCTCAAGCGCGCACTCAAATCTCCGAGAAGAACGCTAAGATCGAGGAGCTGGAAGGCAAGGTCCAGCCTCTCGAGGCTAGGATCGAGGAACTCCAGACACAAAAGGGTTTTCTCGAGGAAGAAATCAAGCAAGTTCAAGAGGACCGCGACAGATGGCAAAAGCGGACCGAGGGCATTCTTACGAAGTACGGTCGTGTTGATCCTGCTGAGATGGAACAGCTCAAGCAGACCATCACTGATCTGCAGGCTGAACGCGACGCCCTCAAGGAGTCCGAAGCTCCTCTGCGAGCCGAGATCGAAGAAGCCAAGCAATTGTTGGAGACTGAGCGGGCCAATTGGCAGAACACCCGTCAGCGCATGACGGATCAGTTCAAGGAACGGTCGCGAAAGCTTACCGGCGAAAAGAACGACGCCAACACAGCGCGAAACGAGGCGGTTGCCGAGAAGGATGCCTTGGTCGCCGAGAAGGACCAACTACAACAACAACTGAACAATGCGACCACGGAACTGGAGACGACGAGGCAGAGACTGCAGGCGACGACGCAGCAACGCACCGAGTTTGAGCAACAGATCCAGAGCTTCCAGCAACAAGTCCAGAAGCTTCAGCAAGATGCCCAGGTAGCGCAGTCTGGAGCTCAGGGTGCCCAGCCCCCAGCGGACGCGTCGACTTCGGTCTCTACACAAATCGTTGCCCAGCTGGAGCAGCAACTCACTGAAATGCGAAGCCAGCTGGATGCCGTTTCTGCACAGAAGGCGGCCGCCGAGCAAGAGCTTGAAAACCTCCGAACGCAGTTACAGACGGTCACCTCCGAGAGAGACCAAGCTGTTCAAGCAGCGCAGCAGGCTGGTCAATCACAGTCGCAAGCTGCGCCCGAGCCCACGGAGGCCAGCAACACGGCAACAACTGCGAACGGCACGAGTGGCATGTCCGACGATGAGCGCAAGGCTTTGGAGGAGAAGGTTACTGCTGCCGAGGCTAAGGCTGCGGAGTACGAACGCAAGGCGAACGAGCTCGAGGAGAATATTACCCAGACAATCAAGGAACGGTCGGACAAGATGAGGAACGCCTTGAACGAGAAGCTCCGCCAGTCTCGCGAGAAGCTGGACGAGGAATACAGGACTAAGCTGGAGCAGGAAAAGATCATCTGGAAGGCTGAGCACCAAGGAGCCGCTTCTAGCCAGCCTGCGGACGAGCAGCCAGCTGTACCCGCGACGCCTATCAAGCAACAGGACCCTGAAATTGCTTCAACAACGCCAATGACGGGCACGCCCGCCGGGTCAACAGATCTGTCTCAGCTTCCCGACGCCGAGATCCGCAAGTTTCTTTCCACGAACCCCACAGTGCGCAGCATCATGTCCTCGAATCTTAGAAAGAAGCTGGAAGAGCAAACTGCCAAGGTTAAGAACGAGACAGAGACCAGCTTGAAGGCCGAGTTCGAGCAGAGAATTGCGAGTGCTCGAGAGGAGGGCCAGATGTTAGCCCAGAAGAAGTCTGCGTTGCAGATCAACATGAAGGACAACCAAATCAGGAGCGCCAATGCCAAGATCGAGGTTGTCTCTACCGCAGCAGTCAAGACGCCTCAAAGACCCGTGGGAGAGGTGTGGGAGGAGGCCAAGGTTGCCAAGCCAGCTCCCGCCGCGCCACAGCCAAGCCCGGCGAAGCCCGCTGGCAACGCACAGCCAGCCGCACCCCGTCCATCCATATCAGCCCCTTCTGCTCCGCCAGCTCAAGCTGGTGCGGCTTCGAATGGTAAGTCTTTCCCTAGAGAGATGGGACCATCCACTGGCTCTAACTATTTTCAAGCTGCCCCCAATGGATCAAACAACCAAGCCCCGCCGCCAGCGACTGCTCCTAGCGGCATTCCTCCACCAGGCAGTATCATCCCACAGAAGCGGCAAGTTCCCGCCCCCGGAGAAAACAAACTAGCAGCCAGTGCTGCCGGGGCGAACCCGTTCGCGACTGGCGCTGCAAACGGTACACAACCTCAAGCCAACCCCTTCGCTCAAGGGGCCCAAGCGCAGCAGCAGCCGCAACAATCACAGAATCCTTTTGCCTCAAGTACACAAGGTGCGCAGGCTGGCCAGGCCGGACAGCAAGGTCAAGCGCATCAGCAGCCAGCGACTCAAGGTCAACCAGCTCAACGGAGCGGCATTCCCTTACCTGGGCGTGGTGGCACTGCTGGACGTGGCCGTGGTGGCGCATTTGCCGCCGGTAACAGGGTGTCAAGTGGCGGCGCAGAGAGAGGTGGCATGGCGGGACGCGGTGGACGTGGCGGCAGAGGGGGTCAGGGAGCCGGGCCATTGAACCCTGGTGCCAACGACTTCCAGCCCGGAAACAAGAGGCCAAGAGGCGACTCCGAGGCAGGCGGAGGTGGGGGCGCGAAGAGAGCCAGAGGCGGTGGACACTAAATGTCCGCTGGGGGATGACCTGATGGAGATGATGTGGTAATGGCGGTGGAAGTTGCTTTTTACTCAGAGTCTGTATTGATATGACCGTGGAGCGTGGAGGTTCAATCGGAGGGGTGAAAATTGGGCAGACCCAAAAAGTCTGCAGAGTGTGTATAGCCAAGATATACTCTACAAAATGAATTTTCTTATGTCGTCAAAAGCTTGTTGTCATTTTGGCCATCAACGAGGTGTGTGCTGTCCTGTAATGGTTCGGCACTGTGTCTGGCTGGTTGCTGAGTGGCGTTGTCTTAGTGAAAGTCTGGCTATGGCTTTCATCTACTTTACTTCAAGTGACTATCACATCAGGTTATGCCTTGGCAGCTCCTCTTGGTTCTGCTGTATGGTGTCCTGTTCAGTCTCAAAGCTGCTCACTTACTTTGACCAACATCCGGATAGCTACTCGGAGGTCGGGCAACCCTTCAATTGGGTCACCCATGTCAACCGCAAGGAACCAAACTCGCAGGGGTTGAATCCAAGGGGCAGTCAGGCACAATGAGGGTTCGGGCATGTGAAACGCGGCCGAAAGTTAGAACAGGCTCTTTCCGATACGGATGGCCCCCTTGCTCTCGCGGACATTGTTGCGTAGGACGGATGAACCGACTCGCGCGACAAGGATCCCGACGGCGCACGTCGGTCTTCGGTGCGATCCGGCCGCCCCTCCGGCCCCTCCCATAGGCGGCTCGCTCCGCCTCTCTCCGATGCCCGGCCCCGCCGTGGAGCAAAGACCGCACAAAGCCCTATCCCAAGCAGAAGCGATGCCCCCCCATCCAAAAAGAAGGACACAACAGGTTGCAAAGGAATGAAAAGTGGACGTCCTCGACCTCTCCATCCGCAGTCCTTGAATTGGTGCTGGCACGCCAAACTCAACACACCAAGCCATGGGATTCCCATCCGCCCGGCTAGCTCAATCGGTAGAGCGTGAGACTCTTAATCTCAAGGTTGTGGGTTCGACCCGTAAGTAGAAACATCTCGCGTGTGCATCATTGAACGTGGTCATTAATAAGCACCAGCCACGTCGGGCTCAATTCCCGTCAGCGATTGACGCAATTCACTTTTTTGCATTTCTTTCCCACTTCTCCGTGCTGTCTCTAGGTTTGGTCCCGGTGGCACTGAGTTGCTTGCTGCTTCACAAGGCGAAACGATTTGTCTTGCTGGCTTCCCTTTGCACGGTGATTTCCTAACCCAGGTATCTGTTCTATTTTGCTCCACTCACGCCTAACAATTACCAGTCTATCATGAGTATGGTGGGAGAGCGTAGTCTTCACCTCACAGTTTCACCTCAGGTACTCTTGCCCAACACCCGACCACAGTTTTCGGGTCAGGTACGAACCGGCTGGCGAACATGATTCCTGGAGGTTTCCCTCCGATGATCTTCTAGTCATAGTTCATAATCGAGTGTGCCAGCACGATCTTCATCTCGTTGCTGGCAAAGAATCGTCCCGGACACGCGTGCAACCCGTGTCCGAAGCCTAAGAACCCGGGGCTCGTGGAGATGAACTGCCAGCGGTTCTCCTGGCCCGGGCTCTCACGCATGCGAACGAACCTGTGGCTATCAAACTTGTCTGGCTCTGAGCCCCAGAGGGTCGGATCCCTGGTGTTGTGCGTGGCGATGGTGACCAGGAGTCCTTTTCGAAGCAAAGTTCCGTCGGAGAGAGTTATTGGTTCCTCAACTCTCCGGTTCATTATGTCTAGATAACAGGTCAGTGAGAGACTATGTTTTTGAAGACCTCCGCTAACATACGCGGCCCAAGAATGTGAAGTCGCTGGCTCTCCTTCAAGCAGCTATCCATCGACTTCAACTTATACAGGCTGTTCTTGCTCCACCCGCCATCCTCGGCGAACACTCTCACGATCTCTTGCCTCAACAGCTTGAAGTACTCCGGGTATGTTAACAGGTCTTAGAGCATGGCAGTCAACACTGATAAGGTCATGTGAATCGCCGCAAAGGCAAGGAAAAGCTGTCCAGCCACGATATCAAATTCCCGCCCCCGGCAAACATCATCGATCCACGATAGCGAATCCGAAGACTTCTCCACTCCAGACTTTGCCTGCTGGCAGGCTACCAACTCAGACTTCATGATATCCCGTGCTCGGCTGATTTGGCTGTGGAGGTGATTCAACATCGGGACAAAGCGATGCGCGAGAGGCCTTAGTAGAACGGGCCAGGCACGCAGGGCGCGGCCGGCGCGTAGAGCGACGCCGGTGAAGCTGATGCCGACTACGATCCACTCTTTGTCGCAACAGAGGCGGTCACCGAGAAGAATCTTTGTTGATAAGCGTGCGGCGAGTTGCGCTGCGACAGGGAAGAATTTGACTTCCTGCCATTCGCTGTTCGACGGTAGCTGATCTTTCAGGATGACAGGGGTTTCTTCGCATAGTCGTTCCGTTAGGTACACTACGTTGTTTGTTAGCCTTTGGGAACTGCGTGTCTTTCCCACTGAGACCTCAGATCTCGAGGACCATACTCAGCTCCTGGTTCAGGTTCTTTCTCAAAGCCTCTTGGATGATGTCCCCATGCAAGCCATCTTGGAGAACGCTCAAGCCGGGGTAGCGAGTGAGCCATTGCCGTCAAGCGATTGTCAGCTGCTAATAGTACTGGGGCTGTAACAGTGTTATCCTTCATACCCTATCACTGAACCCTGTGAATGTCAGGCGTTTGTCATTACGGATTTCTTCGCAGAGACTGGGCGACAGCATGACCAGAGGCCCAAATGGGGAGAGGACCTGAAAAGGCTTGCCGTTTGACTGCGCAAGCAAGTCAACACCATCCACATGTTCCTCTCGGCCAATTAAAAAAAAAACAGCTTCCCGCATACCTCCTCAAAGCCCTCACGGAGAATCTCAAAGGCGTTGTTATTTCATCTCTCCCTTGCTTTTTCATAAGACCATTTCCCGCGTTTCTTGCCTATGAGTTTGAACCAAGGATAAGGTCTATCCTCGCGATAGTACCAAGCAAAGAATACCAGAACAAAAACAAGGAAAACTATCAGACACGGCCTCCCAAGCTGTCCCAAGAAAGCTTGGTCAACAAGGGCTTCAATGAGGAACCCCATACTGCATTGAACCACTATCTGACCACTAAAGAGCTGATCCTGGTCTCTGATGTCGTGGCGGGACGATATGACGTCGGGTATAACAACGTTATGCTCGGCAGTTGGGTAGTCGAATGTTTGTCCGAGCTGCGGTTGTATGCCAGGATGGGTTCGAAATTGAATCAGATCGTATAGAAGCCCTCTTTAATCTGTGTACTCTGAGGTGAGCACTAAGAGTCTGACTTCTGTCACCAGACAATGAGACGAGAATTCAATCTCTTTTAACCTGATGTCTGAAGATTCCCATGTCACTTTAGCCGGTGTTATTTAATTCGACTTCCAATGGCCCTGAGGCTAGATATATTCAACTGATGCGGATACACGTTGCGAACTCTAAATCAAAATGATGGGCAACATCGAATCAAGCGTTTTTGTGTGAGTCGTGAGTAGGTAGGCTATGCCTTACTTCTATAATCAAGCATGGCGCTTGTTCAGGGTTTAATCTGGTCACGGAAAGTATTTGTAAATCTTCCGCACTCGGGTGGGTGATTTTACAGTTCGCAGAGACACAACCAGACACATCGGGATCTGTCGCAAAATTACCTCAATGAAGAGGCTAGCAGCACTAACAGGCTGCCAATTGCGTGGCGGCACAGATTTTTTGGTGGTTCATCCTCCAGCCTACCCAACAATCCACCCCAACTTCTCAGCACTTACTCTCATCTCCCTAATTATGATTTTCGACCGCTACCATAAGGCTGTCACGTTAAGCATCAGGGACGAGGAGATGAGTTAATGTCAGTCACTCCAAGAATGCCGAATGGTTTTTCCACTAGTCGAGCACACTCCACTGCTCGAGGTCGGTCAGACACTACACAAGACATGTAATAGCCTCCAGCTTCATCGCTGGAAACGTCAAAGGCAATAGTATTCTCACTCTCATAGGGTTTGAGAACTGCTTTAATGTCATTGCAAAGGGGATGTATTCGAACGTCTCGTAAACACGGAACTGATAAAAGTTTTGGCGTCACAATATTCTTTACTACTTCGGAGAGGACCACGGAACAGGAGCCGGGATAGGAGGCCTTTTTAAACTAAGCACACCTTTAATCTCCGTCTACTTAGAGTAAGAAAGCGACACCAAGTCTCGCAGGGGTTCGCCGGTGGTTCTTGGACCGCGCGACTAGAGATGAATTCTCAACCACTCAGCTCTTCGTTCCCTTGGCTCTTTTGATAGTATTACCATCAGAGTACTCTACAAGGAACCAGTCCATGATCTCGCTGTTTACATCAAGCCGTATTGTCAAGCCTATATCTAAAGAGACATGGCACCCTTAAAGAAAGTGATTACATCCGTCGAGATCGCATGTCGTTTATTCGAAAGGCAATATAATTTGATGTAGAAACAATTTCTATTCCTCTACCATTGCCTTGAAGACCATAGCGGGCGTGGCTTTCGGCCCGGCTACCTGAAAAACTTCGTTACTCGTCGTAGAAGACGTACATTTTCCCTCCCACGCTGTTTCGGCTGCCTTTTTAATAGATAGAATGACGCTTTTCGACTCGTGAGTTTGTTCTGCTAGGTAGTCGACAAACAACATATCTTGAAAGGAGACATTTTCAACTTTCGCTCCCATGTACTTCTCAGCCATTTCTACGATCTGCCTGCCAGTAATATCCTCCGGCCCGTTCACGACATATTTGGCTTTGTCATGAGGGGTAACATCTTCTTGGAGTAGTAGATGGGCCGCAAGACGTCCGACCTCATATGGGTCAACAATGCCAACAGGGGCATCCTCTGAAGCCATCAACCTTAGGGTATCCTGCCTTCCAGTCTTGCGGAAATTCTTGACCAGCTCCACAGCAGTAGAAAGGTACAGCTGCGAAAAGACGTTGGGCTGCAACGAGGTCCAGTGTAGAGCTTGAAACTCAGGTGAGCTCAGCAACGTCTCAATTGCCCAATGCGTTCTCGGATAGTATACAGGGCAATCTGGGCGAACGTTTGCAGCAGTTGTTGAGATGCGAACAACATAATGGACGCCTCCTTCGAGAGCAGCAAGGTGGAACGTCGATTCTTCGGCGAACTGGTTTGGTTGGTTGTGTGACGCAATGAAAGCCCTCACAATGTTCTGTTGGTGGAGCCAATCTGGGGTAATCTCAACCCAGTTCATTTCTGCCACTTCGACTTTGGGTAACGTAGCTAGTTGCTGTGCTGCAGCCCCGCTCAAGGAACGTGTAAGAGCAAGGACGCGGTGTTCGGAAAAGGCAGTGTTGGTTTGCAAAAGTTCTGATAAGTTCTCAACAACCCCTCGACCGGTATTGCCAGTGGCGCCGACGACAAGGATGGTAGGAATCATCTTTGAGAATTGATTCAAAGTTGATAATGAGATAAGAAGGATGTGGTGTGGGTAAGAACGACTTCTGTTGAATAACACCTATAGCTTTTATATGAGGGCTGGCGTTTATAAATAAGCCATCGGGCCATACGTTGATATCGTTAGCTGCGAGTGGATTACAACGCTTCAGCGTCTAGACGAAGCCCGGTGGTTCCACCATTTTTTCGGAGCTGAACGTGAAGTTCTTAATTGGAGAGAACCCCGACGTGATTGACTCCGATTGGTTGTTTCTCCGGCACTTCGCAAGCTGGATTGCCGCCACTGACAATCGACGAAGGGTTCTAACGCTTGACGGCCTTAAAGCAGCGGTCAAATGCTCATGTAAGCTTAATGCTTGCAATTAAATGTACTATTAATGAAATTAGGCCTTTTCATAATCTGGCAGCTCTGTACAATATTACGAGACTGAATAGTCGTTGCGCTATGGCCGAAAGATTTGGCTGCCGCTTGCATTATGCACTGTACGCCGTAGTTGTGCGATGATAGCACAATTTGGCCCTACGAGCTGCCAAGCCCGGGACACCTGGCTTCTTCATAACTCTTAATGTGCCGGCCTGGGCCCAAGAGATACGCTGTTACAGACACAGTTATCGGCAAGTTTGACTGTATCATTGGAGGTATCTCGTTCATTTATTTCATGTAGCTGTCGTTCGTCATCCGAATAACAAAATGGCCACATTGCTAATCACCCTACACCGAAGCCGGCTCCATCACTTGGGCTTACTTTTCCTTGCATATGCGTTTTTATTTGTTAAATAAAGATTGCTACATACCCTCACAATTAATACATTACAATCTTGTCCTTATCGTTAGATAAGAACAAGGTCAAGCGAGGGAACCTCTTTACAATTGCAGATTCAGGACAAAACCCAACCCGCTTCAAACTCTGATCATCACCACTTGTACAATACGAGAGGTCAATATATCGCACTGAATCACCATGAGTAATCTTTTTTCTGCGTGGCCTTCTATAGACTTTGGGAGGCGTTTAAAGGCCAACACAAGCGTATGTGTCAGCCCACAGGCCCTGACATTTTGCACCAACGACAAGGTTCCATTTGACACATTTGGCGAGGGGAACGCGATATTGGCGCGAGATCGAATCGCAGTTCTCGCCGCTGCGAAAAAGTGAAAGTTTTTGCAGCTACCAATCATGCCATCTTGAATGGGCTAAGGGGTCTTGTTGGTGGACGGCGGCTGCGTCTACGAGCCACTAGTGACACCAGTGCAGAGGTAGTAACCGGCTCACATGTCGGTTCAAGCAGAACTTTCGGTTCCCTTGTTCTAGCTCGTAAACTGAGCCGCAGTGACGCAAGCCTTGGAGGGAATGGTAAAGCAAGTGTCTTCAGCCTTCACAGTGTAGATGCGGTTGCAGTTTAAGACAAAGCCTGGCTGAGCAGACTTAGTACTCTTGACGCCGTTGTCTGACTTAGTAGGTATGGTGGTGGTTGCCGCCGGTGCTTTCAAGGTGGTGATCGGCGCGGGAGCCACGGAGGTGGCAGCGACACAAAAGGATCTGTCCCTTCCAGTCGCTACAAGACTTACAAAAGCTCAAGCTGTCCTTTTGACATGGATACAAGTTTGAATTGGGTTGACATTGCTGCCAAGGTTCCGAAGAAAGGGTATGAAACTGGCTAACACGGGTAATAAAGTTGAAAGAAGCTAAATGACAGACAACAACATTGATGTTCGGCAACTCTATTTCCCGCGGAAAATATGAAATATCAGTGTTAGACCAAAGCTATTGTGCTTTACATCCAGGAGTCAAAAAAGGATCTTGAGAGGGACGAGACTCGAACTCGCGCGGGTTGCCCCACCAGGAAACAGATGTTAAGCTGACCTTAACCTGGCGCCATAACCAACTCGGCCACCCTCCCCGAGAGTCACTGACGGGAACCATGTGATGTGGATGTCAGACTCTGTCGGCAAAGTTTTTCATGTCACTGCAGGTGAGAACTGCGCAATGGTACGCTCTGAAAGTTGACTAACAGGGGAGGGCAACATTCTGTCCAATACAGATTCAGAGCATGGGCTCTCTGGCCCAAATAGAGGAACCTGGTCTGGTTAACGCTGAGCTTTCTCGACTTGTCACCCTCTAGCCAATAGAGTGAGCCAGGCGAGGCTTGCTACTTTTGCTCACCTTTTCAATAACCTTAGTGAGGCGAGGGTAAGGTTAGTGTGAGGCTACGGTAAGACGAAGGCAATTTACATAAGATAGAATCACTAACGTGAAGCTTTGAAGACACCTGAGATAAGCTGAACATGATAATTTTGATTATGAGTACACTGATATCTTACTACAATGAACCTGACCAGTAAGTAACTACAGAACTTTCAAGTTCAACGTGATCCATCCAAGCAGTATTACCAAGCTTCTGATTGAGTATGGAGGCTTCATACGGTTATATTGAAGACTGATCTACAATCTTAATGTCAAAACGTTAGGGTCAATGATCCTCTCACTTTCTTGGAATAGTTCTCCTGCTCTCAGAGCCATCGCAAGAACAGAGGGGGGCGGGGGGCGGGATGACTGCGCATGTGTCCCAAGTGGTTGACAAGAACTCCTGGCGTCACCATATCCTGTACCACTCCGGGGACTCCTGGAGCAAAAGCTGAAATAGGTGGGCATTCTGGCCACGTTTCGTTTTACTTCCGGCCGTCAAGAAGTCTTGTGTTACAGGGTCGTTCACGAGCAGAATATTGAGAATTCCATACCAAGCATTCCTACTTTGCAGTAGCCAAAATGCTGCTCCATACTCTTGCTATCAAGCTACATCTGAGATACAGTAGCCATCAGTTAGACTGCGAGGAAGTTGCGTCGCGATGGTGAAATCGCTCTAGAATCTTCTTACCAGCTGCTAGAGAAGTGATCAGTGCACCTTGCATTGGCCGAGTTATAGAATGATCGCGGAATAAGGATCTAGTGGAAGGCTTTTACGCGTGTAGGTTGGACGTGTCTTTCTGAGAACCTTGTACAAGACTACATGTATGTTCCACGTAGCGTACCAGCCGCTGCCATGTAGTTTGAGACTAAGCCCCAGACGCTGCTTCCTCGTCCTTCCCCTTCTTTGAGACAAATCCTTTTCGCAATCCAGTGTAAAATATCCATAGGCCAATGGTGAGAACCGTCGAGGCCCCGGCAACTGCCAAGTATAGCCAAAAGTGTGCCGTTATGAGATTCTCCCCGTCTTTTGCGTCCCAATTGAAAACATTCATAGAGAAGATTGTCTATCTAGTCAGCGTTGACCGTGACCCTCAAGAGACCGTGGCCCACTTACAGCAATGCTCGTGAGAGGGAGGTAAACCATAGTCACGAATGCAATTGACCGCATCTGAGAGTTATCTCGTCTTGTGGCCACAGAAATTGCCATATTTATCTGGTTGTCATGCCTGGCTATTCGGCTGATGACCTGTGTACTTGAAATCAGCCTGTGTAGTAATCGCGCAAGCTGCATGGTCTGCTTACCACCTGGGTTGTGGCCATCATGTCCTCCATAGAGGCTCGGACGCTATCAAGTTTCGTTTCGAACTCGTCAGAGATCTGGTTGAGACGCTGTTGCAGTCGTCCGGCTGTGTGCCTGAGTTGCCTACTGCGGTTCTCATCTCCGCTTCCAGCCTTGATCTCCTTGCTAGCCCAACATCTGGTTCCTCTCATGAATACAGCTGTTTCGTTATCGTTGCGCAGTTCCTCAATGTGCTCGACAATTCTTCGGAGTTGCCGTTTGGCAGCTTTCAATCCAGTCAAGAGAAGGCTCGAGTCGAAGCGCAGGCTGAGAACATCCTCCATTGTCTCGGTTTCTGAGCCGGATGCCAGGCTCTCGCTGCTGCCGGAACTCCACTCTAAATTCTTCTCGAGATACCTGCCCTCCATGGGACGAGCGTGCTCTGTGATAAGTCTATCGCGATCGAGTTCACACAACGCACCGACTAGTGCGAGAGGATGGTAGAAGTCATCTAGTGAATCTTTCATCCTCTCCATTATCGTGTGCTCTTGGTTATCGTCGAGTCCGAAGAAGATTGCCATCGTGGATCGGAACTCCGGATCGTGGGTTACAGAGACCGCAATGTCATTAGGCCATGTTGCACTAGTGCGGTAGTTGTAAACTAGTCAGATTAGCATTTAGACCTCTAACGGAGGCGTGGTTTTGCCTTCAAGCCCACCTAGTCTTTCTGGCTCAAGCCTCTCATTCACTTCAAGACAATGGAGAAACTCTCCATCTTTGCGAGTGATTATCCGAGCTAGAGCCCGATGCGTGTGGAATGACTTGGTAATCTGCTTAAAAACTGCTTGGGACACTGGAACATGGTGAATCTGTGATGGGCATTCGGAAACAGTTTTCGTAGTTCGGCGAAGTAGTCTGTCTCGGAATTAGCATTGTAAATTAATGTATTTATTCGCTCAATACCCACACTATGTGAAGAGTGTTCGATTCATCGTCTTTTGCATCCGTCTCCTGCGCCATGTTAATACCGTCCAGTTCGTTTACCTTGCCACGCAAGAGCACCCACAACTCTTCGTAGCCAAGACTCCCAATCTGATGACGACGTCAACTCTTCATCGATGAACGCCTCCTAATGTCAAAATTAATGCATTGAAAACTTCAAGGCGAAAGAGGGTTTACCTCCAATTCCGACTTGTTGTCAAGGCGGACGGTGATAACCTTGGAAGGCCGCTCTTCGTACTTGAAGGCGCGGAAGTCGCGAGGTCTGAACCTACATGCCTTGGACGGCCACTCCATTTTGATCAAAGGCTTCACAAAGTATGCCACCAAGAACGATGAATTTTGCCAGTAAACTCGCTTAATTTCACCTTGTGCCGTCTCAGTAGACAAGCTCACACGTGCACCAGAGCCTGGGAGGATACGGCATCTAAATGCTGGGTAATGGAATGTCTTCGGGGCCAGTTGGCTACTTCCCGGCAGCACCAACAAAAACTGAGAGTGTTCCAATGATCGCCCGGTCCCACAATTTCATCCTACACCCCCAAAAGTGGGATAGAAGGCGCGGGTACCACAGCCACAACTCGTGATCGGGACGGCAATCGCCCTTGGATCAGATTATAGGATCGGGATAGAGAGTGTGTTCAGCGACCATTGGCCCGAATTCGCATGTAAGTTTCTGGTGCAGAAGCAGCGGTAATTTCAGCAGCTCAGCCTGCTTCATGTTGCACTATCAGTTGCAACGTGCAGTGTGCATAATGCAGTGGCGCGGATGAGTGCAGCTGGTGGCACAACCATCACGCATCCTCAGACACGGGCTTGGCAGAAGGTACTCTGGACTTGAAGTGCAGGGCTCCCAGGAGGATACAAAGAAGAGACTGATATGTGCAATCTGTTCTATCTGCCCAGGAAACAGCGCTATTAAGGCATCCGTTCTCCGCCCAGATATCGTGATACCGGGGGGTGTAGGGTCACCGCCGCCCGCTTATCTGCCTAGGACGCCTGACTGGCAGCCTGATTGCCATGGCGGACGAGTACTGGCCAAATTTATGAGCCGCAATGGCCAGGCTTCCGTCTCTGGTGGAAGTGTGTCGAGAGGCCTAAAAGGCGCAGTTCTGCTTACACGATGTACTCGTGGCCGGCTACCCGTCCTTTGGAATTTCTACCCTTCCTTGCAATTTTCGGTGACTAGTTACGATATCTTAACATGTCTGCCTCACGGCTTGTCTTGTCCATTCTGCCCTGGTGCTACAACGACCCTGACCCTGTCGCAAAGGAGTTAGATAGAAAGTTTGGCGCCAATCAGTATCGGCTCAGTGTGAGTAATCCCGTCTCCCCTCGTCGATAGTCAATTGAAAGTCTGGTCGTATGCTAATGCCAAAAAAGGTGAAGGGCAATCAGTACGTCGTCGAGTCTCATCGGAAGCTTCAACCAGTAAGCTATCATAGATGTCGGATACGAGAGAATGGTGAAGCTTACGTAGTCAGGGCGAGATCAAGCAGATTCATGACAACGTAAAGTGGCATTATCGGGAGTAAAGAATGTGGTAAGGTTCAATGATAAACTAGACGTCATACGCACCAGATTACCCTCGAGGAGAATAAGAAACTGTTACTCAGAAAGTCCTACAAAAGTCCGAATCTCCTTGCCTGAGCTTGTCACCCGAGGTAGCCACATGTATGTTCCCTTGTTCTCAACGAGACTTGGTAGCAAACCTTTGCTCTGTTCTGTGGTATGACGATTAGATGTTTGAGTTGATTTCAGTTTTCACGAAAGCATTGTGCCATCTGCTTCTATCTGAACAGTCTCTGTGGTATAATTCACAATGATACAGGTACCTTTGCCCATGAGTCTCGTCTATTGCATATGACGCAGGTGATCAGGATCTTGTCCGTTCAAGACCATTCCATTGGCATGCAGCTTTGGCTGCTTTAACTCCCGTCCTAGTGAGTTATCGAAGTAATCGAACCGACCCCTTTTCAACGTGAAGCGCCCTTCATCACTGTTCTCGGTGATTGTGCTTGCCTGGCTAGTGAATTGTGGGCTAGGAGGAGGGCTATCCGTCAGTGTCGACGTAAATAGCTTGATGGATTCCTTTGGGTCTGTGTTTTCTTCGTGTAGCGCCTGTTGGGCGGAGTTGCTTCTGGGAGGAGGCATAATGTCTGACCCATTGGCGAGGACTCTGCGGTTATGTGTAGGAGTATCTTCGAGCAGATCATCCAGCGCAACGACATCTTCCATGGGATCTGGTTTGGAGAGATCGTGGCCGCAAATCTCCGGGGAAGGGTGGCATGAATCCACAGCTTCCCGGCGATCTACGCCCCCATAGCCGTCATCTGAGACAGTGTTGTCAGTGCGGGCGGTGTCGGACTTGTTCGGAGGCTTAGGACATCCACGCCACGCATATTGCGAATCTCTTGCGCATTTTCCGGCCATATCCCTCAGTTTTTGTGCCACTTCCCTGCTCGTGTGTCTCTCATTGCGATCTACCCGGATCAGATGATGCGATATGTAAGTGATTAGAGCATGGAGAAAGAGAGAGCAGTTAGAGTCTTTGTGTAACTTCTGAGTCCACTGTCCCTTGCGTGAGCATTCGAAGAGCAGTGGGAGTTTAGATAACATACCTCCTTGACCGAAGGTTTCAGAGTAGCGACGGTCCTTCCGTTTTGCGTTTCAAGGTTATAAAATGTATCCATACTAAACTCGTTCCCCTTGTCGTCTTTTGATCGGTTTTTAGAGAATTCATCGACGCCCTCCCATCCTTTAAGGTACCAAGTCACGAACTCTAGAAGGAGTAGACCCATAGTCCAGAGGTCGTAAGCCTGAGAGACACGGTCAACTACATCGACCTCGGGTGCCTTGTATGTCAATGAAACGCCAAGTCCTCGAGCATTGTCCTTGGACTTAGTAATGTCTCGGTGGAATCGGGTCAGGCCGAAATCCGTAATCTTGAGAGTCCCGTTGCCCGGCATGTTCTGAAGTTGATCGCTGTCCTTGAACCATAGCACATTCTCTGGCTTCAAGTCCCCATGTCGACCAAAGTTCTTAGGGTCTTCCACCTTCATTGTATCCCGCGGCGGATGTTGAATGAGCTCGAGACCTGATGCTAAACCAGCGGACTGCTTTGCTATCCACTTCACGAGTAGGTAACTTGGTTTTGGACGTTGAAATCTCTCCCAAAACTCTCGGAGGTTACCGTCTGCCCATGGAAAAAGGAAAAACCGGTGGCCATGATATTCGTACGTCGCTAGCAGCTTGGTCAGGTGTTCATGGCCTTCAAGGTTAAACGTCTTTAGCGCCTGAAGCTCTTGGTTGAAGGCAGGCTCGTCGATAGAAAGCAGCTTTTTGATAGCAAAATAGGGTTCCGCACGCTATGGAGAAACCATATTAGCACTTGCGTCTACATGGTTGCATCGCTGTTCAAGACTTACGTGTGTATAGTTGTGATGCGCATGGTGGATCTTAACTCTCCATACCGAGCTGTAACCACCATAGACCGTGTCATGTTGCCCCTCAGCCCCTTCAAGGAAGGGGAGAATGACCATGGGTTCGAGAGGATACGCCAACGGTTTGTTTGCCAGCATGTTGAAAAAAGGAGAAAGAAAGAGCCACTGCTTCTCATGAAAGAGTTTGATCTTCGGATTCTTCCACTTGAGACTTCCCTCGAATCGGATGCGAGTTCCGTTCTCTCCTTTGCGATACAAGTACCATTTCTTCTTACCTTCGTCCCTATCTGCCTCGAAAGGGAGATGTGCGTCGTGAAGGTCCTCATCAATGAGACTGGGTAAAGCGCCAATGTTTTCTGTGAGCACTAGGATGGCGAACATCCTTTGCCGCGTCGTCTGTTGGTTGTTGTTGTAACTTGTCCTATTGCACACGGCGTTGGCATACTCAAAAGCCTTATCGTTCGAGAAAGAGCTTCTCAGCGCTCGATGCACCTTGGGCTTTGCGATGATCCTGCGGAGTTCGTTCAATGGTAGAAACTTCTTGCCATCGTGTGGCGGTGGGGTGATGAGGTTGTCGTCGAGCAAGCTCCAGAGATTGTCTGCTTCCTCGCTTTCCGTGTCCGACAGCTCGAGGTGAGTGTCGACTTCCATCTCTCCCTCTCTGAGCGTCCCGCCGATACCCGCGAGATCGTTTCCAGGTGACGCAGGAATAGGAACCTGAGCATTTTGGTCTTGTTGCTGTAATTGTGCCGTGTCACCATGGTCGATAACAATAGTTTGGACATCAGACGGGGTCTTTGACTGGATTGCTGATCTCACTGCGGAGAGGTCATTCTCCAGTCCCGTCATAGCTCTCACGAGCTCACCAGAGGCAAGCTCAGCATTTTTGACATCGTCCAGTTCAGTCTCTGTGCCATCGTCGGCGGTCAACCGCAATGCCGGATTCTCTGAACTTTTTCCATTGAAGTTGGTATCGCTGTGTACAATCGAGTCATCATTAAGTTCCTAGGATAGCTGTTAGCTTGGAACTAAACAAGAAGCGCGGTTCGGCCCGTTAGACCATCACCCGCGTGAGACCAAGAGTCGACATAAGGTGGCAACATACCCCTGCAACACCGGATTGGACATGTTCCTTGGTTTGTTGGTCGAACGTAGACTCGGTCGATCTTACCGACTGGTCTACTGCCATTGTACATGCGTGCGGGCTTTTAGAGCCGAGATGTGACGGTATGTTGGTTGGACTGGCCTATGAGGCTAGAAGTTGAACACACTGCTGGAGTACAAGTCGTTTATAATTTCGACCAGGACTTGCCTGGATTCAATCAAAGAGTGATCCAGATGGCGAGGCTCTGATTGTTGTACAGCGGCCCTGGCTAGGATCTCATGGGCTGAATTGAGTGGAATCCATTTAATGCGAAATGACGAGCATCAAGAAAACGCCTGTAAGCCACTTCTCCGCCTACACTGATCATCACTTGAACGTATACATATTGCGTCGTAAGGAAACGGGTAAGGAAAGCAGTTCGCCAATTTCCTCCCTTGCGGCGGAAACATGCCGGCTGTGACCTGCATAAGGTTGACATCGTGGCTGTGCCTCCCTGCTCAGCTTCCTCTGCAGCGGGAGCTGCATCCAGAGGTCTAACATTGGGGGCGATTTCGCTTAATTCAGTAGTTGAGAGGACCTAGAATGCAGGCAACGGTCAGGGAACTTGAGCGGCTGGGGCTTACTAGAACACGGACTATCTCAGGAATGTGTGTTGCGACCGCAGCAGAGGGAACTATTGAATTGATACGCTTCTAGCCGCCAATAAGCATAACACAGGGGAAATTTGCCTCCGAGACAGCCCACAAACCAGCTGACTAGCCACGCCGTTCGCATGCCTGCCGGAGGGAAAATAGGCTTAGGGTCCGGATCCTCGGGGGTCAATAACTGCGGGCTTGCGCCCACACGAGAGTGGGAAAAGTGCATTTAGGCTACCAACGCAACTTTCTACTCCTTTTAGCTCCCCATTCGAATCGTTTTTTGCGCTTCAGATAGTACTATGAAGTGAGTCTGCCTGGAACATCTTCCATTTTCATGGCCGTTTACTGATGCTCGTCGGTTTTGCGCACAGCGTCTGCCCTCAAGGGAGAAGCTCCTACATCGGGTCCGGACCGACCCAAGTACTAGCAAGCCAGTCCATAGACCCGGCAAAGTTGTCAAAGGTCTTGGACAAAAGGTTTGGGCAGAAGATGTATCGTGTCGAAGTAAGCCCAGACTGCCAATGAAACCAAAGAGACCTAACTGACGAGGAAATCATTAAGATGAGGCACAACAAATTCTCAATCTCCGCTAGAGGGCACCTATCTCAGGTAAATAGAGACAGGGCCGAAAACGGTGCAACGCTGACTGTGTCCAGGAGGAGATAAGCCAGTGCTCATATCGGCAGCCTGAATGAATCGAATGTTTGGGCTCGGAGGTTCATTTTGACGCGCGGAGTTCGACGTCCTTGAGAAAATACTCTGATCCAATGAATTCACATCCAATCGCTTCTAATTTTTGACACTGTGCCTCGTTTAGACCAAAACTGTCGTTCATTCGTGTTTGCCCGGCGACGACCCGAACCCTCCGTGCCCGGACGGCCCCACTCGGTCCCGAGACATCGTATGCCACGTAAGGCAACGCGACTGAAAGCGGCTGCATTCTTTCTCAGACTTACGTATTGAACGACAACAGGGTACAGCTACAGCCTGCTTCGAGAATGCCAAAAGAACGTGCCTGTGGCTCAGATCGGGCGTATGGCATACCGAGATCGAAGGGAATGGCACTGCGGCCTGCTCAGCCCTCAGCAAAGACTCGGTGTGCCCGAAGTGAAGGGGTGGGGGGGTCATGCGCCCATCTAACCGGCCAACGAGCCCTCGGTAGCTCAGGCTTGCATGGCTAAGACATCCTGCAGGCTCCCACAACAGGGCACACAGGGTGGCAGGCAGACGCATTTGAGATCAGGCTGCGCCCCATAAGTGTGCCGGGTAGCATATTGTTAGCCAATCAACCTTATGCAAGGGGCTCGGACGTGATTCCCTCCACGTGAAGCGCCTGCCCAACAAGAAGATTGAGGCAGCCGCTTTGCCACTTCGTAAACGATGCCTGACCTTTAGCCAGGATGAACATGTAACCGAACTCATCGCCTCGTGGCGGTTTCAACGTCTCAGCCATGGCTCCCAGGATCCAGTCATTACGACTCATTCCACGTCGTAGGGGACAGGAAGTCTCAAGGCAGCGAATTAGGGGATTTTTACACTTCATTCACCTTGCAATCTCGTTATCCCCATCCATGAGTTAGTCACGTTAGGCGGCGCCAGGCAATTCGGCTCGTTGAAGTGAGGCTCATCATAGGACGATCCCAAGGCAGCATCACAGGGTCGGGTGATATAACAAGTGGCACAAATGCGTACCTCTTGAGTACCCATCGATCGACACAACAATCACCATAAAACACAAAACAAGCATCTACACAAAGACTAACCGTCGATCTAGGAGCGATTCCCAAAGACTACCCACCTTCACATCTTATATCACCATGCCCACTTCGAACACTGATTCGACGACATCCGTTGAGGAAGGATTCCAAGAACATAAAATCCCTTCTAAATACGTTTCAAGCCCGCAATATCTCTCCAGCTTCCTGAAGCAGAACTATGGCGACATCAACTACACGGTGGAGATGCGACACAACTTCTATTCCATCAAGGCACCTTTAACAGAACGACAAATCAACTGGGTATGGTTTCTTCATGCGTTTCTAAAGGTACTCGAAATCTGACGTGATTTCTAGGCTTTTCTCCGCGGGTGATTTTCGATCGTGAAGCCTGCACTTAAACTCATTTAAAGTGTAATGTAACTGTTGCAGCGCTGGTACGCAGTGATATGATTCGGTGTATTCAAAATTGGATCCGTAATCGAACGTTATACTTGATTCTACGACTTACAGATGATGGGCGCCTCGGACAGCATCAAACCCATGAATTTGAGGGCCCTGGGCAAAGGCATCAATTACTTAGCTTGGCATTCACGGGCTTTGGGACTTTGTGACAGGAGCTCAGAAGGGAAGAATGGGGTCTTGGAGGAGCTTTAGGCCCATATCGCCGAGTGCTGTCAAAGTACGTAGATTGATAGGATATACTTGCTGTTACTATTGCGTCTATATGTCTAGATAGAGTCCCCTTATCTGCTGACTGGCCTTTTGCTAGGTTCCGAATGCACGTGCTACTAGACTTCATGTATTCGGCTGGCGAAACCCGTTCCAGGTATGCACTCGACGTTTGCCCGGACTGTCCCACTTGCGTTTAGGCTGGGCTGCCGCATGGCTCAATTCAACACCTCTAAGGGATATTGAAAGCTTTATGTACATGGGTATGGCCGAGGAGGGAACGCAACTTGCAGCCGCTGGCCGAAGAGCGGAGCTTAGGACTTGGCTAGAACCTTGGAGAAATTGCGACCCACCGCCCCGAATCGATCAAACGAGAAGGACGAGGGGGTCTACAATAACAAATATATCAACTTACCCTGCTGGGTTGATGCGTAGGCTGGTCGTAGCAACCGATAGCCTTGACAATTAGTGCTCCAGCCTGATCGACTGGGCCATCGTGACTGCCCACATCTGTCTCGTGACGAAATAAGGCGAAGCAGATTCTGAGATTTACGGTTTATACATAACTCAGTCCAAGCTAAGAAGGCAAAATTTGGCTAATTTAACCCTTAGCCACCCTTCAAGGAAACTATGGGCAGATATTTCATGATCTTCAGGTCGTACTTGATCAACTGATCATTTCCAAATGATTACTTACTTTGTTTCTTCATGAATTCCTTGAACCGACAGCAAATTGCTGAAGTCAAAACTCCTGTCGGTTCATTGGCCTACAGAAGCTAAAGCTGTCTCTTTCACATGGACACAAGTCTGGATTGCCTGGCATTGCTGCCGAGTTCCGAAGAAATTCGTTAGTACTGCGTAGTACGGGTTATGAGGAACGTGGATCAGGGGAACGCCCACATAAAAGGCAATTTCGACAATCCCAGTCGCACCTACCCAGAAGGCCCCGGAGTAAGAGGGGAATTAGGACAATGCACAAGACCAAGGCGGGAAAAATTGACAGCCCTGAGTCTTATGTACCCGCTGTTGACCAGTATCAACGTTTATTGTCACCAATTTGCAACTCTCCATTCGGAACCTCGCTCGTTGATCCCAGGATCAAGTTCCCAAAATTCGCTCTACGATAAGTCCACAACGACGCTCCTTACTCACATTGATGGTGCTAAATGGTCTCGCTGTGAACGACTTCAATGCTGCATTGCCACTTAGAGACTTTTGCCCGTCCACCTCTTCGAAAAATGGCTCTGAACCATCTATCTGGACTGTTGTTGGATAGATTAGCCAAACTAAAGCTTGTTAGAAGCCGCCACTGTCAAAATTTTCGGTCAAGATCCCAGGCACCACAAAAAAACAAGCTGTGCCCGAAAGATGGTGTGTCTGATCCAAAGACAACGACATCGAAGGACTAGTTAAACAAAAAGCCATCAACATCCAAAAAAGTGGTCACCACCCGCATTATAGTTTATGGCCCGGATGAGGTGAAGGAGAACCTCGTGAAAGGCCGGAAAGCCTAAGGAGGCTCGCCTAACTATCCTTGTAGCCTATAGTTTCTACATCGATTGACGCTCAGGTATAGTCGAAAGAGAAGCTAACAGCCGAGTTGTTGAGTTGTTGGATCGTCTAGAACCAGGGGTTGGAAAGTGTCTCTTACCTCACCAAGAGTCTCGTCTACGAAAGGCGATGTCATTCTAGGAATAACACAAAGTTTAAATTTACCATCTATACGCAGACATTTAATTTGTTTATCATTAAATAAAACCCACAGCGGGGCCTTAAAAGACTGGTTCCTTGCCCTTTTGCCGTTTGCAAATGCTGCCTCCATGTTAGCTATGTAGTACGCTCTCCATGACGTCCTGAGAAGCAATTCTTCATGAGAACCCTTGGGGTATCTTTTTGAGGATCCTGTCCCAAGGAGTTCAGTAAGAGATTAGCTCATAAATTCAGGCTGGCACTTAGACCCGAGGGCATAGGAATCAAATGTCTAATAGAGCAGGTGTCAAAGCTTTCATAAACATTGTAGCGCCTTATCAATGCAGCTTGAACACTATCATCGGATAACATGCTCCGCCCATCGGCTTATCCTTATCTGTCTGCACTTTACCGTGGTTGACGACGCCGAGCATTCGCCGTGAACCCCTCAATTGCCACACAAGGACACCACTCGCCGAGGTTAATGGGCAGGTTGCAATGCTTTATCAGGTACAAATCGTTTTACCCGCACCGTGATCGGCAATTCCCTGGCATCTTCGGCTTCTTATTTTCCGTACGAAGATAACAAGTACCGATGGCCAACCAACACCCCGGTCACCTTCCCGCAATGGCATGGCCTCTGGCTAGACGTAGCGTTCAATTGGACAAACCCCAACGTTCTTGATGATCATCACACACTTATCAATGGGAGTACCGGTAGGGAGGAATATGCCAATGTCTTCACGCAGTCCCTTCTGTCCTGGGGCTGTATATGCGTCATAGACAACAATCTACGAAAACGGACCGCCCGCTAAAACTCAATGTTCTTAAGGCATTCGGTATAGCCACCTACCTAACTGATAATGCTTTGAGTTCACCTCCTTCGCAGATTCGACCCAGCCTTCAAAATGGCTTCCAACGAGAAAATGGACGTCGAGAAAGCCCCTAGCCCTGGCGACAGCCAGCCCGAGGTGCTGGTCGGTGAGGTCAGAGACATCCACAACGCCGACGCCGCCCTCGACTTTCTACGAAACGGAGGCGATGTTAGCTTAATGACTTCTGAGGATGAGCGCAGACTCAAACGCAAAATTGACTGGCGTATCGTGCCCCTCATGTTCGCCTGCTACATTCTTCAATACCTCGACAAGACTTTGATCAACTACGCGAACGTCATGGGCTTGCAGAAAGACACGAACATAACAGGTGACCAATACTCACAGCTGGCCATGATATTTTACGTAAGCTACTTGGCGTTCGAATTTCCCCACGCTTGGGGCATGCAGAGGTTTCCAACCGCGAAGTACATTGGAATCATGGTTTGCCTGTGGGGCGCGGTATTGGCATCCACTTCAGCTTGTCATAACTGGGCTGGACTAGTTGTGACGAGAGTCCTGCTGGGTGTCTTTGAAAGCGCTGTTGCACCTTCACTGATTGTGATTACGACCATGGTAAGAGCTTCACATCGCGTTGAGACTAATAAGTAGACTGACAGTATGCCCTAGTGGTACAAACGACAGGAACAACCTCCCCGCATGGGCATTTGGTATCTCGGCACAGGAGGCGGTACCATCGTCGGTTCTCTGATCTCCTTCGGCTTCCAGCACTATTCTAGCACTGGGTTTACTTCCTGGCAGATCATGTTCCTCATATGCGGCTTGATCACTATTGCCATTGGTGTCACAGTAATCCTAGTTCTCCCCGATAACCCCATGAGCGCCCAATTTCTCTCGCAAGAAGAAAAGGTTTGGGCCATTGAGCGTCTGCGGGGAAATCAAACAGGCGTTGAAAACAAACACTTCAAGTGGCCGCAGTTCATCGAGTGCTTCACTGATCCACAAACTTACCTGCTGGCACTCATTACAATTGCTTCGAGCGTACCCAATGGCGCTGTATCATCGTTTCAGGCTACTATCATCAAGGGATTCGGATACACTTCCAAAGAGACAGCACTGTTATCTATACCGTCGGGTGCTGTTAGTATTGTTTCGATTCTAGCTGCGACAAACATGGCAGGCCGTTTCAACCAGCGAGCTCTCAACGTTGTCTGTCTTCTTGTCCCTGGGGTCATCGGTGCAGCCCTAATGGCATTCCTTCCCGACAACAACAAGGCAGGGAAACTCATCGGCAACTACATGACGAACTGCATTGGCGCGACACTTCCTCTCTTGTATTCTTTGGTTGGCGCCAATTATGCCGGGCACACGAAAAAGGTAAGCGTCCATAGGACCCTATTCTGAACCAATGTTAACGCCATGTAGGTTACAATGAATGCTACCTTGCTCATTTGCTTCTGTGTTGGAAACATTATTGGCCCCCTAACCTTTACAGCCGAATCTGCCCCTGCCTATATTCCTGCAAAGACGGCGATTATTGTCACATGCGCCTTGGCCATGATTTTCACCTTGATGCTAAGGTCTTACTACATCTGGGAGAACAGGCGACGCGAGAGACTTGTTGAAAATCGGGAACTTGGGCATTTGAAGGATATTGAGTTCAGTGACATGACCGACCGCTTGAACAAGGAGTTTAGATATACACTATAAGGAGTACAAAGTTTCTCGAGAAAGGTGAACTTATCATCATTAGCTTAAATAATAAACGTCCATATTAAGCGCAGTGAACTTGCTTCATAACAAGGTGAAATATGATCGTCGCAACTGAAAGGTTGCCCACAGAATTCTAGGCACTGAACAGCTCTCTGGCAACCTTGGTATAATAAATTTTGATTTAAGATATCGAATAACCTTCTCCGCTTCGGGTTAGTCTCCTCTATGAAGCCAGCTTTCTTCTGTCAAAACTATTCAGCAGGTTATATACGGCCGCTATAACTCTAATCAACCTAGACAATTCTTGCTTGCAGTCACTCCATGGTAGCACACACTCGGTCGTATAATGTACCCCGTACACCCAGCCACATATCGATCTACGCCTGATACCCCTACTATTCCTGAATTGGTGTGTCGTTGCATTTGGTTGCATTTCGCCACATTGATGGATCATCCTTACCGTCCTTTCTCGTTGGGTGGAGCAACAATGATTGTGGCGGGTATTTCTTCGTCGCCTGTGGCCTTGTTGCGCGGGTTTCTCTTGAATAGTCCGCCAATCCGACTGAATACTCTCGCGAGGAACAATTACACAACAACAAACGGCTTGCCAACGAAGCGCGCTATCTTTTGGAACCAGATGTCGGGGAATATGCGAACCAAAACACCCCAGGGAAGGGACATGAAAGCGACCACAATGGAAATGGCCCACTGGGTGCCGTTAAGACCACCTTCCTTGATTTCAAAGACGCGACCGCCTATGAATATGATTCCGACCTGCAAGCCAACCATCAGAATGTTGATGAAGATGAAGAACTTGTTGCGGTGGATGCCCTCCAGGACATTGAATTTATTGTCCAGTCGTCTGTTATTAAATTCATTGAAGATCTGCATCCACACGAATGTGTTGAAGATAATAGTGTCGAGTTGAAGCATTTGATCCTCGTTGTTTCTGTCATAACTTAGTATCTCAGGACCCGCGAAATAGAGCGTGATCGTAATGATGAGTTGGAATATCGCTTGTCCGATGATCATTTTCCACATCTAAGAGCAAGTCGTCAATCGAATCGTCTGTGCTTTGACGGAAAACACGACTTACGTTAATGGTGATCAGAGGAGCATCTTTCCGTTGAGGTGGTCGGTCGAGTATCTTCTCGGTTGGGGGATCCGTCGCCAGGGCAAGTGCCGCAAATGTGTCCATAATGAGGTTGACCCAGAGCAACTGAACTGCTTTCAGCACAGGTTCCATATAAGGGTCGTACATAGCGGTGATGAAAGCCAACAGAACCGCAGTGATGTTAACGGTGATTTGGAACTGGATTGGTATAGTGGTCAGTACTACATTGCCTGAGAAATACCGACTGAGATAGTCTAGACGGCTGAGGCTGGGCCATTTGCGGCTCAACAGCATGAACTCACCTGAAGAAATTTCTGCACTGCATCATTTACCGCGCGACCCCATTTGAGTGCAGTCACAATGGAAGCAAAGTTATCATCCATCAAGACGATAGCGGATGCTTCTTTCGCAACTTCCGTGCCGGAGATTCCCATAGAAAAGCCAACATCTGCTGCCTTCAGAGCCGGAGCATCGTTCGTACCATCTCCGGTAACTGCAACTGTCTCGCCTAGTGCCTTCAATCTTGTGACAAGAATCCGTTTGTCTTCGGGCGATGAACGAGCCAACACCTGTAGCTTGGGGAGAATTGTGTTCATATCGTCCTCCGAAAGTTTGCGGAAACTTGGCCCCTCCATGATCACCCCTTGAGATCCTGTAAAAATGCCACACTCTGTCGCAATGGCCTGAGCAGTTACACTGTTGTCGCCCGTAACCATTCGGACTGTAACACCAGCATGCTGTGCCTTTCGCACTGCTTCGGGAACACCAGAGCGGACAGGATCTTGAATTCCAACGATTCCAATAAAGACAAGGTTGGAGGCACCAAGTAGCGATTCAAGCTTCACATGTCCATCTTCTGTTGGCATGTTCGCGGGAGGCCATTGATGGAAGTCTTTGTAAACCAGGCCGATGGTGCGAAGGGATCGTCGGGCATAGTGGTTGATAGTCGCATCCAAAGACTCTCGCTCCGCCGAGGCCAGAGGCTCCTCAATCAAGGTCTCAAGGTCAGCCTTGGATGAACAGTAACTAAGCAAGATTTCAGAGGCGCCCTTGACCAAAAGGCGATAACCTTTGGAGGTATCGCGATGTTTAATGACCGCCGCCATGCATTTCCTTCCAGAGTCGAATGGAAGCATCTGCACAATCTGCTCATTGGCGCGGGCTTCGGTAAGAGACTGTAGCCCTAGATGATCCTTTGCTAATTGAAGGAGGGCAGTTTCAGTCTTTGATCCGATGAAAGTCGATTTTCCGTCTTCCTGGCCTTCAAAGGCTGTTGAGTTTACAGCAACAGATTGAACAATGAGTTCCTTGGTTGCTTGGGGTATAGTTGCAGCCCACGCAGATACGTGAGGAGGGGACCCGGCAGTCTTCTCGTTTTGAGACTCAGAATGGGCGAAAGCTGTGAAACTACTTGTAGAAAATGTACCGGCAACGACGGTCATCTTATTAGTTGTCTGGCTCTCATTAGCTTCTGATCAATTGCGAGGGACGTTTGATTTGGGTCAATCTCACCAATGTTCCTGTCTTATCAGAACAAATTGTTGTTGCATTACCCATGGTCTCACAAGCTCGAAGCACACGAACCAAGTTGTTCTCCTTTAGCAGCTTTGTGGTCGCGAATGCTAAAGCAAGAGTAACAGCCAGCGGCAACCCTTCAGGGACCGCCACAGCAATAATCGCAATAGCAACCACAAGCAAGTCCATGAAGGTCAAAGCTTTATCAGCAGGTAGTCTATCATCTCCAGGAAGACTGGCCACAAAGCGGAACAGCAAAATGAAGAACATCAAGGCAGATGCGCCTCCACCAAGCTTAGCGATGGCGATGGCAAGTCGTTCCAACTTCTTCTGGAGAGGTGTCGACTCGATATCGTAGCGTACTGACATCATGATCTTGCCAAAACTGCTGTAGACACCGACGGATGTGCAAACGTAGGTTCCCATGCCTGTGGTTGTTAGCGTATGACCCAATGATAGGAGTTCGAAAATTACATACCTTCGAGCACCTTGGAGCCAGAGATGATAAAAGGATCCATGCCATCTTGGTTACTGTGCTTCGATTCCAGCAACTTCATTACCTGATCACCGGCCGTTTTCTTGAGTACATCAGATTCTCCCGTCGCCGAGGATTCGTCACACTTGACTTCGTGACCCTCAATCAAGATACCGTCTGCAGGTACCATGTCGCCTGGTTCAAGGTGAAGCACGTCTCCCACAAGGATTTCGTTGACGTTGATCATAACTGATTTGCCTGATCGAATGACCTTGACCTGGCGATCGTCTTTCTTCGTGTTCAAACGGACAAAGGCTTTTTCCTTTTGCCAATCATTATGAGAGCCGACAAGGACGACGATAATGACTGCTCCGCAGATGGCCACGCCTTCGACCCAGTCGACAGACGCTGGCGCTCCTACGGGCTTTTCCACGCCGAGAGTTTCATACAATCCAAGTGCTAAGGAGATGACTCCAGCAACGGTCAAGAGAATAAGTACGGTCTCGTTGAATGCAATCCACATAAGCTTCCAAATTGACTTGGGTTTCTTTGGAGGAAGAATATTGCGTCCGCAAACCCTGGTTCGGTCGATAAATGGCGACGCGGAAGATGTAAGATGTCTTTCAGTGGAAGAAGAAGTTGGTTTGCCGTCGACTTGGTTTCCGACAGCATCATTGAAGCTGATGGTGGTCTTGACGCCTGTTTCGTCGACACTCAGACCGCTTCGCACATCCGTCTGAATTCCGCGGGCGATTCCCTGCAGGCCGCCGAGAGCACGGAATGCGGAAAGCGACTTGGGATTGAGCAGTTTGTTCAGCTGCCCAGGAGAAAAGGCAAAAGGGTTGTTATCGACACGAAAATCACTTTCCGTGCCTGGGTCTGGGTATAAGGCTGCATCTGCACTTTCGAGATCGAAGCTCGTAGCGGCAGTGCTTGGGACAGCCGTGGTTCCGGACGGCATGAGAAACGGGTTCATCCCGTCAGGAGCGATGGTGTCAGCATCGCTGGTGGCCCGCGAACGGGAATCCGCGTGTGTGGGGTTGGGGCTGAGGAAGTTGTCAGCCATCATGAACAAAAATCATGTAGGGTCTGGTAGAAATAGAGAAGGTGCTGTCGAGTTCGAGAGCAAGGCGAGCCGAAAGAGCGGCGCCCAGAGAATATGAGTACTCGTCCAGAGGGCAGCTTTCGCCGCCACTTACTCAGAGCTTGAGCATCTTGGCTCACCTCAATCGTAGCTCTCCACTTTGCGACAGAGCGACACAGAGCAAAATACTTCAACCCCCCGGTCAGAACAGCACTGCCACAATTCAACAGAGAATCACTGATAGCATCTGATAAGTCCGGATCGGGCAAATTGGGCCTGGGAACCGTCGTGACAAGCTTAACCTGACAGGCATTCTGCGGTGTGTGCGTGTGAGTGTGGAGAGATGACCCGCCGAAGCGTAGTCCGAGTCGACTTCGAAAACAAATGAACAGCACATGATGCAGGCTTGGCAGTTTAAGAGAAGGTCCATGACACTGTTAGTTGACGATCAAGGGGAGCTTGGGGTATGAAGCTCGTGGCAAACAGGAAGGAGGAAGCGAGGGAAGAGCAGACTAGTCGAGGAAGGGCAGAAATCCGAGCAAAGACAAGGGTAAAACGAGGGATTTTCGAGCAAAGAATAAGCGGAATGATGGTAGGATCACGCGAGTCTCTAAGAAACGGGAAGGTTTAGCCGTTTATGACAGGCTGGGAGTCTAGATGGCGCGGGATTTGCTTCTTTTTCCACACCGGAGACAGGTCAAGAGTCCAACAAGAAGAGGGGTTACTAATCCCGTTTGACGAAACGCAAGAAGCAAAGTTTGCCATCACATTGCCCAAAGCACATCAGGAACTTCAATGGCAGGTCAGGGGAGCACGTGTGCGGTCGATGCGACTTCGCCAAATCTTTCCCTGTCGCTACCGCTAATCACATCAATAAGCGGGGCGCAACTCCACCCCCAGTTGAGTGCTTCCAGCTTCTCATGGCCGCTCAACGGCCGTTGGGCGGACGTGAGCTCCTGTTTCTCCTCCGCGTTGTCCGTCGGCGCGCGCTTTGAATCGAGAGAGGGGGGGGGGGGGGTTTGTTGCAGAGCCGATGAGTTGTGTAGCAATTGCTTTCTTGGCTAAAAGCCATTGTTGGTGCGGAAACATATCATGTTCTGTTTATAATTCATCTCTGACGCCATCTTGAAGCAATTGTCGAGATAAGATGATGGAATTGGAAGACAACTTCTAACATGCACAGCCCAGCCAAGACCTTCACAGAGTCTGAAGCTCAAACCGAGGGCTGACCTACACTGAGCACGAGACCCGTCACGTTGAGCTGCAACCCCCTTTCATGCTGATCACACTTGCTACCGCATCGTAGCCTGAAGCCAAGCTTCCATATACTCCGTGATCGCATTGAGCCAAGGCATCGCCCCTCTAGCACCGTCTTTGACTAGATTGCAGAAGGTGTTGACCCAATGCTACACTGTCCTCGGCAGCTTCTGTACCCGATGCATGTAATCCTTGGAAAGCGGCCGGCAATTATTCGCGCGGAAAGACCACCATGTACCATTTTTGCGGCCCTGATATCGAAGTTCACAACATGAAGAAGCTAGGGCAATGCCTCAATGTAGGGGTTTTCTATTTCACATGATATTGTCAACCACTTCATAAGATCGTTTCTAGTAGTCCCTTGCACTCTTCATATGCTAGAGAAATAGTGGACATGGCGGTAATCAACAGAGGCATACGGCTTACGGGTCAGCATTCTATCCGCGACTTCGATATTTCGGCCACAGAGTGGCAATCTAACCACCATTTCAAGTCTGGCTGTGCACGGCAGGCCTCCTTCTCTCGATCCAGCACTGATAAGTTTCTAGTGAAGGGACTAGAGTCAGTTACACCATGGCAATCATAATCATTTGCGCAAATTCCTCGATGAAGAAGATTGTACCCACACTCCAAAGAAGAAGACATCTATGGTTTTCTTTTATGTTTAGTCTGATGTAGAGGCATTTGCTGTCGTGTCATTGTGTGAGCGAAATCTTCAGATCTGACTTCGAGGGGTGAGATGCTTTCAAATATCGAACGCCTTTGCGTGACGTTGTACTTCCAGCAACCTGTTTGTTCTGACCCTATGGTTATTGCGAAGGCTACTTTGTTACGAATGGGCTGAGAGAACGAGTTCTTACCACCAACTTATGGCTCTCGGGTTGTGTTTCTGCTCATAGAACCACCTATGGAACCAACTTTGGACATCTTGGTGGAGTTGGTGGAGTCTGCGAATTTGCTGCTGAAGGCGTTAACCAATGTGCAGTCACCTTGTCGTGCAGCTGGCTTCCGTCTCATTGGCTTGGCATTGATCAAGCTTGCGATACGCGTCCCGCAAATGGCGTTGCTGGAAGTCCTGCAAGCGGGGAATTCAGACGGGGGGCTCAGGGTCTGCTAGTGTTTGCACTTCTCTACTTGGGCAGTAAGCCTAATTAATGTCTTGTCGCCATTCTCGCTCACCACGATGGCATTATGCGCAGCTTGCAATCGTCTAGACTTTAGCGAACTCGTCGACGAAGAGAACAAGGTGCAAGATTTTGTGCTTCATAAACACATTGCCATCTCAAATATAACATCTCCTCGTGCGACCTATGTCGACTATTTTACACATTGATCGCGGAAAGGAGTACCAGAACGAGGATTACGAGCCTTGTGGTCTCTTCTCGGTCAAAGTTCGATGCGACCACCTCGGCCCTAGAGCCTACTGTTACTTCAGCTTCTATCCTGAAGAGGAAACACCACGCTTGAAGGGTGCGATAATCTTCAGACCTATCAAGTTGACCCAGAGAGCAAATCGGACTTTTGAACAACTGGGTCAAGTCCTGTGATACGAGTCACGATAGCTGCTATTCAGGCCCTAGCCCGCTGCCCACGAGGGTCATTGATGTCGGCCAAGACGGACAGAGAGAGCCGCGCCTTATCATCACTGGTGGAGAGACCGATCGCTACATGACTTTGAGCCACTGTTGGGGTTCGCATCCGGTAATCCGTACAACCACAGAGACGATTGGAGATCATCTTGAGGCACTACCGCTAGCGAAGTTACCCCCGACCTTGCGAGATGCGGTCCTAATCACAAAGTCGCTTGGCATCCAGTACCTTTGGATCGATTCGCTCTGCATCATTCAAAATTCGAAGGAAGATTGGGAATTGGAGAGCGTCAAGATGGGCACGATTTGTGCATCATCGTATCTAACAATCGCAGCTTCAGCATCCAAAGACTCCACTGGCGGCTGCTTCACACCCCGCGATACCTCTCATCATGTCAAGGTCAAATGCACTGTTCCAAGTCCAGGCGATTTACCACCGATATCAATCTTTGTACGACCTCGTCCCAGAGATTTCAGACACCTTCACATGAGCACTCTGCACAATCGTGTTTGGGTAACACAGCAACGCCTTCTTTCATCGAGGATGATCCACTATGACACGGATCAAGTTCTCTGGGAGTGCCAAGAAGCTCGATGTCAGAGGATGTAGTCCCCGTTGATGCTTTTGCTGTGCAGGAATTGGTATGGGATGAGCGCCTTCATATGCCATACCCCTTCGCTTAAGGCCGCCTATCCGCATCCGAGTTCGTTTGGGACTGGTATGATATGGTGTCAGCTTACAGCCGCCGAGGGATCCCCAAGTCATATGATAGGCTCCCCGCCCTCTCTGGTCTCATAAAAGTCATGGAGGGTTTGCACAGGACAATGAAACGTGGCGGGGCTGTGGAAAAGCCATTTGGCTTACAGCTTGCTGTGGAGACGGAGTGAACAGTGGCTACACGAACCGTCGGATGGCTACCGTGCCCCAAGCTGGAGTTGGGCGTCTTTAGAGGGTGAAGTCATCATGCCCGAAATTGCTAGCATGCTGTCCACAGGAAATGCGATGGAGATCATGGTTGACATCATTGATGTTCAGACGACACCACTTGGCCTTGACCCGCGAGGAATGCTGCAGTCTGGACATCTCAAGCTCAAAGGGAAACTGAAGACGGCGGACCCACGTATCGACCCTGAAACTCCAGGTTATCAGTTTACGACGTACAGGAAAGAACTGGTAATTGACTTTCTCAATCAAAACGGTGAAATGGTCGGCCTGGCTATATTGACAAAGACTATAGCGGCAATGGAAAGCCTTTGTACTATCTAAGGGCAGTTAGAAGAGAGATCGAGCCAAGTCGCTGGCATGGATTGCTTTTGGTGCCAACGAGGAGATCAACCAGTACCATCGCGTTGGATTCTGCCATACCGAAGAATTTCCAAGCAGGGATTGGTTCTCGGATGCTAGCGAGGAGAGCATCATGATAGTCTAAGTCAAGGTGCGACAGGGTCAACACGTTTGGCAAGAATATCCTCAAGGGTGTGAGACCATCACGGTCTGTTCCATATTCAGACTAATTTATTGCCTATAAAGAAGTTCAAGTACCATGTGTACCACTAGTAACTGCATAGATCATTGTCCCAAACTCGTCGAGGTCCTCTAGCCATGCATCAACCCTACTTCGCCTTCTGTTGATTGCCTCTTCGTCCAAGTCTTCTGCCATCGACCACAGTTCCTCTATGCGCAGGCCCCCCTCCGGCCACTCTTCCAAATGAATTTTGTACTTGATCTGCCACTCATCCCTGTTCTGTGATTCCCACAGAGACTTACTTGCCGGTGCAAGCAATCCACGTAACTCAGTGGCGAGATGCGTTGGAAGCCCATCATAGGTCAGTAAGGCACTGTCAAAAAGACACATGGTAAAGACGGTCCTCCGTTTCGCCTCAGCTACTATCCAAGACTCCCATGTGGGACAAGCGCTATTTAGTTCGGCCATGCAGACCAAGCCCTTTCTCGCGGCTGCGCATGCTAGTTCCTGTGTGTTCATCATGGCTTGCGAGAGGAAAGAAAAGTGTTCTCGTCCGAGTCGAAAGAAGATCACCAAGGAGTAGATTAGATGCGCTTGGAATGTTGCGAGAAGACCAATATCATCTGCCGTTGTGTGTTGGTCGAAAAGTGTCGTCATCTCACTCTGTAGTTTTTCGGCCGAAGCCAAAATACCCCCAGCGAATGTTTCGTCGCATGTTCGTATGACGGAAAGACACGCTGAGAGGGGTAGATTCGAATTGAGGTTCAGCTGAGACCAATGAATAAACGGCGGAACTTTGTGGCCGCGAATAGAAGAGTTGGCGTAGGATTTCAGGATTCTATGGATGAATGCTGATATACGAGGGGTGTAATCCTTGATCTTTTGGCCCGGCAAGGGAACAAAACTGTTCAGCCATCGGTTGGCGATGTCTTCAGCGTTAATGGAGCATGTAAGTTCGAGATGGGAAAAGTCCAGCTCATCTGCTCGGCAAGGACTAGATCCTGCAGGGATACTGCTGTTGGCAGGTAATACTTCGTGTCGATGTGGAGGAAAGAGGCATGATTTTTGTGTCCAAGGATATTCCGTCGACGCTGTTTTTAGTAGCTCAGAAGTAGGAGGAAACAAAAGAGCCTCTGAGGAGCCTAGCCTACAAAGGGCGTTATGTTGAGATTCTCGGAATTGAGCATTTACGTTCTTGTCCAAATTTCTCAGCAGCGCAGGGCCGCGTGTGATTGCGGAATCCCCTCCGTCGCGAAGCCCGGTGGCATCCGTCTCAGAAAGAAGAGTTGCCTGGTTCTGGGGATATATGCAAGTAAGGCCCCGCTCCTGGCACCGGGAACATGTCCCTGCTTTCCGGTCGCACTTGGTCTTGGAGGTGGCACATTGTTGGCAAGATTTCTGTCGAGAGCCTGAGTACCTTTTGGGCGCTGGCATCGACATTACGAAACAGACGATCCTTGAGCCGACGTAGCTAGCCGGTCACGCAACCCGGAGCTGTGCTAAAAGAGTTGAAGTTGCATCCAGCACACGATTCAGCATCAGGAGCAAAAGTCCCCGCAAGTCCAAGCGGAGGCGGGGAAGTTGGGGTTTTACGTAATTTAGACCCACCATTCTCGCAAACTGAAAAAGCGCTGACAAAAGTGCTATAGCAACACCATGTTGGTAGTGCTCTGGACGCGATTTGAAAATACTACCTGCAGGTCTCCTGAGGGGTCTCAAATTGCTCGCCCTACCAAAAGCTGTGTTGGTTCTGCATTGTCAAAGAGTATTCCAAGTGGAAGAAACCTGAACAGCAAGCTGACTTCCAGCTTGAGTGAGTCACGAAGGCAGATCTTTGGATGGAGAGTCGGTGCATGTCAGTGAATATTTGATTCTTTTGCCGGTTTAGGCCAATGCAACTCGAGCACTTGCGATTGGATAACGGTTGCAGGAACAAAAGCGAGGTGAAAGCAGCACCAAACAGAGCTTGGATTGACAGATAATTAATATTTGCCATTGAAACGATAATAAAGCTGGTATCTTGTCACCATAGTATATACTTTTTTTTCTACCACATCTTTTCCCAGGTTCTTCGGAGGATAGACATCTGAGCCAGTCTTTCTCTCTCCACCTCCTCAATACCGCCCTCCTCCCAGTGGCGACATTCGGCATCAACCTCGGCCTTTCCGCTAATAAGGTCGGCCTCCTTGGGTTGAACGAACTTGGTTCTCTTCAATACCTTCCAGGCCACAAATGTGAAGATGCCGAAGAAGACACCGAAATAGGAAGTGATGAATCCTCGCACGCTGAAGGGGTAGAAGTTATCGAAGCCGACAAAGATGAGGGCCAGAATGCCAAGGAGCAACGCCAGGCCGGGAAAGTACGGGGTCCATGGTGCAAGGTAGGGGAGCGTCTCGGGAGGGAAGTTTTGCGCGACGCGAGCGCGGTAGAAGCCCATGTAGGTGATGAGCATGAATGTGTAGGTCATGATCAGGGCGGTTGTGGTCAAGTCGACGAACCAGAAGAAGACCTCGACGGCGGAGTTGGAAGAGACAAGGAAGGTGATGCAAGAGATGGCGGTGACAACCAGCACACAGTAGATGGGAACACCAGCCGACGTGCACTTGAGCAGAAACCTTGGAGCCTGGCCGTCGCGAGCAAGACCGTAGAGAGTGCGGGAGGTGGAGTAGAGGTAGGCGTTACCGCAGGACCTTGAGAACTATTAGCATCATGCGTGGTTTATTTACTCATGGAAGGTATAACTTACCATCCAGAAAGTAAGATGAAGGCGTTGATGATGTCGGGAAGAGCCTTGATGTGAAGGTTCTTGATGCCAACAACCCAAGGGGAAGCACCAGCACCGGGCTCGCCATTCTCAATGGCGCCCAGGAGGCCCGGGTCACGTGAGCTGCAGATGATACCGACGCACAGAACGCCGACAACATAGAAGCCGACAAGACGGTAGAAGATGAGCTTGGCAACACGGGGAATGGTGCGGCGGGGGTTCTGGATCTCACCAGCGGCAAGAGCGATCATGTCAGGGCCAGCAATGGTGAAAGCGGCGTAAATGACGACCTTCCAGAATCCCAAGAACCGCCCAGTCGAGCCATCCGTGAAGTAGGCGTGGATATGGTTACCATTACCCCAGTTCCGGAAGCCGTACGCATCGTTCAAAGGGTTTCCACCAGACATTGTGATCAAAGTGATGAGACACAAAGCGACGAGTAAAACAACCTTTGTTGAGGCCATGATGAACTCCGATTCTCCATAGTACTTGACAGCGATCAAGTTCACGGCAACACATGAGACCATGGCAATAGCAATCCAGGCGGCAGGGTTGATATCAGCGTTCCAGTACTGTATCACGGTAGATACGGCGCTGTATTCTGTACAGACAAGCATGAGACCGGCGAAGAAATAGGTCCATCCCATGGCGAAGCCGAGGGCGGGGTCAACAAAGCGGGAGGCGAGTTCGAAGATGGTGCCGCGGATCGGCAGGTAGGCGCACATTTCGGCAACGGACAGGTTGAGCGGCCAGATAAAAAGGAGACCCCAGAAGGTGTAGCCGAGGACGAGCGAGAGAGGGCCGGCTTTGGAGAGGACACCACCAATACCAACCTTCATAGTCGTTAGCTTTCAGTTTGTTCTACCACACGTCGAGCTCGGGAAAGAGCGACTTACCCAGAGACCGGTACCGATGGAACCTCCAATGGCCATAAGCTGGACATGCCTAGGGCTGAGACCACGCTGCGTCTCACCGTACTGCTGAGCGACGGCTGCCCCAGTCCCGGACATGACCTGACCGAGCTTGTTACTGTTGGTGCTGTCGGCCCGGCTGAGGCCGACAGTTTTTTCTTCCGCTCCGGTTGCCATGATGGCTGTCTTGTGTTGGCTTCGTGATATGTTTTGGCTGTTGATCCGAGGCCTGACTGTCGAAATCGTTCAGGCAAGGTTGACTGAGCGAGGTCGGCAAATATCACTAAAGAAAACGCCGATCAGACCGAATGGGATACGACTCAAGAACAATGAGCCAAATTGAGTGTACGAGCGAGGGACAGCAACAGTTCTATATAGGTGATTTCGTTCCTGTCCGACCCTGGTCCCGACGCTACCTTGCGTCCGGCCCCCCTTCTCTTCCCAGGTTAGCATACCAACCTTCATCTGACGTCTCCCGGTTCCTGGGAGAAACAAATCAGTATTACCACTACGCATGCGACTTACTCGGGGTATGATAGACATGGTAGAAGAAGAACGGGCCCCATTGACACTAACAGAACGCCCCGCAGAGATAAGCAAAGGGCCGGGGAACGGAGTGGGTGGCAGCTGGTTGGGGCGATCAAAGGGTGGTTGCGGGGGGCAATCCCTGCTGGGTTAACGTCAGAGCGGACGATACCGACGATAACGGAGCGAAGGTGCTTGTTGTCGCGGCATCAACCCAACGAACTTGCTCCTTTCCCACGTTTTGTCGCCCAAGGCCCACTAACGATGCATAGATATCCGATTCCGCAGGGCGTGAGGGCCCCTTTGACGTGATCGTGCGGCAACTGTTAGGCAATGGCCCAAGAATCACCTCAAGCTTTGGGGTAAGAGGAAGAGGAAGCGAATGGGTGCCGACGATAGCCACTGATCCGAAAGAGGAGACCGCAGGATACAGAGACCGGGGTCAGAAAATCCCCGGTAGACGTCCATTGGGCGGCCCACGCATCAAGCATTAGCTGAGACTCTTTTGCTGCCCTCTCAGCTGCCAATCGCGCCTCGAGCTGAAGTGCCTCAAGCTCAATTCGTTTCTCACAGTCAAGCCTTTCAGTCGTCACTGTAGACAGCCAGTAACAGCCATCCTTCTTCCGACGTCTTGGCAATGGGTCAAGAATCATCCGACGTCGGATTTATTGATTGGCGAAAGCCTCGACTCTTCCATAGTCTGATAGATGTCAAGCTGGTGGTTGGCTGGACGGGCCCTTGGCAAACGAACGAAAGGCGAAGATTTGGGGCTTAGTTCCTATTACTGCCGACGATTGACCGCGTGCTTTTCCAGCGGCCATGCCGAAAGGGTGTCTCTCCCTTAGGACTGCGGCAAGCAAGCTTGCTTAGCTTACTTTGGGTTGGCGTACCCATGCTCCGTATGGTAAGGGGTGGGGGTGATTTGCGGCGGCATCGCAGGAGAAGCTGCACAGAAAGCGGGTAGAACCCCGACCAGCCCGCCCAGCGCGGTCTGGCGTCGTCCAAACCACGATCAGAGAATGTAGTGACTGACTCGCTGGCCGCAGACTGTTGTAGAGCGCGGGCGCAGTGGCTGTCAAACCAGAGAGATTCGCAACTTCGCGAACCCCTTGAGTCCTGGACAATCTAAAGCAACTGTCTTGGCACAACTTCAGCGAGGACTCTAGCCCTCCTTAGGACGGGACCGATAGGACATCGGATGACGGTGGAGTGAGTTTCAGACACTAACGTGCCCCATTCTATCATCCGGGGAAATCACTATCACCGCGCGAACCCTCTTTTTGAACGCGTTTTATTACGTACTTTTAGTTGTGTTAAATGGGGCAATGCACCCAAAGATAGGATCCAGACCGAGAGGGGCGCGCTTGACCGGTCAATCAATCGGTGGAAAGGAAGATAGTGACAGACAGGAATGCCGGTTGTGAAATATATAATCTGCACCGAGAGCAAAAACGCGGGGGAGCAACGCGCGTGCATCCATGGAGGCTTCGAGATGCAGGCTCATGGGATTCCGTAGCGGTTGAGAAGCAATTAGATGCATCGCGTTCAAGGCCTGGCCTGTTGGAGATGATTCAAAACTAACAGTGAATTGGGAGGAGAGTATGTGTAGTACAGACGCCTGCTTATATCTCCCTCCTTCGTCTCAAGGGCGCATTTTACACAGAAGACCACAGACGTGGCTTTAGATTGCGCTGCCGGTTCTTCAAGCTTGAGACGTGGCCTAGCGGAGGGCAGGCCCGGTCCCAAGTACTCGGAGTCAACCCACATTGGGCGGCTGACCGGGAACGTGTCCCGGTCCTCTCTTGGCGTGAACCGGTTACGGTCCCGGCCGCCGAATTAGAACACCGCGCAGCTCAATTCACTATTCAAATCCTTGACTTGTTGAATTCGACGATTGATCAATGTCACGAAATCTCCACGAGTCTCATTGACGAAACCGAAAAATCAAACAAATCGAATATGGTAAAAACTAAGGAAGCACTGTGCCTCCAAGGCGGATCCTGCCAAGTACACTGATGTAAAATGAATATTTCAGAGTTTCGTCTATCGACTATACAGCCTTCTTCGGCGTCCACCACATGTACGGATATGCAAGCAAGACTTGTCCTGGTCGTATATGCCTCGATTCTGGACTTCTCCATCTCCACGCGTAATACTTGCTATCCAGCGTCACGTTGAAGGGGCGTCATTCCCATCTTCCCTTTCTCTCACCGTACTCATCTCCCATCGACGGGTTGCCTGATTGCAGGGTATCATGCTAAGAAAAATCGCAATCTAGACTTCCGCCGCAGTGACCGTGACTGTAATGATCTCTTGGTCCTTCCCCTTGGAGTTCACAGTCTCAACGACGGTCCCTGGCTCTTCCTCTTCCCCCTCCACTCCTCTATCCGACGAGTCTGCTTGTCGCCGGCTGCCGCGCCGCCATCGCCCCTTCAACCAACGCCGTCAGCTCTTATTTCCGTTCACCAGCGTCTTGGGTGTCCCTGCCGCGGCACGAGGCGTGCGGTCGCCGCTGCTCCGCGTGCCGCTGGACGGAATGTAGAAGTCGTAGCGGCTTGGGAAGAGAATAATGTTAGCCAACCGCAAGAGTTCGGTTTCCGCCTCGGTCTTTGTCTTGTTTCTAATACCCTCCTCGTCGTCGACGTCCATGGCGTCTATGTGCTTCGGCGATATACCGGCCGGCTCGACATCATAAGGGGCCAGCCCCATAGCGCGCAGACCATCGACTCCACCGTACTCCTCGACCTCTTGGGCACCGGGACGGTCTTGGTGTGAAGCTTCGCTGCCCAGTCCACCGAGAGTGTCAAAGTCCGGTCCCGGCTGGCCGGTCTGGAAAGCCTTTCTTTGACGGGCGAGGAAAAGCGCATTCGTCTGCGTCAAGGGGCAGACAGGAGTGTAAGTCAAAAGAGAGAGCTCGTTCGACTCGTTCTGCAATGACCGAGGGACGCCAAGTCTGGTGCCACCCGTGATTATCGAGTAAGCTTGATCACAGTGCCAAATGACATAGTCGCCGGCCTGCAAGCTAGGCAGAGAGACCAAACTCCTGCGCAAGTGCAGATGCGGGTGCCAGCGTTCAGTGAGACGCTGGGCATGGCCCGGGACGGCGCCATGGATGATAGTGTTGGGTTCCGGGTCAAGTGCCCAGTTCGAGGCATCTAGATACGCAGCCCACTGGTCCGCCTTACCACCATCCGGTTGCTCCGGCGGCCCACGCTTTGGCGAGAAGAAAGGCCGGAGAAGGAAGTACGCCGCCACCAGCTTGGGCGACGGCAACACGCGTACCATGCCTTGCTCGACCTTGGTGAGGGCTAGGATGCCCTGGAACATGCGAAACACACTGCAGGCACCCGCGCCGTTGTACAAATCGGTTGTAGCACCGACTCGGCCGGCCGGGTCCCACGGGTCGTACGACTCCCAGTCGCCGCGGAAGACTGCCTCGTAGGTGCCACCACGGCCGTAGCCGTCCGGCTCCCATCGTTCCAGACTGCCGCTATCAATCTGTGCAATGACTGTCGAAGAGGCGCTGGCGCTTATTGAGTCGGCGGCCGAATTGCCGTTCTGCTGACCAACGGCTCCAAGCTTGTCATTGTGGATGCGTAGACGATCCGCGTAACTCACCGGGGCGCGGGTGATGTGCAAGTCATCCGTTGACTCCCAAAACGACATGGCAAACTTTTGCGCGCGCAGCATGTTGGGATGGGCGCGTGCACGCACTTGAACCGGTGTCCAGAAGAGATCAATGCAAGTCGGGTCATGCAGCGCGGGCGGCTTGAACTCGCGGTTCTTGTCGAGATATTCGCGTGTTTCCTGGACCCAGTTCTGGGCATCGTTAGGCGAGACAACGCCGCGGATGACAGCGACGCCGTATCGTCTCAGTCTGTGCGCAAATGCCTCAACGCGAACAGGGTCATTGATGTCGTTGAAGTTGATGGACGGGATGAGCTCCGACCCTCGGTTCTGTATATCGGCGATCTCGGTCCTGAGAGCGTCGAGCAGGCGGCGCCAGGATGCCTCGACGGCGGCCTCGTGACCGGCGATGAGCCGCTTTTTGACGCCGGCAAAACGAGAGGGCAACGGGATAGGTTCGGCCCCGTAGAAAGAGACGACGGGGGGCTCCATGCTTTTGGGAAAGACCTTGCGGCTTGCAGCGGCTGCAGCGGCGGCCACTGCAGCAGGAGTCGAAGTGGACGATCGGGTCGTCGCGGCGGAGGTTGCAGCTGTGTCGGCCGCAGTTGAAGGGGGAGAAGTGAGGAGAGTAGAGGTTGGGGAGACGGAGGTGGCCCGGGAGGCTGCGGCAGACGACGGCGGGGTCGTCTTAATTATTCTGGATGAAGTCCTGCGTCTACCACCGACACTCCCACCACTTCCACTGCTGCTGCTTGACCCTGTGCGTGTACCTGACCCGAGCCCCCTGCGAATTCTTCTCCCCAGGGACTTGACGGAAGGTGGTGCAGCGGTAGCTGGTGTCGTGCTGCTCGAGCTCGCGTTGCTACTGGCTGCCTCGGTCAGGATCGCTGTGTCTCCGGCATCTCCAACTTTCCCAACCCCAACTTCTCCTCCTCCATCTCCATCTCCTTCTTTTCCACCCTCCCCATTTGCGGGGGGCGCCTCAGTGGGGCCAGCGGCCCAGCGGGCCAAGATCATCCGAGCTGCCGTCGTCTAGAGATCAAGGGTGCGCGTGCCCAGTAGCGTGAGAGTGCGTAAGCAGTGTCAGTTTGTGTATTGCATGCAATACACTCACGCTGATACACGCCTATGCGAGGATGCTGCAGCCGGTTGACAAGCTATCTGTTGATACTGGCCACCTGTGAATGTGCGTCGAGAGTGAGTCCCCCACCCGCTGCCGCGAGTCGTCTGTTATTGCTGCTGATGTTGCTCGTTGCACGTTGAATCTTTCCACAGTCAAGTCGGTTTGGAGAAAGGATCGGTCCGTCGCTTCCAGCCGAAAATCACAACTTCCGCTAAGGGACTGATGTACTGATAAGCCGGTCTTTTGAAAGGGGGGTTTGAGAGGGGTTGACGGGTCAAGTGCTCGGTAAACTTGCGCTGTCCCGCCGCGTCAGATGGAGTGTCGAACCCGGCTGGCGGAGGTAGCTCTCTTCTAATGGTCGGTCCAATCGTAACCCCGGGCCCAGCGACGCGAGCAATCGCAATGCGCAAATCAGTTTCTGGCAATCTTCTTTTATATCTCCTGGGATATCTCGTGATGGCTCGAACGCACTGCAACCCCGGCAGGTTTCCAACGGCGGGTATACCAAAGTGATGGAAAGGCCAGTCCTGCCAGCTTATTGAACCATGAAATACCCCGGACTGAGGGCGGGCGACGGCGCAGGAACACGACAGATCTAGCCTGGTCTCCCTCGGGAGCTTCTTTGACAGCAGTTCCAAATCGAGTGAAGAATGCTACCTCGTGACCTTCCCAAAGGGGGTGACTAAATGGCGACGGATGAAGAATGCCGAATTGAGCTGGTGGCCTCTGTCGTAGTATGTTGTACTTCTTGTTGAGAAGGGAATGTCAATCGTGAGTGAGTGTGTCGATGTGGTGTCTGAGCTGGATTCTGCAAAATCCCCTGGAAGTCTCTCAAACCCAAAGCAACGCACCCGTGTGCGTACTCTCGGGGCATCACGAAGTCTTTATCATGAAGGCGTGGCCGCAACAAGACGCAGGATGTGCCCACAATTTCGCTGGGTAGCGTCAGGGTGGCCACAGGAACACACACAATCTGCACAGGAGGCAGGGCCGACAGCCTGGGCCGGCCGCTCCTGGACTGGGGTGTCTGCGACGAGATAGATTGCCTCCTATCGCACCGTGGCAGTCCTTCCGGATGAAAAGAGGATAGCAGAGGACGGCCGACACGGGCGACACGGGCAGATTGGGCGGACCTGGCTCCATCACTATCTCCGTCTGCGCTGCCCGCCGGGCCGCCAACCCGCGCCGCGGCTAATATGCGGATTATCGTTCTGCGCGCGGACTGGTCAGAACCTGGAACTTGTTCTCCAGCGTCTTCGGCCAGAGAGGCCGGTAACTCCTGCACCCACATCCCTGTCATGGCTAGCCGTTGTGAATGGCTGTCACTGGGCTCTATTCCCCTCATATGTCCAATCAAAGCAGTGGAATTTCGTGTGTGCACCATGAACGGAAAAGTACAAGCCTCACGTGGATGCAGAAGACAAGCCCCATGCGAAGCAGCCCTTAGGCCGTGCAATGGGAAACCTGGGCGACGAGCCGTTGAGACTTGGGACTCGATGGCCCGGCTAGGTACTCAGTCGGCGGCTTTCGCTTGTCCTCTCTGGAGGCATTTCTTCCCTCCATTTCCACTGGCTAATCATCGGAAGCCTCTCCGTCGCCATCCAGGACCAGGATCTAGACGCTGCCCTTCGGCGTGCATTGCGCCGCCGTGCCAAGAGGGTGATGGGGCGCCGTTGCCCATGCCTGAATCACGCCTTCGAGAGAGTTGTGTGCTAGTAACAACCCCGTTACGGAATCTACAGCATGTGACGGAATGTCACCGTAGGGTACAATCTGAAAACCCTTTCCAGCTTTCCTCACGATGTCTCTCGCTTGATTAAGGTCAAACCTCGGTGTTGTTTGGGCAGTGTGCTTTCTAGGATGTAAACATGACTGGGCGGAGATTATATTTCAGACAGACCCGAAGAGCTTCTGAAAACCCATATAGCTCTCGAGAACCACTGCTCGCAACGTAGTAGTGGGCGCTTGATCGAATCACATAGTGGTTGTGAGTGAGGAGCATTAAGCTAAGATGACGACGCTCGAGGACTACAATTTGCATCTGTTTGAGGTGACAGAGTTTGGTACAATGGCGTAAGCACTTGAAGCAGCACAGCGTGACAACAACAACAACAACAACAACAACAACAACAGCGAAAGCGAGCTGCTGCAAGCTGCAACCTGATTGTGGCGATGACCTCCGACGGCGTATCTTCTTTGACATAGAGACAGGCTAAAGGCCTCGAATAGACGGGTGTAGGTTGCTGCTTTTCAAGATTGCGAGATCGAGATTTGGCTTTGGCCCCTGGCTTCAATGCCCGTGTTTCGTGCGCCCTCACATACCAATTGTTCGTGGCTGGCTGTCTTCTTGGAGATGACCTGACCACGTCAATCCCGCGAAAAGACTCCGGAGGCCTAGCTGAATATGGCCCCAAGGAAGAAGACCGGCCCAATCCCAAAGGGGGGATGGCACAGGCTCCGTCTACCCGCGAAAACCCCCCGTCCGCCAATGCGGGGGCACTTCTTCCATCCGACCTTGCGGGCAGCGTCTCCCGTCTGCCGTCTCGTGTGGGTTGGACTGGGCTAGACTTGGCCCTCATAAGGCGGTACGTTACTTTGGTCATGTAAGGTTGTTGCCGATCAAAGTATCCAAAAGAAGATGTTCAAACTCTCGGAACAGATTGTTCAATACCATACACCGTCCGCAAGTGTTTGCAAATGATAGAGCCAGCAACGAACGATTCGTTCTGAAACCCAACGGTTCTCTATGCTCGGCCGAAGCATCCGATAGTCACCATCTCATAACTTATTGCAGCCATTCATAACCCTCTACAAGCTCGACCTTCGAGTAAGCGAACATGGATTCAAGCGGTGCATGAGATGGTAGTCCTCAGACGGGTCGTATCGCCGACCATCCTGGACAAGGGCCGCTCGGGAGCATGAGTGCAGTAAGAGGTTAGTTGGAGCTCTTGCTGTCTATGCAGGAAACCGCGTGATTTTCTTGTTTTTTCTCACATCTATTGTTTTCCGGCATGGTTCTCTCGCAGTAGCCCCGTCTACTCTGCAAGAAAGCTGATGAATCAGCGGCTTGGACGAAACATTGATTGCTGCATGCAGCATTGCCGACATGGGCAAAGGGCACGGATGGTGCCGACAGGCCGATCCCAAACACATTCGTCCGGCGCCGAGATAAGTCAGGGGAGTCTTCATCTTATTTTCTTCGTACGCTGCACTCTTACTTTTTACCCTGCAAATAATGTAGCATCAGGGACGACCCTACGGCGCCGAACTTGTCAATAAGCTTCCGCTTGAAACTGTTTTGACGAGTCGCCTACCTAAGCCTGGGGACCCCACCCCCATTGGCCTCAGCTTGCCGCTATCCGTGTGCTGCTCTCTCCTAGACTCCATGCACGAACCTCTGTGCGATCAGTCACCAGGGTAGTTTTGCCTGTCCAACGTACTATGTACCAACGGGTCTCGCTCGTTCATCAGCAAAAACTTTGCAATTGCATTTCCCCAGTTACAAGTCCTTGCGATGGAGAAACTGTCCATTATCCCTACCGGGAACAGCCCGTCTCCGCCACTACACCATCTTCATTCCGACTTCGATACAAGATTGCGCCCGCCAGGCACATTCAAATGAAGACGAGCAGCTGCAGCCGCCCAGAGGCCTTGGCGCTGGTTTCAGATGGCGGATAGCCAGACAGTGATAGATCATCAGTCAACTTGGAGCTTGCTTGAGGGTACCTTTCTTGGCCCTGTTCTATCATTCGAATAAACTTTATAAAATTTCCCAACTCGTCAGTCGATTGTCGCAGTAACGACCGAACATGCCGTCGACTGTTGCTTTCCTCCTAACTTTATTGCACTGCTATAATGTCGCCCGGCATGTCTTCTCTTGACGCACTACATGTCAACAAGGCTCACAGCTGTTCATAAGGGACCTGGTCCTCCGGATCCGACATCTTGGCTTTGTTTTTGACTCCAACGGGTTGTTCTGACAGCATATCGGCCATCTTTAATTTGACATTTCGAATGTTGCAATAGCCGCGTCCACTCCTTCGACCTCACTCTGTCCCTATCGTTTCCTGTCTTCTATTCTCGGACACGATGAGTCGTGCTGGCAGCCGTACCGGGGATCGTCCGGTCTCAGCCGAAATTTCTGGCAGCATCTACTTGATCACGTCCGATGGCAAGACGCTCAAACTGCCCATGCCAAGCAACTCCCCATACGATCCTTTGAATTGGAGCTTGCCGAAGCGTCTTATTGCCATGGGTGTTCTCATACTGTACTCGATCGTTTCCATGATGGAGACCCAAGCCACCAGCCTCATGTATCGCTCTCTTTCCGCCGAATTCAATGGCAAGGTAAGGTTTACCCTAGCAATGTTCGTCGGTAGTCGAATAGCGGCTTAACTTTCTCAAGCAAACCGACATGTTCCCACTGAACATCCTCGTCTCGATGCCGAGTACGCTATCTCTCGGACTCGGGGCTTTCCTCTGGATTCCCTTGTCGGTAGCCGTTGGAAGACGGCCGGTCTTCCTGCTTGCTTCGTGCTTCCTGACCCTCGCTACTGTTTTGGCGGCGAATGCTTCGGGTTTCTACCAACTTCTAGCAGCTTTGAGCTTGCAAGGTTTCTCGGCAGGACTGAGCCTAAGTGCTGTACGTGATGGAGTTCTCGAAGACCCTTTGCCTAGTGGAAAGACTACAACTAATACAAATCATAGTCGTTACTGATTGTCATCGATCTTACGTTCATTGATGAGCGCCCCAACGCACTCGGAATGTTCTGGAGTATTGGATGTGCTGGTGGCCTCTTGTCTTTGCCCAGTGTTACGGCTCTGGCCACCCCTGGATGGAGAGGATTCTACACTGCATGGATCGTCCCCTGCTTGGCAGTTTTCGTATGCGCCTTTTTCTTCCTCCCCGAGACATACTTCGTCAGACCGGCTGTTGCTTTCGACGGCCGCATTCTCGTGCAAGGTGGATCGGAGAAGATCCAGATGTACGACGACTGGGAACAGACGCCTGGTGGCAAGGCACCCGGTGCAGCGCAACCAGAACCTACCCCCGAGACACTCTGGCAAGGAATGGTTCGACGATGGGGGATTCGAAAGCGCGGTGCAGGCTTTAAAGAGATGTGGACCTGCTACGTCCAAACGATGCTCTGCGCATGCAATCCTCTGGTCTTTTGGGTTGCGATTCTCAATGCCCTCAACTTTGGGACCATGCTCTTCATTGGCGAGACCTATGCTGTTGTCATGTCCCAGCCGCCATACAACCTTCCCGAACGTGTCATTTCCATGGTCAACCCTGTCTCCGCTATCGGCTCCCTGCTTGCCTGGCCTGTGTCGACCATACTGATATCGCGAGTTGCTCGTCGTCTGACACTCCGCAACGGCGGCATCCGGGACGCAGAACACTACCTTATTGCCTTTCTTCCTGCCGTCCTCTCTGGTGTAGGAAGCGTCTTCTTGTACGGGTTGACCGTCCACTATAAATGGAGTTTCATTTGGATGTTCGTATCGTATCTCATCAACGCCTTCAGTGCGGCAGCCTACGGCATTGCCTCGACGCTCTGGGTCACTGAGGCGTTCCCCCGCTGGGCAGCACCCGCCATGGTCATTATTGGAGGAGCAGGGTACATGCTGAGCTTCGCGGCGAGCTATGCCGTCACACCATGGCTCAAGTCGCAGGGCTATATGGGCGCCAATTTCGAGCTCGGCGCAATTTTGCTGATCGTGGGAGGCATTGCTGTACCACTTGCGTTCTGGGGGAAGAGTTTGCGACAGTATATCGACGGCAGGTGGGGATTATCGGAAGCTGGAGCTTTGCGACCACAGTAGTCGTAACGAACAGCGTTTCCTTGTAATATGTGCGCTCAAGTATGTGTTCATGATCAATAGGTACATTACAGCACCGCTGGATGCCCACCGCCTATCTCTTTTGTTTCCGCAGCTGGTCAGCGAGCAAGACCAATCCATAAATAATAATCATAGCTTCATAAGGTCTCCTAGAAGAACGTCAATGCCAAAAGTGATCTTACGTATGCTTCGAGACAGTGCTCGACCTTAGACCATTCCCAGGTCTTTATCTGGCGCCGTATGATGATCAGCCGTCGAGAGCAATCCAATCGGCGTCCACTCTTTGCCAAGAAGATTTCTTGCCATGTTGAGATAGGCATCAGATCTGATGCGCGATGTCAACGCAGGTGGGTGGGTCTGCCGATCGAAGGTATGGGATGCAAACGAGTCTCGGTTGTCCCGGGCTTTTCTCCCCGGGCAATTCTCGGTGTGGGTTTCGGTCACCAGTGGCCCGATACCGGAAACAACATGGTCGGAATCGGTAGCGTGGTGACTTTGCGAACAATGCAAGATTAAGGGTTCCGCCTCATTCGCCGATGGCTCACTGTTGTCAATGTCTTGAGACGCCTGTCGCTGAAGGGACCCAGCGCTGTCACAGGCGACTTTTTCCATCTCGAGATCATGGCTGAAGGTTTCTCCAGAGCAGTAGTTTCCAAAGAGAGACCTAATGCTAATGCTGCCGCTGAGCCATTCGGCAACATTGACCGTACAAGGCCAGACATCTTTTGGCCGAAACACTTGAACCAAGTGGCATAACTCTTGACCCGACGAATGTCGAGAGTATGGGAATGTGATTACTGTCGGCAAATTTTCAGTCGAATCGTTCGCGGAAATGGCCACCCCTTCGTCGACACATTGTTTTCTCTGGCCAATCGTCTGAAAGGCATCCAAGATGGCGGCCTCATTCTTCTCCCTAAAAGACGTGATGTCAATGTCCAACGACATATTTCGACCGCTGTTGGCACCACTCTCCAGGAACGCGAAAAGTTTAGACTTTGAGTCCGCGGAGATATCCGTTGTTTCGTTGATCAATTTCAACACCGCGCTCATGTCTTCCGCCGACAAGGGATCGAGTTCCGCATCGCGTTCCAGGTCATCCCCACCCCCGCCAACGCCGACCTCAGCGATATCTGCGCCACTTTGAAGGTGCGCTACGACTGGCTGTATAGATACGACCCTTGAATTCCTAACAACACTACAGAAGTTGCCTCTTTCACAGCTGTGAAGACGAACATGCTGATCTCGGGTGAGACAACCCGGGTGAGGCGTATTTCCACATACGTAGCCGGCCAGGGCAGGGGCTTCAGGGCATAGATGAATTGACGAACCGAAGCGGCCGTCGGATGTCTTCCCGGTCAAGGAAGAGAACATGCGCATCTTGTAATCGTCGACATGAATACGGGACTTCAAAGCCTTGGATAAGGCGATCCAGACCTGTTCATATCCGTAGGTCCATGCTTGGATGTGGAAAATGGTGTCATTAGGGTACAAGGCCACCTTCTGGAGCAACTCTGCAATTCCCTCGGCTTTTGTTTGGAACGGTACGTCCTTGATGAAGGAGGTGTCGAGGTAGATCTTATCGAGAACCTTAAGGCCAAAGGTGTACTCGATGACTGCTGGGTTTCTGGCGATTGAGTTGACGAACCAAGGTTCGCTCCGGACGTCGCCAGTGTAAAGAATGGCGTGATGTAAGTCCTCTATGAGGAACATAACAGCCCCAGGGCAGTGGTTCGCGTCGAACAGGGTGACTTGGATGTGGCTGCCCGGTGCAAGCTCCAAAGTGGTGGGTGTCTCCAAGGGCAGCGTCTTGAGGAGATTCTTCAGATGCTTGTATGTCTGCACACGTGCCTCGAGGATACCTTTGGCGTGGTTGATGCGACAGGGGTAGCGCTCGAGACGGAGGAGCATCTCCCGTGTGGCTGCGGAACAGTAGACAAAGGGAGAGCGGGGGGACTCCAGCCCAGCGAGGTGGTCGCTGTGAATATGACTTAGAAAGCATGCGAGTGGTGGACGAAGACCAGCATGACTCCGAAAGAAGTCAACTGTGATGAGTTAGCGGTGTGGCAAAGAAGAGAGATTGCATGCTGAGCTGGAATGTCACGAAGCAAACACGCGGATGGTGAGTGCACGCCCGTGATGTCCCTTCCAGGGTTCGGCAGCTCACTTCGGATGTCAGGAAACTCTGCGACAAGTCCGTTGAATGTCGACATGACGGCGGCTTTTCATGATAGAGAGGGAAGATTTCTGTGGGAAAGAGTACGCAATCGTTCGACGGGGAGGTCGAGGCTGTTGAAGGTGATAATGTGAATTCACTGAAAGGAAAAGGAGTACCCATGCGCAAAAGCACCCTCCGTTGTCCCAAATTGTTAACCATCAGGTGCCAGGTGCTGGCGGCTGGACTAGAGGTGACAAGGCGACGGGCGGAACGTCGGATGTAGTAGGCTTAGTTCGGCTCCGGATTTCGGCTCCGATCCCGTCTCAACTCTACCGAAATGGCTTCGGTTCCTGAGAGCCGTAAATATTAATTCACTCTTGTATGGAGGATTTTGCTTAGAATTAGCGTAAAAAGGGCATCTCCGGTTCCATCGGATATCCACGGGTATTTTCGAGACCTTATGCTTATCAACATCTTGATTCCAGCGCTTTATGCTGGACAGAGATGCTGGGCCAGTATTGGGTGACGCAAGGAATCTCAACTCCGAAAATGTGGGGCTCAACTCCGAAGTGCCTTCGTCATGTAATGCGAACAAGGGAAGCAACTGCAAGTGTATTTAGACCAGGTGTAACGAGCACTATTTATTTCACGATACCGAGGTTAGCACGTCGATTCATAAATAGTAACTTACGCACAAAGCGGTCTTAATAGTTGATAAAAACATGAGCAACAACCACGCACCAACATCGCCCCGGCCATCGGTCGAGCCCGATGAACCATACAGCATTTTCGATGTTCGACAAAAAAGGATAATCATATTCATTGTCTCGACCGCGGCCACTTGTGAGCTCGAATCATCATTCTATGCTTTGATTGGGTATTATACTGATCATCCGAGCAGTCTCCGGCTTCGCATCCAACATCTACTTCCCGGCTTTACCCACCATCGCCAGCGACCTCGACGTCTCCGTTGAACTAGTTAACCTCACTGTTACAACATACCTCATATTCCAAGGCCTAGCACCAAGTCTCTGGGGGCCGATTTCTGATGCCAAGGGCCGCCGGGTTGCCTATTGCTGCACATTTGCTGTATTTCTGGGAGCGTGTATCGGTCTCGCAGAAACTCAGAACTACGCGACGCTCGTCATCCTGAGATGCCTTCAGAGCACAGGAAGTGCCAGCACAATCGCCATCGGCTCGGGTGTGATTAGTGATATCACAACTCGTGAAGAGAGGGGTGGGTATATGGGCGTCTTCCAAGCTGGTTTGCTCGTTCCCGTCGCCATTGGTCCAGTCATCGGAGGCGCGTTGGCCGGGTCTCTGGGATGGCGGAGTATCTTTTGGTTCCTGGCTATCTACTGCGGCGTATTTCTCGTGTTTCTCATACTCCTACTACCGGAAACTCTCAGAACAGTCGTTGGCAACGGAACAAGGATTCCTTCGAGCTTGCTTAAAAAACACCCCTTATCCTCTTATCGGCGAACCACCAAGGTGAAGTGGGCATTGAGGGACTCATTGTCAGAGCCCACATCGCCGAAGAAGGTCAACATAACTGGGCCAGTCCGCATCCTCTTCAATAAATGCGCAGCCCCAATCATAATCTTTCTCGCAGTATACTACGCTGTCTGGCAAATGAGCATTACCGCCATGTCAAGCCTCTTCAAGACGCAGTATAGCCTCTTCGACACGCACATTGGTCTGACTTTCATCGCGAACGGCGTCGGCTCCATGATCGGCACTCTCGTCACGGGAAGAATACTGGACATCGATTACCGAAGCGTAAAAGCGAAACACGACGCCGACAACGAGGCCAACAACACTGTTCTCAACGCCGCCATTAATCGGGGTTTTCCCATCGAAAAGGCCCGCCTCCGCCTCATTCCCATCTTTTCCCTTCTCCAATGCGCTTCCATCGCCATCTTCGGTTGGACAATCAATTTTCCACGTCAAGTGCACATTGCCGTGCCAATCATATCAACCTTTGTCACGGGCTGGACTGCCGTCTCGACCCAATCCCTTGTCATGACATACCTCATTGACGTGTTCCCCGACCGAAGCGCTGCCGCAAGCGCCAGCCTCAACCTCGCCAGGTGCTTGCTTGCTGCGGGTGGCACGAGCTTCGTAATGCCGATGGTGAACGGCATCGGAGTGGGGTGGGCGTTTACTGTATGTGTTGGTATGCAGTTGGCGGCCCTTGTGGGTGCGGGTGTGCAGTGGAAGTTTGCCGCGAAATGGAGGCGTGAGGCGCGAAATTAGACTGGTCCATATAGGACCTACGGGACATCAAACACAGGTTCTGGATGTATTCATTATGATATTAGCTAGGCAGGGTAGACAAAAGTTTTAATTATCAGTTCATCGTGTTGCAAAAGTTAACCCCTGCTCCTGTATAAAAAGCAAGCATTGTGACTTGTAACTTAACCAGACATTCCACGGTGGCTTCGCAACCTGAGCAAGCCTCTAGGCTGTTCTGATATCATTTATACGGCTACAATCATAGTATACCCACATTTCAAGGAAAAAAAGATGTCAAAGTGGCTGGTGGGGGCCGCGCCGGCATTGGGTCCTCCGCCGGGAATGTACACCCTCCCACCAACCCCAAATCCAGGGGCGCTGTGCCTCGGCACCGCCATCGGGCCTAAATTTCTCCAGCTGTTCGCCGCCAGATCGTACACCTCCGTCTCGTTAAACGTCCCGCTCTCGACCTCCATGTTCCCCTCCCCGCCAACGGTGAGTACATCTTTCCACGCACAATCCCAGAAGCGAAGCCGCCCCGGACGGTTGGCAGCTTCGCTGTGCTCGTACTCCGCCCCTTTCCGAGGGTTTGCAGATCGAGGACGAAGACATTGGCACCGCGTGGCTAAAGTTCATCGGACCTCTCCTTACGGACAGCTCCAGGAGCGAATCCGCAGTTCTTCAGGCTTACACGACTAGCAGTCACCTCCAGCGGCTCTAGAGAGTTGAAGCCGTCTGCCTGGCCGTTGGTGAGTGAGTTCATACTCCTAAGAGAGGTAACAAAGCCCTTCTCAGACCCATTGATTGCGAGAAGCATCCTGGTGCAGGCTCCTTCTTCCCATGTCAACATTCAGCAGGTTATACAGTCGGCATGGTTCCAGCCTGTGATGGTAGGGATGGCGAGGATTCCCACGGGTGTATTCTACTGAAGTAGCCAGTCGTCATAGTCGAGGAATAAGCCGGGAACATTCGGGTTCCAACATGCGACCTCACTTAACGGCTGTTTGCCCTGGTCTTAGATGGTATCATACGTAACTGCTCGTGTATTAGTGAGAGAAAAGTATCGTGGTGAGATGTGCTTTGTGGATGGGTAGGTAGACAACACGTACGAGTGACCTTAAGCGCCATAGAAAGGATACCTGCCGAGGCAACTGCAGCGGAGAGTATGGAGAGGCGCATTATGATGATCCTTGGGTGAATGATGGCGTACTAAGACCAGCTCTGGCAGGAGAAGAATTCAAGAAAGGAGAATATGGCAGACGGAGGGGCTTGGATTTACTGTTGGACCTTATCTATCCCGGCAGAAATGACAGATCATGATTACTCAGGGCTTGCCAGCGACTGTCGACTGTGCCTGTAGATGCCTATGTGTTATTTGCGCTCGGTTAGGCCCTGTCAAACTCAGCTCACGATAGTGTTTCCCCACCAGACGACATCCAGATGGTCCCGACTACTAACCTCTCCACACCTAGACAAACTCTCTAGCAGCGGCCTGTCTGCAAGCTCGGCGCTCGTTAAGTCGAGTCTTTTTTAAGCTTAGCTGGGTACACCTTCAAATGCCTGAAGACTTCGTCATTATTTCCTACTAGTAGTATTGAACTAGGCAAGGTTGAGACCGGCAGACAAGTTTGGAGGTAAGCTCGCACCCATACAGTCTTTCAGCAGCGGATTTACAAGCTGGCCCGGCGGACGTACTGGACGCTCCTCCGCATATCGCTCCCCGTGCTCTGACCGTTCCCGCTACGGATAAAGGCATGGGGAAGTATGTTTGAAATCCCGAATGATCTGAAGGACCCGGACAGATCACGGACTTAAGGGCAGCCTGAGTCCGCTGTTGGGATTGGGACGCCAGTCAGTTAGATCATGTGACAGCCCTTTTCGTCAATCAACAACCCTTTTCCGTGGTGGGAAGCAGATCCTTCGGCGATGACGCGAAAGCTATCCTGATTTCCTCAAATACCCCAAGAGCCTTCATCAGAGATTTTCATCACTAAAGATGTGTTCTCTGGAGGTCCTTCGTCGTTTGACGGCAATAAATACCCTGGATCGGGCGCGAGAATGGGCCGTCAACAGTAAAGGAGTGATCTGACAAACAGGAGAACAAGAGAGGCCTATCCAATTCCAAGACACCTTACCAAAACCTAACGAAGGGAAAGAATGCAAGCGTATCATGGCGACGTTGCCTATCGGGAACATTGGGATCATGACAGTGATACGAGGTTGGAGAGAATGAGACCTATCACCGTCACGGTCTGCGAGCCCCTCTTTCTGGTAGCTCCTATCTTGGGGGCCATCCCAAAAAGTCTGTCTGGATCCACATGGCGTGTTATCTCAAGTATTCTGTAGGATGGCTTCGTAAGTGTACTTTGGTTGTGACTCTTTGTTGTATCCCACCGCGCAGTGTTTGATCAGTGAGACTGCCCATTTGAACCACTTAGGGGAAGACACAAGCCTATCTCTAAACTTAATGCTAGATTTGTCATGTGAAAGGGGTCTCCGCAAACGATTGTGCAATCAAGGTAGTTGAGGGAACTCTAAGCAGAAACGCCGCCTACCTTTGTAGGTAACGAAGCTCATAGCGGTTACGGCCATTTACGCACATATCAGCTTGGACCTTGCTTCCAATACTGAAGACATCGGACTTGGTCCTACGTCTACCAGCCCTCGATCAGGACCAGCCCTAGGAGACGAGAGCTGCCGAGAAATCTGACACGGGCCACCCCTTCACGAGAAGATGGGGCCGAAGGAAGCCCAAGAGAAGCTCAGCTTCAACCTGGTTTGCCGCTACTACGCGACCCCTGATGAGACTCAACAATGCCTCGTCTCGTTCAAGAAGTATCTGGATCTCGAGAAGCATCAAAGAAGACTTTCAGCATGGAAACTTCTCGCCACAGGTTTCCGTACAAACGGGCCAAACATGTCAGAGAAGGCGGTACGGATTGTTATGTTTGAAGTAAGCCACTTCCTCGAGCTGCTTACGTTGGAAGATCACTAACGCCTTGTAGGTTAGGTTCACGCATAAGTGGATGACATTGGAGAACTTGGGCCTTGCGAGGTACACATTTTCAAATACTGTCCACGTTATCCAGGAGATGATGGGCGGGCTGGCCAAAGCGAGCGTCGAGGAGCGTGGTATCCTCGAGTGGAGCAGGATGTTCTCCTATGGTTGTAACCCTCGCCGTGAGCTTGACTGGAAAAAGGGCTGGGGAATCGAAGCGGTGGGCTACTACTGCCACCCCGGCGACCAGGCGGGTCCGAACGGCAGCGCGCAGAAGGCCATCCAAGAGCTTCTCATCAAGTACATGGAGGTTTGCATCTGCATCAAACACCCCGTATGTGTGTGTGTGTGTTTGTGTGTGTCGCTGACGAACCAATGTTCAGATCCCAGATCCGCTGCGCGGAATGAAGGTATCCTCGTCATCCAGTTGTCGCGCTCTGGAAGAGGCGGGCAGGAGAGTTGATGGTGCAGATGGCAACACAAGACCGTTGTGGAACGCGCTTTATTCCACGTCGGTGCTTGATTACGATCCTCTCCAACTGGACATTGACTTGGCAGTTTTCACCATGAAGAAGGTTGTACGCTGGTACGACGAGCTGTTGGCTTTGTTCAAGGTCGCTGTTCAGTTTGAAGATATCATAGGCCGAGTCGATAAGGCAGTAGATTTGGGCGAGTCCATGCCTCCGGAAGTGGTCAGAGAGAAAGCCGGAGCGGACGACGCGTCAATGACGTCCGACTCGGGTAGAACTCTATGCGGCGAGCAGGATGAGGAACTTGACAAGTTGACTGTCGTCGAGATCGAAGACGCGGACAAGCCGGTGCGCGAAGGACTCGACAGCCAACAGCCTCACAAACGAAACTGGTGGAGGACGGTATTGAACTCGATCGGCATTAGTGTCCGATGTCCGCAGCGTGAGCCACACCCAGCTGACGCGGCAGTTAAACTCCAAGGGCGATCGTCAGAGATCAAACGCGCACATGCACGACTGAGTGAGAACGTTGATGAGTGTAAGAACAGCGGGTCTCTGCTCTACGAAAGATGCTTGCTTGCTGACTTTGGTTTACGTTGTAGTCGCGGCTCAGGTTGACCAACTGCGGGTGCTGGCCAGGGGGTTCATCCTTCTGACGAAGATGCAGATCAAGTGGGCACAGGTGCAGGCAATGGCGAACAGGCCGGGGGTGGACATGATAGAGGTTAACAAAGTCACAATTGTTAACATCATGGAGCTCTCGTCCTATACCCGGCGGTCGAAAATGCTGACGAACTGGGCAAACAAGATCAAGGTGGCGAACAAGGCTATGATGCAGGATGCGGACAGCATTGTGCAGCGCAGCAACCAGTTGGAGAAAGACCTGGATGGCTTCTTCAAGGACCATCGTCGGCATCAGAGCCGTTTTGTGGGACGTAGGGCGTGCCAGATGTGCTTTGCTTGAAGGCTGAGGATGGGCGGGAATGGTGTAGGCTCAGAGCCAGGTGTGATTAGACGTCGTAGGCTTGCAGATGTAGTTGAGGGAAATTGAACATCTTCGAGGAGAGAGTGCCCAGATACAATGTTTCCTGTGTGATGATGCAATGCGTAAGAGGAGACAGGTACTCATCCCACCTTCAGAACCTCGATGTGTCTGTCCAGGTGGCCTTCCGAATAGCCTCACAAAACGGGGCGGCAAATCTGGGGTCGGTTGTGGGGCTCAACGGTCGGTCGAAAATAGCAGTGGAGGCCCAGGCTCCAAGCACGGGCAGACCCTTCATGCAGCAGCAAGGTGCTGAAGGGGCGCACGCTGGCTTGCTGTGGAACCTGGCCAAGCGGGCCAGGTCGTCCCCTGACGGCGCAATGCTGCCATGCCGTCAGAGTGCTGCATCCCCCATCTTATTTTCACATCTGTCTTACACCTCTCGTTGTGTCTGGCTTATCTGACTTTCCTTCCTACATCTGACATGTTTCCATGTGAAAGTGGATGACGACAAAGCGCGTGCGAAAGATGAAGGCGAAGCGGGACAGCCATGGTCTTGGTCATGGGACACGCTTGTGCTGCACGGTTCAGGCGGACCGAAGCTGCTGAAGAAAGATGAAGACAATGATAAATCTTTAAGCCTGGCTAAATGGTGTGTGTTCTCTGGGCCTGTTTGGCCCGTCGCGCTGGTTCGGGACGGCAGACCAGAGACCGGGAACTGCGCGCTAGACGTCGCGTGCCTCTGGTGATTTCGGTCTAGAATTGGCGCGTTCTTCGTTCCGGTACATCATGTGCTCGGTTGAGCTCGGTTGGATGCGATGATCGACATGGCCCAGTTCGCGGGCTGGTCCCAATTCCCATGAAGGAGGACCTCGACATTTCCACCAGCCGCAGAGATAGCTTTTGGGTAGGTAGAAGATAGCAGCCGGGTCGAGCAAGAACAAGTCACGAAAGGGGCAATGCAGCAATGAGTAGGGGCCAGATGCGAAAGGGGAGGGAGAGGCGCACGCAGAGCGCTTCGGTGATCACCCTGAGAAGTCCGGCGCGAAACGAGACGGGACACAGGGAACAAAATTTGGGAAAATTCGGCAGGGACGAAAAAAGAGGGGGGGACTGTGAACAATGGAGAAAGCTGGACGAGGGACGACGGGGAAGACGAAGGAAGAACAGGAAGAACGGGAAAAGGGAAAGGGTGGGTGGGAGGAGGAAATGTTGGAAAGGAGCTGGCTAGGTACTTTAGGTAGGTAGTTTCTGGGAATGGGAATGGGAAAGGGGGACAGACACAGACATTGGACACCGAACATTGGACACTGGATATGGACGTGGAGAGGAGGAAGGGGCGCTGTGATATCAAGCGGTTCGTTCCTGCTCAACGCTCGCTGTGCGTCCGTTTGAGATCGATCCATGGATGGGCCGCGCCGCACCTGCACTTGCTTCGCACTTGCCCCTGCGCTTGCCTTTTGCCGTCTCTGATAAGGAAACCCAAATAGATAGAATAAAGATTAAATGCGACAATCAAAACAGCAGGAGCCGCTTCCGAGCGACGGCCGGAAGTCGCGACCTAGGTAGCCTGGCAGTTGCCCATTCGAGGTGCATCGCATCCAGTCCTTCCTCGAGTCCTCTGCGCCCTTCCTTGCCTCCTCTGCTTGCCTTTGGGATCTTCTTCCCATCACCGTTTCCCCCTCAAAACGAAGAACAAAGCGTACGATCTCTCAATAAGTAGGTTACGTACCAAGATAAAATAAAATCGCCTTTTCTTGAATTTCCTCCAAAAAACTAGAAAGTAATCCATCTTCGATCTGTTCCGACACCGCTCCTCCCTCAAGCGTCCGCTTTCCCCTTGTGACCTCTACCCGCCCGCTTGTTTTTCTCCCACACACCACACCACCACCACCTGCACTCAATCAGCCATATCCCATATCCGCAGTCTCCTCCCCCCCTCGCGCCGCAACACGAAACCACGTCACCTCCCATCTCTTTTCTTCACAACAACACCTCCGCAATCCACCACTCTTCGTCGCAAACTTCATTCTTGCCGTCGCTCATCTCAATAACTCGATTCTACAGCTTCAGAAAGCTCTTGCGCGTCATTTCCCACCCGTTTCATTCAACTGTAAGTGCGCCAAGTTGATACCGTTTTTCTCGACCATCGCGCCATCGCCTCGCTTTGCCTTTCCCCCTCTTCCTCTCATCTCTTTGTCGCGAGCGCATTCACAACCGCCACCTCTGTTTTTCGTCGCATCGCATCCGCCCCGGTCGCGTCAATCCGCTGCTCTTTTCTCATCAACTAATATTTCCTCGCGACACCTAGAACCACAGTCAAAATGGCCCGCGAAGGAACCCGCTCCCAGACCGGCAACTCCAAGCCGCGCGTCTTCCCCGTCGTCGACACTGCTCCTGTTCGCAAGCAGACCACGACGGCCCCCGCTACCGCGAAGAAGCCCAAGACCACTTCCACCGCCTCCAAGGCTGCGAAGCCCGTCGGCGTGACCAAGAAGAAGGCCGCCGCCGCTAAGAAGGGCCCTTCCGTCGCTACCAAGGTATGTAGTACCCCGCTCCCTGCCTCACGCGGCGCGCGCTGTTTTCACGGGATGCACAAAGCCAAAAACCCACGCCTGTGTATTCTGGGCGCTGGCTGGGGGCATCATCGTGTGCGGAGGGGGGCGCGCGCTATGATTCTGTGCTGGGAAAATATCCAAGCACACGAACCTCGCGCGTCCCCTACCGGACGAGACCCTGTTCAAACCCAAATACCGCGTTTCTATCTTCTTCTCATGCCATATTCGAGGCTGATCACCATTCCCGCAGGCAAAGTCGGTAGTGAAGAAGGCCGAGACCAAGGCTGCTGCCGCCACCAAGGCCGGCAAGAAGGTGCGTTGCGCTGCTTCCCAAAACGCACCCCTGACCATCACCAGCTAACCCACGCCCAGGAGACCAAGCCCAAGACCGCCAAGGCCAAGGCCACGCCTGCCGCCGCCTAAGCGTCTTCTCCCCGTCTTTCTCACTGTTCTGTTACCCTTCGCCTCGACGCGTCTCTCTGCCTTCCGGGAGACCTCTTCGAGCCATGCGCCGTGTCGTCGGGGCATCTGGGATTCCACCAAAAACATGGATATCATGACTCTCTCTCTCTTGCTTGCTTCTGGGACTTGCTAGTGTCTATTCTCAAGATACCAACTTGGTTGTTGAGCGAGCGGACTCGGGTTTGCTGTTTGTTACGTCCGGTTATACTTGGGTCGGGTTCGCGAGACTCCCTCTTTCTTCCACTATGCCACGGGGTTTCATGGGTAGTTGTCTAGTCGACTCCTTTTCAGTGTTTTTTTAGGTTTTCTTTTCTTCCTCGTTTGCCACTGCGTCTTTGGGGTCTGTCTGCTGGCCGTTTCCGGGGAAATGACACACGACAATGGTCGTTGGGGTTTTGGGCTGGTCTGGGTTGGTTCGAGTCGATTATATTGCAGTAGGGGCCGGTCAGGGGGTCTAATATATGGTGAACGGCGACAAGTACCACCAAACTTGAAATCAAGGGTTTTCGTCCCGTCCCGTTCCTGCATTGGCGTGGGTTTGGTTGCGGCGTTGGACATGATGCGATGTGGAAGATTGCACTCACCGGACGGTTCTACAGCTCGCGTCACCTCGTCAGGAGCCTCATTCAGGCCACTCTCACCATGCGGCGTAGACGACATCAGCTACAGAACAAGGTGGATGGGCAAGCTTGTATTCAAAAGAATAAAATTTAAACGAAAGTGGTATCATCCAAAGTGTGCGCCACAGCCAGCACAACGGCCTTCTCAGTCGGCCCCCAGGGCGAGGCGAGGCGATGTCCTCAAAGCCTATTGCAACCTCTTTTCCCGCGAACCGTCAGGTTCTTCTCCAACGCCCACCCAACCCCTTGTAAGCCAAGAACCCAATGCTGATGCTCCCCAAAAGTGAACCGATGCGCCAATATCGTCGTCATACTGCCTGATTATTAAAACCCCATCGAAATATCAGATGGGGAAGTTCAACGTCTGCTCCTTCCACGGGATGCCGTAGTGGTTCTCCCAGTTGCGCCCGTTGCGTGGCCCCTCCTTGATGAGCTGCATCTCCCGCACGCCACAGAACATGCCGTTGCGGCCCGTCCGCTCAACCATCTTCCACCCTTCGCGGCGCTGGTAGATTTCCTCCTTGAACCGCTGACCCTCGACGACTTCCCGGTGCGGGTTGGGCGTCGGGAACCTGGAAAAGTGGGTAATGATGGCCTGGGGGAGGGCCATGAGCCGCTCCCAGCGGCGGATCACCTGCTCAAGGCGCTGTGTCCTCTTGCGGTATGCCACGCGCACGTAGGGGTTCACGAACACACCCATATCAGGCTCGCCGGCCTTGTCCGCGACGGTCGTCACGTCCGCGAGGAACAGGCAGCATTCGCAGGCGTCAAAGTAGACCTCGGGCTCGTACCGGAAGCGCACCGGCGCCGTCACGTTGTGTGGGTGGTCCGGGTTGATGACGTGGTGCGCCACAGCCTGCCAGTCTTTGGTCGGCAGCTTGCTGTCCATGTTCTGAACCCATTTCGCCTGCATCGCCACCATGCCGCCCCAGCAACTCTTGACCGGAACGGCGTCCTTCTGCGAGACCATAGCCTTGCGCGAAATACCTTTGCCCTCGCCGGTGAAGTAGGGGAAGATCGGGATGCCGTTCGAGTACCCTTGGGCGTCGCGCTGTGCGTAGAGATCGTACTCGAGGAACGGGTTCCAGTCGTAATCGATCGAGCACGCCGAAAGATAGTGAGCCCGCCCATCTTCGCCGGCGTTGGTGTTGAATAGCAGGTGAGCGGCGTCGACCGGGGCGAAGAGCGCGTCATTGAGGAATAGGATCCTGTCGTACTTGACAATGCCTCCATTGGCGTCCGTTTGGTCCAGCGGGTAGAGTGCGCGGTTGCGCATTTCCGACAAGTACGCCAGACGCTTCAGTCTCTGCGACCCATCGGGCAGGGTCACATGAGGGAAAGCGCTGTAATCGACCTGGCCCTCGCTAACAAGCTTGTGCTTGCACGGCACGTTCTTCTTAAACTCCTCCAGCGCTGCCGTGCCCGGGTCGCCGCTGTCGTTCTCGTAGATGCTGAGAAACGTGTTGTCCTCTCCAATCATGTGTACCAGATCCAAAACGTTCTTTGCCCACTCTCCCCCAGCAATCTTTCCATCCGGGTCGAACAAGCTGACAGCGATGAAGACCTTTTCATTCTGTAGGTTCGCGCAGCCGGACAAGCTGTCCGATACCAAGCACCTCTTCCTCAGATCCTTGTAGTGTTTCGGATGGCGCGTATACGAGGGAAAGAATATCGGTGTCGCGGTGAGAACAAAGAGGATGAGCAGGAAGGTATAGCGGAGGAGGAGCCGAGAAAGAGACCGAGGTTGACGGCGGAACCTTCTCAGCAACGACCGCGGCCTTCCTCGGAGCCAGGCGACGAGTGTCCCCTGCCTCCTTTTGTGTGACACCGCCGCGGTGCCGGGGAGCAGAGGCTCCTTATGTTCGTCGTCGATATCGAAGTCTTCCAAAGATGAAGACGGCCGGTTTTCCGTGTAGACCATGCCGCCGGGTTTCGACATGTTTGACGTCGAGGTCCGTTAGCCGCGCAAAGCCGCCGCACAATGTCGTCGTTGTCGTCGAAGAAGAAGAAAGATCCGTCTATATGATCTAAACGCGGTCAGTGCCTAGTCATAACCACCATATTGGCAAAGGCGAGCTCACAAGGATGAGGTGTAGTTAAATGATGCGCCTTCTGTCGTGACAGAAACGCAAAGCTACAACAGATAGACGGGGGACAAAGTGTCAAAGTCGGCCGTTTTGCAGACTTGTTTCGAACATGCAACGCCAAAGGAGGTCGAACATCAGACGAAGAGTGGAGGCCCGTGGTTGAGAAGAGCAGTTGTCGAGTGGCGGTCCGGGCAGGGGGGCACCACCAACGGCCTTCCTTGTCACAGATGAAGGGGCGGAGGAGAGAAGACAAAAGGAGGAAGGAGACGATGTCAGCAAGCGGACGAAAACAAGCATTGCAAGCACCATACGGGCCTCGGGGGTGAGGTGAAGTAGGGACAAGAAGGGAAAAGCGCCAAGGGCTGGAACGAAGGCGGCGAAGGCGACGACGAGCCAGGACCAGAAAGGAATGGGCGTCAATGCTCGGGTTGAAATTGGAGGTTTGGGGGCAGAACGAACATCAATTGGGGCGGCGCTCCATCAGCAGCCACGGTTGGATGGACCACCCATGGTCGGACGGCTCCACGGCAATGACAGCCACCGACAGGTGAAGGCAGGGAACACAAAAACACTTTAGAAGGGCCATGGTTCCATCGGGATCACCTTGTGGGGGAGGCCTTGATGGCATGATGGGAGGGGGCGGTCAACCTTAGAGGCTGTGGACCGTGGGGGCTCGGCTGTGTAGCGTCGTCCATGAAGAAAGAGTACCAGGTAGGGCAGAGACGACTTGCAGTTGGAGGAGACTTGACTCGGGTTGCAAACAGACGTTTTGGCGCGTGTGCAACGAGCCGTTGTCGTCACGAAGACGCGCGGTGCGGTCCCTGGTATGTTTGTGTGTGGTGTGCGGTGCTGTGCGGTGCTCCTAGGTGGTACATGTGTCTGTGCATCTGCTTGGAGGAAGGATGGCGCGGGACATTGCATGTGGACACGACGAGCCCTCGACGGCCTCGAAACTACTACTGCGTATGTATGTTTCCATCCCAGCAATGGGGCGCATGTCTGGCGCGGAAGTGCACAGGCAGGTACGGATACCTACCGTGTTTGTGGTGGGAAGGTTTAGGGTGCGGGGCGATGGAAAAGAACTGCTTTATGCTCTCTGCCTCCCACTCATCGCAGTGCTGCCCCCAGCTTCAAGACGCATGGTGGCATGCTATGTCGGGTACAGGTTTTCGGTGTTGTCGGACACCCGGCGAAAGAACGAGACAAACAAAAATCAATGGAGGCTTTCCGCATGCAAAACCTGATGTCAGGGGTGCAGAGAGAGCAAAGGCAAAAAAACGCGTTGTACGGAGTACCGCGGTTGAGAGAGGTGAGGTAGGCATGGGTAGGTAGCTTCGGCACCTGCCACCCGTCTGCATGGCTCCAGCCTAGCAGCACCTACACCTCCTTTGTGTCATTTGTATCTTCGCTTCGAAGCTGCTGCCTACCCAGGCAATGTGTGTATTGTGCTCAGGCACAGCCTACAGTACCTGAATGTAAGGGAAAATAGGGGACCCGATGTAGGGGTGACACTGGGGTCGGCCATGCTTGTTGGAGCTGGTGCTGGTGCGGGAGCTGGAGTTGAGCCGCTTGGTTTACTGTGCCATTGTACGCTGTTCCCGCCTGCCCGTTGTTAGTAACAAGTCCAACTTCCAGAGGATAGTGATGGTTGCTAGGATTATGAAAACCGACAGTTGGTCGTGGAAGCAGGAGAGGAAGGCCAAGCAAGGGACAGCGGGAGAGCCCTCTTTCCAGCACCGGAGATCGTAAAGCTGCAGGGGGGGCAAACCTCTGGAACAGAGAAAGAGGAGTTTGGGTGGCAGGAAGGAGCTTTCGACACCAGTCGACACCGTGCTAGTCTCGGAAAGGCTTAACGCTTATCTCCATGCCCACAGCACTACCGTGCGCACGGTCTAGATCAATCTCCTTTGGGCTCCACTCCCTTCCTTCCGTCCTCTTGTTTTCCCACATGTCCCGTCTCCTCCTTTCCTTCCTTCGATCTTTGCCAAGTCTTGGCCCTCCCCGCCAGGCCATTGGCAAATCGCAGCAGCGGTGGCGGCGACGGCCTTGATGCCTGGTATCCTATGGAGCATGGGCCGACCTCATTAATGCTGTGTCACTACATGTTATGTAAGCTTGTTGATGGCTCCCGTCCTGCCGCCGTGTCACTGGTCATCGTGTCTATCCACCCCACGTTGCAATTATGGGCCATTCACAGCATCCATGTCTGTCCGTTGTCCTGATCCGCACCTCTGGGATCATCTTTTTTGTTGGAAATGGGGCCCTCTAATGTGCTGAGGCTGCCTCGTACATCGTATACCCAACGCCCGACTCTTGTCAAGGTAAAGGTCGAGGAAAGCTCACCGCGCCTTCGGAAGACATATTGCATGGCCCGTTGAGATGCAGCCGATGCACAAACATAGTTGAGGTTTATTTTTTTTATTTTTTTAACTGCCCTCCCTACCCAAGACTGGCTTTGCATCTCGCCCTGTTGCCACAGCCACTTAGCGTCGACCTTGCCCAAGCCACTTGACTCGCATCGTATCACTTAGTCAGCGGCCGATGGGCACTCGTTCGCTTCCCACTTACCCCTTCACTCACTCGCTTTTCCTGCTCTTGTAATAAAGGGGCGCCTCAACGACTTCGTTGCACATTCAACTGCCTGTATCTGCCTAAATCACCATTCGAGTCATATCCTTACCTGCACCTCCTCTACAATATTTCCCCTGAGAATTCCCTTTCGGTGCCGGGACTTGACCTGTCGACATTCATTTCGGCTCCGCGGAATGGCGGTGGGTCACGTCCTGAACAGGGATCGCGATTTGCAGCCTCGGACCGGCCACTGTCAGCGCCCAATTCTAAGCGCTTATCCTGCCTTATTGTGTCCTAGCCGTAAAGTGGGATGTGCCATTGCTTTCATCCTCGTCCAGTGGGCATCGTTCAATTTTGTTAATGCCGCGAATTTGCATGTGCGTGCATTCTGGTACCAACGGATGGAAGGCCAGTACTATACGCCCATAGAACAGAGCCTCTCTGCCCTTGTCGCCGTTTCTCCCATCATCTTGCGTTTCGTTGTTGCTACTCTACGGGCATTTTGTATTTTAAATCAATGTTCCTCATGGCAACAAAATTGAAGAATAAGAAGGTAAATAGAACGAAGCCGAAAATAAGACCCAAAGACAAGATAATCTAAAAACGCGAGAACAAGGACGGGAGTCAAGATGGAAGTGGCTGCTCTCGCTGTTTGCTCGCGTTTACACCACTCAAAGAGATGCCTGACTGGATATCAATGCCACGCCACCCAGAAGCTGTTGTGGTACCCAAGTCCCTAGACGTAAAGTAAATATTGCGAGACCCCTAAATCCTTTATGACTATACTTCAGACTACAAAAGGGAAACTGAACAGACAGAACTCCGTATTCCCAAGACACTCTAGGTCAGAAGACATCACAAGAAAGGAACATTAACTATTTGATACCTGAGCCTCCCAGTAGTAGTTCTAGACAGATTCGAAGCTAAGCATCCTGTGCGGCGAGTTAAAGTATTTGTCCGACTTAGCCGCCATGGCTTTTTCGCGACGCGTCCCAAGGAACCATGCGGCGATGGTGAGGAGCGTAAGCCCAGCAGCCAGGACGGCAAACAGCCAGATATGCTTGGATACGATGGAATCTCCCTCGATTGCCTCCCAGTTGAACATGTCCATGGAGAAGATTGCCTAAACCGCCGATCAGTACATTCATAGACCAGCTCAGCTAGAATGGCACGCGAGTAACATACTGCAACACTGGAAAGAGGGAGATAGATCATTGTCAAGAGCGCTATGGTTCTCATCTGTGCGCTTTCCACTTTCGTTTGGATCGCAATGGCGGCGTTGGCTTGCGAGATGTTGGTGTTGGTCTTCGAGTCCTTTCTTGCGATGTGGTTCCACACCTGTAATCCCGAGTCACTCTCATTAGCAGCTGTTTAGTACGTGCTAAACCGGTCGAAGCACTTACAGTCTGCATGGCTAGGGATGTGTTACAGATCATCATGTTGCAGTCGTCAATTTTGTCGTCGTACTCGATCATGATGTCTTCGATCCTGCTCCTCATCTGGGCGCTGATTTCGTTCAAGGTTGCGCCTCTCATGTGATCTCGAGGCACTTGGTCTTCGGTCCTGAGCGACTTCACCTCCTGCTCCACGATGTCCACTTCTTTCAACAGCTTGGATAGCTGACGCTTGACTGCCGAGATGTGATTGATCAAGTCTCGACTCTCCATGCAGAGGTTCAGATGCTGTTGTGCCATTTTGCCCTCCACGTCTGATTCTAGGCCCCAGGAATCTGCAGTAGGACTCGAGTTCAGGGGTTCTGACCGGAGTGTGAACTTGTCTAAAAGGCCGTCGACTACTTCAACCAGTCTTGTTCGCTCCAACTCTGCAAATATCCCTGGCATCAACAGGGGGTGTTGGAGTTGTTTGTCTGCTCCTCGTATCCTTCTCTCAACGTCGTCCATCTGTTGGTTGTTACACCCATACATGACGGCAAAGGTAGAGTCGGTGCTTGGTATGTGCGTTGTAGATAAGGCCAAATCATCTGGCAGACTTGACGACATCCGCGCCGTGAAGACTTTTGAAATGGTTAGTTGAGCTCGTCGGCCGATGAGATGCCACCTGGATACTTACTCATCTCAAGTCCGCCCGACCCTACATTGCGCTCGCGGGCTGACGAAAAGCATGGTACCAGCCTAGAGATTGCCCGCTTGATGTTAAGGGAAATATGTAAGTGTCTGGTAAGTCTTTCCCAGGTATTCTCTGTGAATGGAAGATGTTGCACACTGCCGTGCTTGTTGCCAAAAACGGAAGGGCCTCGACTACACAGACTACAGATAATAGTTAGATTCAACCCTGCCTGATAAGGAGTTATAGTAACTCACACTACGTAGAGCCCTGACTTGCGTGGTCTTCCACTTGGAGTAGTACTAAGCTGCTTATTGTCGTCAGCATCGATTACCTTTGAGAAAGGTCAAACTACCTACAGAGTCGAACCATTTCTCCCAGTCTTCTTTGGTATAAAGAACTTCTTTAGTGCACTGCTACGTCTCGATTAGCCACACTTGAGCTCGATTCTGGAATGGAATGGCTAGTCACTTCTTCCTCATCCAGTTTACTGAGTACCGCTGTCTTCCATTCTCCATACTCAAAGAGCTTCAGATCCGACGGCTTCCATGTTCTACTTTGAACCAGCAGGTCCATTTTATAGCTTGAGTTGAAGCGTTCAAGCTTTCCAGATTCCTGAGTTTGGTTTGTGAGCCCGTTTGCTTAGAAGTTGGCGATTATTCAAGACCACTAGTAAAATGGTGGATTGAAGAAAGGTATGAAGATTGCATGGCTCGACTTATAGGCGCTGTGTAGTTGCCTAACCTACACACAATTTGCGGAATCTCCAAGGAGCTACATAAACACAGGGAAGCTTTCGCATATTAATATCGTCATTTGTTTCTACACTTTGTACTCGAAATCTATAACCCCTCACTGCCTTGCAGCCTGTTTGCTTGCCTCGCAGACTGCCTACGCCGTTTCTGATAAGCCTCCTGCACTTACTCGCCGGTACAAGGACGAGAGAGATTGGTCTCATTGCAGAGTACCTAAAGCCACCGAAGCACCTCTGTCGACATAAGCATGCCGGAAGTGGAGCGATAGGCAGTGTTCATGTAGTATGTGTTGTCGAGCTATCATTGGAATACGCATCATGCATCATGCAAGACAGGGCAGGTGGGCTTCGATATCAGGATAGGTCGCCTGCATGGGCGACCCAACGATTTCGGGGCGCAGAGCCGCTGCAACTTGTGTCGTCGCTTCGCTGGTGGTCTCCTCCGCCCCTCCGACCTTTTTCCCTTTTCTAAATCTGTCCGTTCCGAGCTGTGCCCCTCAAACAAAGCCCCCTCGCCAAAAACGCTGTGAAGGACAACCTGCACTTGGCACAGTGACAACTCGATTTTTGTCGGTCGACATGTCGTTCTTCAAAAAGGCTTTAAGCCAGACCGTTGGGCCCCAACTAAAGACAGACTCAGAGAAAGAGATCACTGGGCAGTCGTCAGTGTCAACGGTACTGAAAACCGCATCGACATCGGCATCGCCGGATCCGTTTCCACACAAGAAAGTGATGAGAGCAAAGTATCTTGACCAGCGCAAGCTAAAAGCATCTCTTGACTCTATTTACGGTGATGGAAAATATAAAGTTCAGGCAAGGCTTATTCTCCGGACTCCTGTTTTACAAATATGAACTAACATCCAACGCCAGGAAAGGGCCAACCGCTACATTCTCATGTTACCAACACCCATGAAAGATGTACGACAAGCTTCAGACCCTACTACTGGACTTATTTTTCTTTGACTGACTTCGTCAATTTTCAAGGATGAATTGGATAGGCTAGAGCAGCGTATTAAGTTGCACTACAATGACTGAGTTGGCCAACGAAATCGTAACTAGAAACGGATAAAACATACCACTCGCCGGATACTGAAGTTGGTTGCATGAGATTCCAGACTATTCCACAAAATTCGCGCAAAGAATAGCTTCAAAAGCGTCCAATCAACCTTTCAGGTTGTCTTCGCAAGAAACCGTAGATCTAATGTCCTGAGAATACCGTATTGAGTCACCTTGTGGCCGACGAGATGTGTCGGAATCTTATACGTTATGGCAGCCACGGTTCCATCGTTCAGGTCTTTGGGCGCACTCCAAGGTAGTAGTCGGATTCGGAATGACATGTTGCCATGAGAGCCTTCATTTTCTTGGTCAACTGGCTGGCTGGTACCCTTGTTGCGCCGTCGGGATCCAACATTCGATCCTTGATAAACTCGAGCAGATCCCACAAGTACCAAGAACAGTCGCGATGGTTCTGCAACTCTTGGATCCACCTGGCCACGGACGGCTTCAGAAAGGCTTTCTTGTCCTTGATAGAGAAGAACACATCGGAATCAAAGCCATAGATATCGCGCTCGCTTCGTGCCTCGGGGAAGGCCCTTTCCACCGCATCAAGTCCCATCAAAAACCATGTGACATATTCCAGCATCACGCAGCCCAGACTGAATATATCAGATCGTGGTGAGACTTGGCCGAACGGTAGGTCGAACTCCGGACAGCGGTAAGTTGCTGTTCTTTCGATATTTTTGGGGTCTTGCTTCGACCGAGACACTTGAGTGTGCAACCTACCCAACCCAAAATCCGACAAAGCTATTAAGCCTGGAAAAGTGCCGGTAGGGAACCAGAGAAAATTCCCTAGGCCATCTATGTTAGGCCACATCTCATGACAGGATAGATGCTAGAATTCAAGAGAAAATACTAACCAGGCTTGATATCACCATGCCTTCCATACAGCTCTTTATTTGAAGCTCTATCCTGTAGATAACTCATCAACGCCGGTGCACGGTCATTGTGAACACATTGGAGTGCTTCGCTGATCTCGTAGAACTGCGTCGCCATCCATTCACAATGGCTCTTGTCACCGACAAGACTCCTATTGTTCTCCCAGAACTTGTTCAGGCTGCCTTCAGCCCAATCAAAAAGCAAATAAAACGTTGATTTTCCAGTTGCAGGATTGGCCACCTCGAATGTAGCCAAAAGCTGTATCAAGTGCTTCTTTTTGTACTGATGGCCAGGGAAGATAAGCGATGAGAGCTCCAGATTGAAGTTAAGAGGGTTATGAGAGGTGAGCTTTTTGAGAGCGAAAAACCCTCGCGGGTGTCGTATCTGAGGAGAGATGATCAGCATCCTAAGGTTTCACGATTGCAGGGGCTCATAATTACGCCATGGTCACCGAAGTCAAAGTGCCCTTGATAGATTTTGACTTTGTACACTTCACTGAAGCCTCCGTAATTGCTTCCATCTCCTTGAGAGCCCTTTACAGTTGAATCAGTGTTGTGCTCCTGCTCCACCTTGTGCTCGACTTCCAAGGGAAAGACATCACTGGTATCCAACACGTAATGCGAGTGGAGGCCGTTCTGTCTTGTAATGTAGGGTGCGTTCAACGAATAAGACCACTGAGAAAACCTTGCGCGGATTTCTGACCGAGAGTATCCGTTGATCGTGCGGTGTCGCCCATGTTTTCGACAATGCAGGTGCGGGTGCCCTTTCCCTTTCCCTGCCTCCTTCTCGAGAGGCAGACATGCATCCGAGACTCCATCGGTAAGCATATGTTGTGCCATGTCATCAGCTAAATCAATGCCAATGAGAACCGCCAGAAGTTTTACACAGGGTGCCAGATCCTTATCAGGCCTTCCATAGTAAATTTCTTGAGCAAGTTTATCCTTGTCTGGCTGGCCATTGAAGCATGATAAATTACGAACAATCGTGCGCACCCGTTCGAGTGTAAAAATTTTCGTGAACTCGACATGCGGGATAAACTTCTTGTCAGGGTCCAGACCGTAGGAAACTTTTGCTTCGTCTAGTTCCCCAGCGATATTGTCGATAAGGCCTTTCTCGTTGAGTGGGTTTATACCGGATCTCACTGGCTTGCCGTTTGTCGATATCGATTTCTTAGACCGAAATGATTGGCCTCTGTCGTAGATCTTTGAAACCCGTCGGTCGTCATCCAGAATCAGCTTGCCTCCCTGTATAAGGTCTTCGAGGTCCGTTTCTGGTTGACTCCCCATAGCTAGAAGCTAATGCCTATGCTGACTGTGTTAGCTGCTGTTCTGGGCTTGATTCTGACGAAGCTCACCAATGAAGATTGAAAAAAGCTGTCGTGACTATTTCTGTCTAGCTTCTAGGATCTGTTGAAGCTTATGCCAACAATAGCCCAATGTGCTGTTTCAAGGTGAATGACGACGGCCTACAGCCAGTGCAAAAAGTGAGGCAATGGGCGGGCTCTATCGAAGTGCGTGAGCAGCATCGACACTGATGAATAGGGCGAAGTAAAATGCCACACCATCCTATGATCCGCGAAGCGGGGCGAGTGAACATTCAAATAAGTTTCTGTATCCTGTGTTCCATTGGGAGGGAGTGTTGTCAGAATTTCTGATTTGCTAGCCTTAGCTATGTTTGAGCATGTCTGCCGTCCACACTTTGCTAGTTCAGGAGAGCCTTGTTATGTCCCCTGGCTTGTAGACGAGGGACTTGCGTCTGTATTCTGGGTTTGTGATGTAGGAGAACATACTGATAAGGCAGAAACGGCAAGGCAACAGCAAATGAACCAAGAATCAGGCAATGGACCTTAAGATGAGGGCAGACTCATGATTGGGCTGGTAAATCGGCGAGATGGAGCGCAGTCCATGCATCGCACGTGCGGTTTCCAGACCGAAGCTGACTCCCCCAAGGGTTAAACGGCCAGCGGGATACCTCAAAATAAAGTGGTAGCCGTAATTGCAGACCACCCTCTCAGAAGTAATCCCTGGCTCAGCTGCAGTCGGACACTATCATTCCGCCTCCTCGTGTGATTACCTCGGTAAAGACGATCCGCTCGTAAAAAAACACATGGCGGGAAATCTTTATGGCAATGAGTAACTATTGTTCTTTTCATCTGTCCTAGCGTCGATTTCCCTCTTTTATCAGCCTTTGCACCCAAGTTGTGCGATGAACATAATGGACTCATTGACTGACATGACAGTTTAATAGTATCAAGAGAACTGAGCTATCAACTTCGACAATTACCGGAATGGTGTAGGATCTGTATATCCGCGAACGTAAGTTGGCAAGCAATTGGCGAGGCACCCCTCGGGGCTGCCGGACTCTTCCCTTACGAATTCACCCAGCGCATGTCGTGTGGGTGGCACAGCCTCAGCGGTCACCGGGATGCTGCAGCTCATGCATTCATTCAATGGCTGTGTGGCACACCATCCTGCGACCGACAGCAAAGTATTGCATGAGCTAAGGCGACGAAAAGGAAGGGCTGGGCCGCCATGGTTCGCCTATTATGAGCCTTTCAATTTCCTTCACGCCCAATAATTATCCAATCGAGGGTGGTTTTCTCAAAATAATTTAGCTGTTTAGCAAGAGCGGGTTACTTGTGGTATCACCCCTGTTGCACGAGGTGGCGGTCAGAGATCCCCACGGTCGGCCATAAGATGTTCATAACCCTCGTCTCTCGACGAAATGTGCGAGATTCCATGGAAGCTGGCTGAAATTGACAAAAGCCCAATAAAAACGCGATCATTCTCTCAGCCATGTCCCGACAGCCGCGGTATAGTCCTTCGGCGAAGGTCCGATGGCAAGACAACCAGGACGGCACTCAAAACGCTTCCATCTCCGCGTCTCAAGTCAGTTCTAGTCAATTGAAGGAGTACCTCGATAGGAATTTTCCGGGACAATACTCTGTGCAGGTTTGTCGGCACTTGGTGATACCATCATACTCAGTGGTCTCAGGCCAAGAAGTGACTCTTTTCCAGTTGAAGCGAGACAAGTTCAATGTAACGATCGGCGGTGGACCAACAAATTGCAGAGTCAGTGTGGAACATAACAATAACTGTAATGGAAAGAACTAACCTTGAAAATTTCCTCCAGTGACTTGGCTATCTGTAGTTTCATTCATCGCAAAAGCATGAGCCAAATCTTCAACAGTGGGTCCAGCCATCTACCCAGCATGTCTGCATCATGCAACGAAACCCCCTGGATATGTTAGGATGGTTGTTTTTGTAATGATAACATTAAATGTTGAGGAAAGCCTCATTCTCTCACGAGAAATCAACTTGATAGCTGGGAATCGATCATGACGATGATGATGATGATGATGATGATGATGAAATCAAACACCTGAAACACATTTCAATGCCACGTTGCATAGCTCAAAACAACAGGCCATTTGCAAGAGCTGCTAACAAGGCTTGATTTAGATGGTCACATACATTTAGGAATCAAATAATGAAGATTCATCCCCGAGTAGTCGCTTGGGCAAAAGATCTCTCTCTGTCAACGCAGATGATCTAAGTACAATGTCACGCATGTCTTATTTTTGACTGTGTAACATTTTGACATTTTCGTTAAAGAATTTGATCGGTATTCGTTTCTGAAGGAGTTATTAAACCACTATGCCTCTTGGCAAGGAGCAACCTAGAATACTTTCTATGTCGTGACCGCACACGGCTCTTTTATGTAACGATCATTATTGCAAGTATACTTAGAGGCACAGGCTCAATGTATACGTGTCTTTTACTTCCAATATCCTAATGTAGATGTACTTTATTGCAAAGTTGATCACACAGATTGTCGCTACGAGTCGAACATGGGATAGGCTAACAAGAAAAAGGTTTCAACCGGAGAACGAAAGATAAGTAAGATACGGTCTCAGAGATCGACTTAAGTCAACTCAGGCGAATGACTGAAGGGTCGCCGTATCTATGGCGTGCTTTATATTCTGCTGGTTTTTTGAACAGTCTCAAAGGTGAGCGTGTCATGTCCCTAAAGGGGCGCAGACTTTTTGGGTCCATTTGTTTCACAAAGATACGGATACTTACTCAAAGCAGTGATGGAAGTTTACAGAGCTGTAGCATTTCATGGTTCATCTTAATCATATGACATTGTTGAAAACGGTGCATGTTTCCTGGTGTCACCACATCACTGCCTTTGCTAGCTCCTTGCGAGATTTGTGGATCAATCGGGAGCCTGGTCCATACAGTGTACCATTATGTATAAGTAGCTGAAAAGAATACTGGGAAAAGAGTACTGGCCGAGTGTTGTAAGTTGCATTTCTGATCTTTGTCGTCCAATTTATGGCTGTTCAAGACAACCGCTAAAGTTTCAATATGTTGTAGGGCAGTGCAATCGTAATGATACCACAAAGTCTGTAAATAAAGTGTTCTAGCTCAGGCTCTAGTGTCTTGCCTAAATCGTCAACTCTTCCACTTTCTTTTCCACTGCTGCCAGAGCATCCATGCTGTCGGTCTCTCTCTTTAAATTAATTGCTGCCTTTTTGTACTTAATGTCTCGCAAAATCTGCTCGACGCCCTTTCTGACTTGCTCTGGAGTCGGCCTTTGTGTGGCTAAGCTGACACCGAGCCCAGCATACACGCCGCGCATAGTGACCTCAATCTTTTCTTCGTTCTCGCCGGCAAGAACGATGGGGACGCCATTCCTAACAGAGTGTGTAAAGGCGCCATAACCGGCGTTTGAAACGAAAACGTCGGTGTATTCGAGAATAGTGTCATAAGGCAAGTAATCCAGAACTCGAACATTCGGAGGAATAGTGAACTCCGAAGGAAGCTGAGCACCCCGAACCCCTAGAGTCACAACAACAAGAACATCTTGTCTGTTGGAAAAGGCTTCAATAGATGGCAATACGAGCTCAGAGTAGTCTGCATTGACCGTGCCCTGAGAGACAAAAACAACATGGCGGTACTTGTTATTCTCCTGTGCTCTCTCGACTTCGGACCACCAAGTGGGGTATTCATAGTCTGGACTAGGTGCCTTGCGCGGCATCACGCCGATGAACTCCACTGTGGGTGGCAAATCAGAAATGGGATATTCGAGGCTGGGCGAGCAGAGTTGCAGCGTGAAATCGTGAGCTGTGTAGCAGTGCCTGAAAAGGCGTTTGTTGGGGATTCTTGTACAGCCTGTCCTCCTCATTGCCTCCTGCCAAGAATCGATCATGGGCTTCATGGGACCTTTCTCGACCAGATCTTGAAGTATTTCGTTCCGTTGGCGACCTGATGGGGTTGAATCAGGGGGCAGACCGAGTGAGACTGGTCCAGTGTCCCGGCTTTCGAGCATAAAAGCAGCGACGCCGATGCCGATGGTCTTGGGGATTTCTGTGAAGCCCTGAGGCAGGGGTCGGCCATGTTTGAAAGGCAAAAAAGACCAGTTCAAGACGTCTTCGATGAAAATAATCTGGCGGCCAGGGTCTCTTGCTTTTAGCAGGGCCAAGACCTCTTCCGTCTTTTGAGTACGTAAATGTAAGGTATCCAAGAAAACCGTCTTCACCTGACCAGCAAAACGCTCAGGTCCGACAGGCAAAGAAGCCAAATCACCCAAGGCCTGGAGAGTGATGTCAGTGAATGGGTTTTCAGACTCAATATATTCAGCCCCAGCTTCTTCAACTTTGCCGTGGAAGTTTGAGGGTGCAATAAAGACAACTTCGTAGCCCTTCTTGAAAAGGTATGAGGTGATAGCCAAGAGAGGGATTATGTGTCCTTCAGCAGGGAAAGACGCAACGAGAATCAGAGGCTTGCTTTCAGCATGGACCTTGGGTTTGTTGGTCGTGTTTGCCGTCATGTTGACGATTTGAAAACTTGGCTAGCTTGTAGAAACATGTATGCCTATTCAAGATGAATGAGCATCTCTTAATCCTTTCTCAAATGTCCGACGGGCTTTTTCAAAACCCCTCCCCACTTAATGGAGCACCTATTCTACAATGTCATTGTGGATTCATGTGGGACACAGCTGGATTTGAGTGGCTCTAGTGGATCAAATGCGTTATGCTTGGTGACGTGACTTGGCAATTCAAGATAAGGCACGAGGTGATTATTGTTATCCATTGACGTAGGTATCCTTCAGATTCGTCTTGTTGTCTCGTGAGCCCGGAGAGCGAAGTCACGCGAAAAGATAACAAACTAGCACTTTGATACCGGTAGCGTAGCAAAGCTTCTTGAAACCCGACAGTGGGAATGCTCAATGCTGACGTGAGATTGCAAATCTAATCTCTGCTCTGAACACATGTGCTAAATTCATTGGCTTTTATGTCATACCTTCTTGGAGATGATCATCATCTAGCCTAAAAAGTTCCGTCATGATTCTTGGCGTAAACAGGCACCCACGTTAAATTTGTCACCAATCTTCGCAACTCGGTGATACGCGGAACAACTTTGATAGGTCAGTGCATTGAAGCCATCGCCGAAATGCCGACTTTAAGGCCACAGACCAGAAGACAATGCCAAGGATAAACAGAAGTTGAAAACATATAAGGTTCCAAAAGAAAAAATGTGGATAAACAGTCTATTTACTAAACAAATTGTCTTTGTATGTATTCATTTTCTGGGGAATTAATTCGTTAGAAAGAATCGGCAGTCATTAGATCGATTCCACAAAGTTTTGAGATGCAGAAGATGAAGTCTTTTCAATCAAGCAGGCTGTACTGATTAGTTACAAATATGTCGTACAAAGTTCTTCTCCACGGTCAAAGTATATGTTCAGCGGTGCCATGCTGTAGAGTGACTAACCATCTCCGTGCCATAGTGCTCGCGAAGCACGAGATCGTAAGCCGTTGGCAACTTGACCTCGGATTTTGGTACTGGGCGGGAACAGCAAAGGGTGACGCGTTATATCGGGTATTTATCACTGATACAAAATTTGAAGGCATTATGCTACAAGCTCGCGATCAATCTAGTAAAAGTATGAATTTTGAAGCATCTGCTAAACCCCTGAAGGTCATGGCGAAAGGGATACATTGCCAGTCTCCCGCTGGCACTGCTTTCTAACTTCGTTAGAATTCAGTTTACAGAGCTGTGTCAGGTGGCTATCATAGCCATGCTCCCACATTCCTCGATTACCATCCATTCAGCTATGAAGTCAATCATAGTAGTACTATGTTAAGTCAACTGCATCCTCTACGTCGACGAGGCGACTGTGGATTTCCCGTCTTGGCTTGGCGGGGCTGGATCAGGGACGGGCCGGGGCCGGGAGGTGTTAAACGCTTGGGCGGAGTGCTCGAGGTGGGGACGTGACCTTTTCGCGAACCCCCCCTTTTTTTTGGTTTGGTTTCCGGACACCCTGTTTTTGAACGGTTGACAACGAGGACTTAACGATTTACCAGCAAGACCGTTTTTTAGCAAAGGCTTGATGATGCCCATTTGGCGAGGAGACACTAGCTAACCCATCGACTACCCATCTGAGCCCAATTCACCAAGGGTGGAGGATGAAGTCAATCAGCGCTTAAGAACGGTTAGAGTTATGTAATGATATAATATGAATAAAGCTACCTCTGTTCTCTAGGTACCTTGATTATGCCAGAGGTACGAGCATATTTCACCAGTGTGTAGATGCTCGCTGCGATCCAAGAAAAACACACAGTATTAAGTACTGACTCAAGTGCGGAGCAAAAGTGGGTGCTGCGGTGGGCTATTTACGCCTTGGCAAAAACGGGGTCATTTGGTGGTTGGTGGGATATCCCCCTTGATTACCTAGCTCCTTCCGATAATGATGGATTTTGACGTTCTCATGCACCCTCGGGCAATTTGAATCTAAACGTACGTAATTTCAAATCTCTTGGCCCATCCTAGCGGGAGCCATCGGCATCGCGTTAGGGCCGTTTTCCGCATTGACATCATTCCCAGAAATATGACTCAAAATTCCACTTGATCACCTAGAGTTTAGGGGCTGAAGACAGTATCATCAACTGAGACCCAATTATTCGTTTCATATGTGGATTTTGAGCTCACAACCTACTAGAGAGAGAATGCCCCGAAGTCTCGACAACAATGGCGCCTGCTAAGGTAAATAAGTAGGCCATTCCAAACTGGGGAATAGACCCTCCTCTTTGCTTATTAGCTCTTGAAAGCCAAGACCTGCGTCGCTCCTTGCAACATAGGAAAGAAAAGATATCCCGATGTGTTCCTCTCTCCAAGATTTGTTCAATCTGCAAATGTTTTGAGGTGGCCTGTAATGCTAGCCTTGCAGACTTATTCATTCTATTCAACAACATCTTTCGGAGTTGAGGTTCCAGTCTAGCAGATTACTTCAGAGTGTTTCCCTGACCAATTGGATCACTGGCACAGAATACAGCTGGACCTGAAGAGCCTCAAAGGCGTGTGGTTGGTTCTATTCCGTTTTCTTGGGTAACGAAGGGGAGGAACAAAACTCAACATTACCCTTCGCTGCTGCATACCTAACCAGGATTACGAGTTTTAATGACACGTCTGTTTGCCTTTGCTTTGAGCACGCTCAAAAGGTCGACTCCTATTTTGCGAGCTTAGAGCAATATGATTGCCGTCAAAGCCTACTTTAGAGATGATTTCGTCGACAATGTCTAGAGTTGTTAAGTGATACGCAGCAATGCACAGTCAGATGTGTACTGGCTTGCTAGACGTGTGGTCGATAGTCGATGAGCTTTGGTTCAAAGTGAATTCGTTTTGGTAACCTATTTTTGCATTGCTCAAATGATTGCCTCAAAAGACAACATGATATTGGCTAGGGTTTGGGATGGAAAATCTCGTATCCGCCAAACATGTTTTCGAAGATCCGGGCTTGGTTCAGTTCGGGTTGAATACGGTCCTCAGAGTCATTTAGAACTCTAATATATGTCTCGCGTGTTGCGATAATCCAAGTCAATAAACAGAGAATTTCACTAGAAGACGCGTGTTTGGGCCGTGCAACTGTATGCGAAGTTAAACTAAAATACCCCACTCAAAAAAACCATGTCGTCTGATCAGTTTAGCCAGGTTAAAGCTATGATGTTTGGCTTTCATCCATTGACGACGGTTTCCCGGCTTGCAGGCTGCCAGTTTCTCCTGATCTATGAGTCATGACAGTCTCGGTGCTATTCATTACCGAGTAATTCGGTACAACAATACAGCATGACGTTATCCGGCGACTCTAGTACCACCATGTCAGTTGCCCTCTGTGAGAAGCCTGTCAAAGGGGCCTCCCTCCGTGATTAAAAACCTTCGAGTGCACTTCTTTGAAGTTTCAAGAAAAAGCTCAGCCTATGTTACTAACATAATTCAAGTCTACAAATCAATCGGGCTATTGTGGTCAAAGTCTCAGCGAATCTAAGAAATTGGGATTTGATTCAATCTATTGAGCGCCCGCAGATCTTAAGCAGATCATTTGCACCGTATCCGGGGACTCCGGCTATGGAGGTAACCTATGGAAACATTGTTAGAAACCAACCTTAAAGTACACTGGACTTGACAGCTGGCGGTCTCCAAGGGGTATCCAAGGAGTATCCAACGAAACAAAAAAACAGGATTCGATCGCATTTGAAATGATTGCCAGGATCATTGGAAGCTTATTTCGCTGCTATTGACAATCTTCTACCCCACTCACCTCGCTCTTGCGCCTCGATCAGGAGTTCCGGCGGGAGCGTTTGAATTTTGAGTTTGCATCCCTAGGCCAAACCGGCACAGATCCGCCTGGTATTTCAGCGCCGACAACGTGTCGGCACCGTCAAAGAGGAATGCCTCGGCGGCTGAGCATAACGTTTACTTTACTGGCTAAAATGAGGAAGAGGGCACACGGGGTCTGCAACAATGCTGGAATGGAGAACCTATCGGGCTGATACAATAATTAGCGACAATAAGCTGCATTGATCCTGAGACAAAAGCGCCCAGCGAGGGGTTCGCGAGTAGCCTACGTAAGCTATGTAGACAAACACTTGCCATCCTTCGCTCAATATTCCCACCCACCCTCATTCTTCTTCCTGCCATTCGTTCCAAATATCATGCAGTCGTTCGTTTCTATCGTTTGTTTTCTTGCTCTGCTCACGCAGGTCTGTGCCTGGGGACCGCGGCAGTCGCTAGACGGCCCACCAGGTCACTACGGAGGTTTACACACGCACGGTGCTAGCTTCGTGCCCGATCACATCTTGCGGCTAACCTACGAGAATGTCTCAATAGCTTGCGAGAAACGACCGTCTGTACTCGTTAATGGCACCTTGGTCGGACCAACGCTGAGGCTGGAGCCTGGGAAGAGGAGTTGGATCCGGGTTTACAATGACATGAAGGAGTACAACGCCACCATGCATTGGCATGGACTGAGTATGCGCATGGCACCTTTCTCGGATGGTACTCCGTCAGCGAGTCAATGGGCGATCCCCGCCGACCATTTCTTTGACTACGAGGTCTACCCATTGTCATCAGAGTCCGGAACCTACTTTTACCACTCACACGTCGGATTCCAAGCGGTGACAGCATCTGGACCGTTGATCATTGAAGACAAAGCAGAGCCCCCCTATGAATACGATGAAGAACGCATAGTATATTTCACGGACTACTTTAACAAGTCGGATTCTGAAATCGAGAAGGGCTTGACAGCAACACCTTTCACATGGTCAGGCGAGACTAACGCAGTTCTTATCAATGGTGTCGGCGTGTCCATTGGAGAGACAGCCGGGGACGGAAGTTGCAAGCTGCCAGTAATTGATGTCGAGCCGGGCAAGATCTACCGAATGCGCTTCATCGGCGCCACTGCCTTATCCCTGGTGCAGATGGGCATTGCTGGTCACGACAACTTTACAATCATTGAAGCGGATGGCCACTACACCAAGCCACATACCGAAAAGTTCATGCAGGTGTCTACTGGCCAACGATTCGATGCCATCTTCCAGGCCAAAAGCGAGGAGGAACTCAATGGAACCACCGACTACCTCATTCAGTTGGAAACCAAAGACCGACCCAAGGTTTATCACGGTTACGGTGTCCTTCGATACTCCAAGGCCCAACCACAGATCACCACGGCACCAGCTGTACCTCCGTTGGTCTTCTCTAATAAAACCTACGAGTGGGCCGAATACGCCTTGGAGCCGTTGGAACCGAACAACTTTCCCAAGGCTAGCGAGGTGACACGACGGATCTACATTGATAACCGTCAACTCGCAACGCAAACCACGCTTTGGCAGTTGAACGGACTTCAGTGGAACGATACTTCGTCGCCTTATCCAGGAGACCGGCCTTACTTGGTTAATATTTACGAAAATGGACCATCCGCAATGCCTAACTACACTGCCGCCATTAACAACAACGGCTGGGACCCCACGACTTTGACCTGGCCAGCAAAATTGGGCGAGGTGAGTAGACGAACGGAAAAACACGGCTCGCATAGGAAGTCCATAGCTGATGTCAGAACAGGTTCTTGAGATCATTTGGTACAACACAGGATCCTTAGTCAACGGAGGTGGTGGTCTCGACTTCCACCCTTTCCATGCTCATGGCGGACATTACTTTGACATTGGCAGTGGGAACGGCACTTACAACGCCACTGAAAACGAGAAAAAGCTGAAGAATTACAATCCTGTCAAGCGAGACACAACAATCCTTTACAGGTACGGAGAGAAGACTAGATCGGGTGACGTTTCTGGCTGGAGAGGCTGGCGTCTGCGCGTGGAGGACGCTGGCGTGTGGATGGTAAGTCCGGTTTAATTACAGCTGTAAAGAGACATGAGCTGATGATGATTTAGATTCACTGTCACATTTTACAGCATATGATCATGGGCATGCAAAGTGTCTGGGTCATGGGAGATTACCAAGACATCACAGGCATTCCCGCTGTTGATGCCGCTGGGTATTTGCAATATGGGGGGAACGTTAACGGCAATGCCACCTTTCCACCCACAGTTGTGCATTTCTTTGAAGAAGACAAGTAGAGATACCCGTGGGCTGATTTAAAGAAAGGCTACGGAAGCTGTGGTCGATGTAATCACTTTCTTCGCCATGCTTTACGCCATGCAACACCATAAATCCACTAGGGCCCGCAAATATAGATTAACTTTTGGGGAAATGGGGACAAAACCACAAATCTACGCACGTTCTGAAAGCTCGACTTACTACTCGTCTTTACATAGACACTCCTTGACTCATGAGCATGTGGAGTGGACGTTCGCCATGAGCATAAAGACGTTCCGACCCGTGATGCTTGGCATAGGCACTCAGTGATGTTGCATTGCTTCTCTACGTTGTGGCCAACGGCTCCAACTACCATATGTCGGACCTGGCGTGGTTGTTGCATGGGCACGCTACAGTTTGCGCGTCGCGCACTGTGATTGCTCTCATACTAATCATTATTTGCGTATTAAGTTGCCCGTTTCTTTATCACGTGTGCTAGCTGACATGATGTAGCCTGTACTTTTTATCACTAACCGTATGGTGTACAATATCTACTTTCATCCGCTGCGACAGTATCCTGGTCCTCGACTCTGGGCGGCTACTAGACTAACTTGGAACTTGGTCAATCTCCAAGGCAACCTAGCTTGGAAAATTCGAGGCTTACACGAGCGATATGGGCCAGTTGTAAGAATCGCACCTGACGAGCTTTCTTACACAAGTTCCGCGGCTTGGAGAAAGATTTACGGCCAACGTTCACCCGAGTTTGCAAAGTGCTTCGACGGTCGCGGGATTGCCGGGCCAGGCATTACCAACCCCGCAGTGCGCAACGGCGGTATTGTAACGGCCGACCAGGAGCCCCACGCCCGACTGCGAAAAGCCGTACTTCCAGCATTCAGCGAGCGGGCGTTGAGAGAACAAGAAGACATCCTTCGGCTGTATGCGGACAAACTGGTCGAGCAGCTGCGATACTCCAGCAAGAGCGGTGTTCCACAGGACATCGTCAAGTGGTTCAGTTTAGCCTCATTCGACATCATCAGCGATTTGGCATTTGGACAGGCTGCTGGCTGTCTTGACGACGCATCTCAACCATGGCTGCATGTCATTGGTGCTCGAGCGCAGGGCATAGTTCGTTATCAGTTTGCGATTCATTATCGTCTTGAAAGCTGGCTGGAATGGCTGGCGCCGAAGGCTCAGAAGGCAGCAGTGAAAAAACATGGAGAGCTGACAGCCGCAAAAGTCAAGCGCCGACTTCAGCAGGCAAATGGCAGAAAAGATTTCATGAGTTACATCTTGGAGAACCCTCAGGCAGATCTGGGCAACGCCGATCTGGTCAGAATGGCGTCAGCTTTCATCGTGGCGGGCAGTGGCACAACCGCCACAGCGCTTTCTGGGATCACATTTCATTTGTGTAGCAACCCCGAGAAGTACATTACATTGACTCAAGAGGTCAGAAACGCATTTCACAAAGAGACAGACATTTCAATGGCGTCAACGGGGGAGTTGAGGTACCTTAAGGCGGTGATTGAAGAGGGATTGAGAATGTATCCTCCAAGTCCAAGCACTTTGCCAAGATTTGTGCCTGGTCAGGGCGAAGAAATCGACGGCAAATGGGTACCCGGTGGTGTAAGTTAAATCCTTCATAGTGGCAGTGAAGTCAGCTTTTCGACTTGGGCTGATACGTTTATGACTAACCGATACGCAGACGGCAGTCGGCGTTCACCAACTCTCAGCGGGTCACTCGAAGCACAACTGGAAAAATCCCCAGGATTTCGTACCGGAACGTTGGCTGGAGAGCGATTGTCCCGTTAGTTTTACCAACGACGACAAATTTTCGAGCCAGCCATTCTCATTGGGGCCGAGAAACTGTATTGGTAAGAGGTACGATAAGTTCACGACTCAGCATTTACATCTCACCAGCAGCTAACCTGGGGTTTCAAGCATGGCATACGCCGAGCTACGAATCATTCTTACCAAGCTCCTTTGGCACTTTGACCTTGAGTTGACTGAGGAGTCTGTGAGATGGCCATCGAAGCAAAAGGTTTTTCTTGTTTGGCAAAAGGTACCGTTGATGGTTAGATGTAGGCATAGACATCTATGAGCACTAGGAACTGCTACTTGGACGGAGCATTTTCGCGAGGAGACAGGGAGTGTAGTTCATTACCGATAACACTTCTATACATGATTTGCATCAAGTTTTGGTCCCATGTCCGAGGCATGTTAGATTCAAGCCGTGCGAGTAGGAAACACGCAAAGCATATTGACGGGCAACAAGGAGATCCCAACCGAGTATGGACGTCTCTACATGACGTATGGATTGTAAACCGTCCCATTCCGGACAGCCTCCCTGTAAAGCCTCCTGTTGGCACGGTAGAGGTAGAACTTCAGCCCCATTGCGCTTGCGCAGGCGAACATACCCATAACCATCATCATGATGAAAGCAAGCCTGTAACGCGGCTCATCTGACTCAACGAAGAAGTAGGGGGCAATCAGATTACCGATCTGGCCAAGAACGTTGACAAGCGCTACCGAAATAGCACGCTTCTCCGGCGTTCTTCCCATAGTATTCGATGTCCACGTGGAAACTAGTGGGTTAGCGACATACATTCCGGCCACATAAATGAAGCTTGCACCGTATCTGGCGTTTCGGTTTTCTGTGGCCAGGCAGATGACATAGCCGATACAGCCAAATGCGATTGGGCCGGCAAAGTGGTAGCCGCGCTCCTTTGATCGATCCGAGTGCCAAGCATTCACTAGAGATCCGAGGGCGGCGAAGATGTAGGGCGGCGCGGTCAGAACAAGTGTGATGGTGTTGTTGTAGCCAAAACCGCGCACGATCGAGGGGAAGAAGTTGGAAAAGCCATAAGCGGCTGATATACCGATATTCAAGCCGACGAGGAGCCACATTTTGTAGTCGAAGACGCTCATTTTTAGTCCGGCCCAGACACCAGCCTTGGCTTCGGAGGTAGACACGCGGTCAGCCAAGATTCGGGCAGCAGCTACTTTGCGCATGTCCTCGGTCATTGACCAGCGTGCACTGCCGGTGCTCGAGTCGGGGTAGTCTGGGAGAATAAAGAGCGCAATCATAGCAAGGCCTGCACCGACTGAAGCGAGCACGATGAAGAGCCACTGCCAGCCGGCTAAGCCATGTTTACCCTCGAGGGTTCCGAAAACGGCCGCAGCAATCAAGCCTGCCGTGCAGAAAGCAAGCGTCTGGCCAGTGTATAGAATAGCACAGCGCAGAGCCATTTCTCGTCGAGTGTACCAGCAGGACATGACGTATATAGCCTGACAGGGGTCAGGAGGTCGTCCAGAGAGAGTCAACTGGTGGAGTGGAAAGAACTTACACCTGGAAACAACGGGGCTTCAACTACACCAAGGAAGAATCTTACTGCGATAAGACCCTGGTAGTTTTTCACGCCACAAGTAGCCGCCGAAACGCTAGACCAGATCAAAGCCATGCAGCAGAGGTAAAGACTGGGTCGGACTTTTCCGATGATCATGTTGGAAGGAATCTGGCCGAGGACGTAGCTTTCATCGTGTTAGAGCAGACCTGCAGAACGAGAAACAAGGCTACATCCTTATGCACTTACCCGACGCTGAGAATCGACACGGCAGTGCCATACTGGTAGCCCTCAAGATTTAGGTCCTCGTCCAAGCTACTAAGACGAGCTTGTCTGAAGAAACCAAAAGTCAGCTTGGCTCAGAGTGAGTGGTAGTCGACTGGGGCACTTACGCGATTGAAGCACGATCCAAGTAGTTGAACAGATACAGGACCCACAAGCATGGGAGAAGGGTAATATCGAGGCGCTTGACAACCTTTTTCTCAAGCTCTCTCCAGTTCGGGATGCCCAAGGCGTCGATCTGCTCTTCTGGAGTGGGAAGCAAATCACCTTTGGCTTCGTTGGCTTCCATGATAGACGGATCTTTGGTGACCTGATCCGCAGTGTTGTTCTCGATGATAGTGGAAGAGGGAGGGATACCACCACCCTGCTGGGCAAGGACTTCTCTTGGTTGACCATTGTCAGTGTTACGACGAGGGCGGGATTAAATCACAAGAGAGGAACGGCCGACGATGAACCAAAAGTGCTGGTTGCTAGAATACGAGAATAGGTTCTTCTTATAGGCAAAGCGGTGCTCAGTTGGATGGTCAGTAATGTTACGGAGGCCTGTTCCGTTAGGGCTCATCGCAACCAGACCAAACGCTTGCGTTCGTTTCAATTCCCCATATATCCCCGCCCTCGATAAGAACCTTTCCCCAGACCCCGCCTCCGTACTTCTGCAACTCTGCTGACCAGATTTGTGGCCGGCGGGTCTCTCCCCAGATCCTCCACATATTCGCCTGAGACCATGACCGAGATGTTTACCATCCAAACCCCGCATCAACAGACCCCACAGATCACCGATGGACTCTTCAGATGTGAGTTCCGTAAGCTGTGATGAGGGGCAAGTCAGCAAAACTGAGGTGGCGGACGAAACAGAAAGCCCACGTCTTATCGTGGTGAAGTTTCCGGAGTGAAGTCGAATGGCTCGGCGCCACGGCCTGCATCTCTTTGAGAGCCGCTGAACGCACGGAATGGGCAGAGGTCGACAAGTATGCCAAGCCGGCCTCCGGCTGGGGTTCCTTGGCCCCAAGCAAACTCGGGAGGGATCTCACAATTTGACAAGGTACGGCGGTAAAGGTTGAAATGGTTAGGAGACAACGATCTGTTGTGGAGTGTGGTCATCAAGTTACAAAGATGCTGACTTGAAGAAAACTACGGGACACCAAGCCGGGCCAAGGTGTCCAAGATTCCAAGGCCTCTTGGTAGTCGGAAGTTGACCGAAAAGCCTGGGCTCAGTCAAATTCTGGCTCGATATTCTACTTGGCACATGAAGAATGATTGCGCCCAGCAGAGCCGCCATGGGATGTTTCAAGGTTTTAGATCCTTTTATCCACATTAGTACACGCACTTGACCCTTGAGCTCGAAAAACAAGAATGTCGGACCGCACATGAAGCGCCGACAATTATGTTTCTTCTTGCCACTTCTTGGGCAATTCAACAAACCACATCGCGTGGTGAATCCATCTTCCAGCCTATGATTTATGAGTGGTGCGTCCACTACCGTAGCTTCGACCGAAATCTGCCGAGTCTATGGTTCAAATATTCAGGTTAGTTCAACAGCCGTAAAAAGTCCATGAGCCTTACGCATAAATACTGTGTCGACGCGACGTATGTAGTATCAAAGTGTCATTGGATAAAAACCATTGACAACACATCGAATAAGATTTCGTTTCAACTTCCCGAGGAGGTGCTTAACCGCAGAACAACCTTTCACCTGTAGTTGCGCTTCAAGGAGGCTCAATCAAGTCCAAACTCTTTGCCAACTGAAAACTGGCCCTTTGGAAGGAGCGCACGACTAAAGCTCTGGCGTTCATGTCGCTATCTCGTGTTTGAGCAACCATCATGCGTAAAGCCCTGATGCTTGTGCCAGACAGATGTTCAAGATAGAGAGAAATGACAGAATGTGTATCAGAAACTGAATATCTAGAAGACAAGAAACCCAATGCCTCTCACTCGAATTGCATCACTGGGCTACGTCAGTGATTGCACTCAGTCTGCTGTTTGAAGGTCACTCAAACAGCCCCTCCCCAGGAAGAACAAACTTGATGAAGCCTCAAGCTGCCGCTTTTGCATAGGTACCACACTTCTAGGTCGGGGACATTACAGATGATGTGCTGGAAGAGGATACAGCACTATGGGTGCCTTGGTTCCTCAGCTGGATAACGCATCACACCAGCGTCCACGTACCGAATCATTCTCTTCTCTTAATTTTCAGATCGTAAGGCCCAGATATCATCAGAGGCTGCTCTATTGCCGCACTGAAGTTCTCACAAAACAATGGATGAGGTCACAAGAACGAATCGAACTTTGAGGAGTGCACCGGGTTCATCGTGTCTATGAAAGATGGATGGTTCTAGTCCGACCTGGACCGAGACGAGATCAACTTGTACTGGCGTTCCCAGGGTGTCGGAAATCCTTGGCTTCCCGTCCACCTCTGACCTGTTAACGCCACCAATTATCGAAAACGCGATGGTATCATGTAAAATACGCCCAAAGAGGAGAGTTTCACATACGTTCCAATAATCTTTCTAATCGAAGGAGAGCCAACCACATTGAGCCTCTCGGAGTTGGGCAAAGTCTCTCGTTCTAGTCAGACAAATACTCATTAGCTGGGAACGCCGTGAGCTTCACTAGGAAACGCCGGTGAAATTGACACCATGGAGGCTGCTGCGAACCAAACTACAGACTTTTTAAGCAAACGAGTCCTTCAGCGGCCCGTTCCAGGACCTTGGACAACTGGTCAGATCAGCTGCATCTCTCCAACTTGATTGTAAACTCATGAATCGCACAACAGGTGACCACCACCAAGAGCCTAAATGGATGCTGAGTCGGCATCAGAAAGTGAAAGCTAGTTGACGGCCGTATGTATCGTCATAGAATGGAGTCTAACCAAACAATATCACCACCGCCGGTATCAACGCTGCAAAAATTACCGCGGAACCAAAAACCACCACGTACAATTCAAACATCAAGCCATCTCCCCAACCTACGCATCCCGGGCTTACGCTTAGCAACTCTGTTGGGTACGCTGAGTTGAACCGGACCTGGCTTGGCACGCATTACCATACTTGTTCATCGTTGTGGCATTCGCATCGTCAAGGCAACAATACGACTCAACCATTAGCATCCGCGCCCGACGCCGAAGCAAATCGCCGCGCCATAAAACTCACGCCGACGCCGACAGGAGTACCTCCTGAGCTGGAACAGACATCGATGTATTTGTTGCTGCTGTCCAGGCAGGTCCACGCCGTATTGCCGAGAACGACGGCAACAAACAAGGCCAGCGCTGTGACGGTAGTCTTCATCTCGAGGGCTCGGGGTACGCGATCCGGAAGAGGCGAGTAGGTACTGCTTCGTTGGTGTGCGGGTCACTCTAACGACGTATGCGTCTTGGCCAGGTGCAAATGATTGTCAGGATCGACCGATAATTGAGACGAACCACACCCCAAAGCAAGGCGCGCAGTTCGTTCGGTCTTTGTACCCAACTCCTCAACGACCTCTCTCTCTCTCTCTCTTTCTCTCTCTCTCTCTCTCTCTCTCTCTCTCTCTCTCTCTTTCCCCAGGAACCCACGGGAAATGTAGCCGACTCTCTAGCTGGGGATGTCAATCTACTTGAGTTCCGCCGATCAAGCCGCCTTCAGCAGCGAGCGAGTCAGCCGCACCCCCGTAGGGAATACTCGGTCGGGACCTGAAACTTTGAAACGGCGACAGCGAGCCTCTTGTCCCTGCTTCCACGCGCTCGTCTGCCCCTCATACTGTTTGAGGTGATGGCGATCTCCCTCGAGCGTATGCCCCAGCGGCGGCGTCTTATTACTTCCCAGAACGCTGGCTCATTTCCGTAGACTCCATTGCATCTAACTCAATCAAATTAAGAGTTCAATCTTTCGGTAGTTTTGCATGCCACTCGAGCAACTGCCCTCAATGTCATCGAAGAATCTCGGTGGACGAATGTCCAGCTCTGCGTTTGTTCTACTCCCTAGAGAACAGACGTATCCATTGCCACGACAAGAAACAACACACCACCGCGGAGTAGTCACTGGATCGGCCGGTATATGCGATGAATGACAATAGCGAGCTACAATACTAGCTCAAGACGCACTGTGCATCCCAGAGCCCCCTCTATCAGATCCATGCAATCCTGTCTCCCATGTTGGATATCATACCGTCTCCATGCCTTTTATGACTGTCCAGAATTCATGTAACAAGCGTACTCCCCACGCAACTATTCCCCTGCGCCAATCACGCGAAATAACTCTTCCATAAAACACCCTCCAAGTCCTCGAGCTGCTCCGGTGTGAAGTACTGCAAAGATGTTAGTTACTGGCTTACGTTGAAACGAGAAGATAGCATGGGAGGGGAGCAAGGATGCAGGGTGGAGAGTAGGGTTGTAACAACGTACCTTTTGATCAACGCTCCAGCTGTCTTGTCTTGTCTTCTTGAAGTCGGAGAGGACGGCCTTTGTGGCTTTGCCAACCACGCCAGGATCGCTGGCGGCGCGTGTGGCTAGGATCTGGAGGACCTCGGGCATCCAGGATGGAGGGGGCGTGGCGTACGGGAAAGCCTCGATAAGGGCACCGAGGCCCAGAACGGCGGCATGGCGACGTACAATCTGCTTGTTGTTGTCTATCGGCGTTTCGGTGCCAGGCAGCTTCCGCTTGGGCATCGGGTTGAGGCGGAGACTGTCTTCGAAGCGCTTCTTGAGGATCTGGATGGTGGGGTCACGGATTCGCTTTGGCGAGCATCGAATCATGCCGGCCAAAGTGGCCGAAGCGCAGGACCGGACCTCGAGTTGTGGATCTGCTAGCATGTCGCTGACGGCGTTGAACAAGATGTCCCGCTGCTTCTTCTCGATGAGGAAGAGACGGCGGAAGTAGATGACCTGCATATTCACCATGGATCGCAGGCGTTGATGCCAGCTCGTGGCCGACTTGCCAATCCGGACCAAAGCGTCAATGAAGGAGCCGTCTTCGCCAATGCGGAACGGGATGTTGGGAAGATGGCGGTAGACGTGGTATGCAAGGCGCATCAACTCGGGGTCCTCCTTGACATCCATCATGTGGAGCAACTGTTCCATGAAAGGCTCAGGGAAGAACGGCATCAGCTGCGTGCACTCCTGTGACGATAATGTACTGTCAAGCCAAGTCAAGACTGTCTTGGAGCCACTTGTGTAGGAGGAAGGCGTCTGTTGGCCAGGAGTGCGCTCATGACGCCACTTCTCAAGACGGTCGAAGATTTCGAGTACCGTCTCAGAAAACTCCTTGGTGGGTTCGTAGGGACGGATCCCAAGAGACGAGGCAGATTTATTGGCATCCAGGAGCTTGTCCACATTCTCAAAAGATTCATGGTAGCGTGTGCGATAGATGGTGGCAATGACTCGGCCCATTGCTTCTCTGACGGTCTTGTAAGGGTGGTCAATGTGAGAGAGGAAGTCGGCAAGGATGGGCTTCTCATGGCGGAAATGCCAGCCCGAATCGGTAATAATGAACTCCAAGACCTGAACCTTGCTTGACTCCTTGAAGGCGGCGTTGGAGGACATGTCGAGCCTGAAGGAACTCAGAGCATCGACAAGCTCGTGAGATCGGCGAGGGTCCTTGGGGTCGACCGTCAAATGCAAGCAAGAGACCCAGTACTGCAGGTTCTCGGGCGTGAGGTCCTCGTTAAGGACCTTCAGCATTAGAGGCGCAGCGAATCCCCAGACTTGGTTGCGGAAGTCGGGGGGTCATCGCTGGATCCGCACAAGAGCGCGGCCACGATCTCCGCTGTGGCACGATGCTGGTGCTTGTCGCTGCCGTCGCCATAGACCTCCATGGTAAGCTCCTTGACGTCGTCTAGCTTGATCGCCGTTCCTCCGTAGTGCATCAGATCGAACACGTGCATCAGCATGTACACATTGCCCATGCGGAACCTGTCGGCGTTCGCATCGCGGGGTTCCTGCTTGAGGTAATCGAAACACGTCTTCAGCCATTCCCTCGTGATCATGTCCCCAATCTGTTTTCTGACTGCCGTCTCCGTCTCATCGTAGTCGGTGAAGGGCATGGGCTTTGCGCGCGAGGCAAGGAACTTTTTGCCCCAAACCAACCAACCAGGGTGGTCCGAGTCAACCATGTACTCTGCGTTCTCGGGACTGGCGAACGCATCGAGGTACTTCTGCGTGAAGGCTGCATCTCCCTTGGGGACCTCAACCGTAACTTTATTACGGTCCTTCTCCTTCTCCAGCAGGTAGTTGCGGTAGTCGTGGTCGTAAGCGGCGCGCATCTCCACGGCTTCGAAGACGGAAGTGAACGCGGACATGTAGCTCGCACGCAGTCCAGGATGAGTATCGTTTGTGCCCTGCGTCACCAGAGCGATGAACTCCGGGGGTGCGAGGGTGTCGAACCGCAAGCACATGTTGCTCGCGAAGATGGCGCAACGGGACGCTATCTTCCAATGGGCGGCCTTTGCCATCTCTGTTAACTCTAGTCCAAGGGCAGCCTTCTTCTTCTCGACGCGTTCCCGCCTCTGGACGATGAAGTTGTGACGGCTGCTAATGGCGCGAGAGCAGTCGTCAGTTGGGCGGATCGGCTCGACAAAGTCCTGGTTGACGATGATCATCCGCTCAAAAGGCTTGCCAAAGTCCAGCAGAGGGAAGAGTGCCGTCGCACCGAGCTGCTGGATGCTGGGTTTGTCAATGGTGCCTGCTCGGAGGTAGAGTCGCAGGGCATCCGGGGCAAATCTCCAGTCCCTGACCATGGTCTTGAGCAAGCTCGTGAAGAACAGCGTGTACATGGCACCCTTGATACGGTCATGATCCACCTCGTCCAGCGCCACCCGGAGCCTCTCGAGCAAGATCGGGATGACGAGGGGCCGGCCGCCAATGAGAGCCTTGAGCGAGGAGTCAAGAGCGTTCTGAGCAACACGCCGTACATCGGCGTATGGAGATACGGACGACTGGGCCAGATTCAACAGGAGCTGCTTGTCCAGCTCGCTCTTCTGCCGTGCCGATGCGTTGTGTTTCACGCGGAGAAGCTGATAAGCATCCGCGCGCTTGATCAGCAGTGGTCGTGGATACACTTTTCGAAGACCGCTGATCTTAAAGGCAGAGATGTCTGACTTGTAAAGGCGGAGATGTCTCTCCAGCGGATGGGCGGATCGCTCGATGCCGACGTCGGTGATCCATGTTCTGTAGGCTGCGTAGAGCGCGGTGAAACAGAAGACGTCGTCTTCCTGGTTTTGGTTGAGGAACTCGTGACTTCGGCACAGGAGTTGTCCAACATCTTCCCTAAGCTCGTGCAGCTTGTGGTACGCAGGGTCTTCGTCAGTCAGGAGATACCCAGCGTCATAGCGGTATTGAGGTCGCGTCTCCTCGTCTTCGGCAGCCTCCGCAAGAGGATCATCGTCGTCCATTGCGGTGTCGCCTTCGTCATCGACGCCGGTGTTGCCATTCGGGCTCTCGCCGGAAGCACGATGCGGGTCGAACAACGTCGCCATTCCCGAAATGACCAACCTTATTTGCTGGAATAGTCTCGAGACTTCATCTGACCACTCCTTGTTCTTTCCCTTCCGGCTTACGGGGGGGTTCTCGCTCATGAGCAGATCCAGTTTCCGCGCCGCCGCCTTGGTCTGCGAATCGAACAGCTCCACGGCGAACTGCACTTCGCCCGCGGATGGTCGGTGCCACTTGATTGTCAAGTCAGCAGGGGAAGTCGTCTTTCCCCAGTCGGCCACATCGAGTCCCCGCTCGATGATGTCGGGCTCGTACAACGCAGTGTCGATGGGATACGTGTGCGTAAGGTTCAGTAGAAGGTGGTGGATGTAGTTGGAAATATGGATGGTGGGCAGACCACGGCACTTCTCCTGCATATACTTTGCGATGTCGTGAAGTTCGGTCTGGTATTTCAAGACCTCGTTACCGACATGAACGACAGCCATGCCGAGCATGCTGACGTGCCACACAAGGGCGCGGTCCCTGGGCAGGTAGTCCGTACCGCTGCTCCGGTCTGACGCAGCATGATTGAAGTCAATCTCGTTACGGATGTTGACAATGAGCATGGGGATGAAGACCTTGAGGGTCTTTTCGGGGTTGACCTTGCACAGTGCGTTTAGGATCCAAGCCATTGCGTCTCTCGCCTGGTGCACAACGTGCGTTGAGACGAATGAAGAGAGCTTCTCGAGGGCCGTATCGAAGAGCTCTGGCGAAAGCGACGCAAAGAGGGGAGAGAGGGCCGCCGGCAGCGCATTAATGACATTGTCCTCTGGTGTGCCTCCCCTGATGTGGGACGCGTCCGGCAAGTTCTCCAAAAGGGTGAAGACTTTGCCGAGGAGGGCGATGACAAACTCGCCGAGACCCGCTGTGGAAGACCTGAGAATGTTTGCCTCATCCTCGTCGGAGAGCTCCGTTTCGTAATCAAGCTTAATGTCTTGACCCTCGCGCTCCATGCGTTCCATCTCGCCCTGCACCCACTCCATGGCCAAGGCGGTGCCGTGAACGGAGTCGCCGTCCTTGGTAAGAGGCACCATTGGGATGCTGTAGGCCACACTCTGGATAAAGTTGAGGGTGTACTGCGTCTTTCCCAGATCGTTGGCGTCGATACCGGGCAGAGCGAGCGCGAGAAGAGCGGTAATGTGGCAGCGGAAACCCTTGGTCTTGGACATGACATTGGCAATCATCTGCAAGCCGTTCAAACTTGACGTCGTGCGGTGGACCTCGACGAGACCCTGCAAACTGGGATAGAAGCGCTGCAGAGCCCCGGGCAAGATCAGGTTGGGTTCCAGGTAGGCCAGGCCTTGGAGCGAGGCGTAATAGTAGTGAGCTACCCTGTTGCTCTTGGAGAACAAGCCCATGTAGGTAACCTCCTTGAGGGCAGACACAAAGCGGCGCTTCAGGGCAGGTGTGATCTTGCGGTCCTCTGGCGTATCCAGCTCACCGCTCTTCTCGCGATTCCAGCGAGAGACGAAGATATCTGTGAGATAGACGGTGAACTGGCCCAGGAATGTCGTCCATGACCCGACGTTGGAGGGATGGTAGAAGGTGTCAATGGCCTCAAGCAGACCTTCGAGGCTGGCCAGGATGGAGCTCTCTTGCTCCAGACACTTGGGAGACAGAGAGTAGACAATCCACCTGGCGATCATGTACGCCGTGGGGTACTTCTTTTTGTCCTTTTCGAGATACAGACCCAGACCTGACGAGTAGTCTAGAGTCGAATACGGCGAGTTGGCCTGGCCAACCGGGATCTCCGTTAGGCGGAGGATGGCGGTGAATATCCAATCCGATTGTTCCTGCGTGAAGATGCCATGGGCATCAAAGGGCGTGTTGGAGGCCTGCAGAAAGTCGCGAGCCATGCGGGAGTAGAGATCGATAAAGAAGACGTCGAAGCTCTTGGATCTCGCAATGAGGGACCAGAGGTGGAACAGCGTCGGCATGAACTCCTGCGGCTGGGAGCACGGCACCGACGCGGGGGCGACGTCGGTGGGGAGCAGCGCGTTGATGGTCCCGACGACAATGTAGGCATTGGAGACGTCTGATGTGCTAAAGTAAGGGAGGAACTCATCGAGCATCTCCTTGCGGTCTTTGGGGTCGAAGTAGGTCTGGGCATGGAGACACAACTTCCACAGCTGCTTCTGAGAGCGGCGACGGTTTGTCTGGTGCGAAGCGACCTCTGACGGCAGGACCAAGGCCTTGATCTCCCTCCAGAGCGGACGCCAATCGAGTAGTAGGTCGTCGACGGGTTTCAGGTAGTGGTATTTCCTGCGAGAATGGCACGGTCAGTTGATGGGGATGCATGGCAAGAGGGGAGGGGAGGGGATATGGGTGGGCAGCGCACCTCGTCAGAATGACCACCATGCGCAGGAAGCGGTCGGCGGTGCTCGGCTCGAGGCCAGGAGCGAGGCAGAGGTGGTAGTAGAGCTTGGCCAGGGTGGCACGAAGCTCGCGCGTCATCTCGAACTTGAGGTTTAGCCATCCCGTCAGCTCCCTCGTCCAATGCAGGGCGCCGGGGCTGAAATCTTCCGCCTTGATGGCGATATAGAGCTGCTTCAGGATACCGGCCAGAGCCGCGTCACGCTGTGATTCTTCCTCGACGGGGAAGGGCAGGTGGTTGAAGTAGCTAAAGGTGCGCGGACGGTACCGCTTCTTGTCATCCTCGTCGGTCTTGGTATACGGCGGGCCGGGGGAATTGGATCTCGAGATTGTGTCGACGGAGGCGAAGTGGCTCGACAGGAAGTGGGCAGTAGAGGCGGCGGCCAGGGCAGCGGCGTGGTTGGAGGGCAGAGGCCCCGGTGTCTCGTCCATGGCTGCGATGGCTGTGATGGCGTCTCGTGGAGACGAGACGACACAGAGACCGAGACGGCGGGTTGGAGGATGGGTCGAAGTTTGCGACTCGTTGGACAGAGCGACCAAACGGAGGGGAAGCAACGGTCGGGGTGGTCGCACAGGGTGCAGCAGGAATCAAGCTCCCGCTCCCACACCACAGCTGAGATGCAATGCAGCTGGGGGCGTCGGGTGCGGGTGGTGTCGCCGGTCGCGGGGCGTGCGTTGATCCGGGAGAGCGCGCGAGTTCGAGGATGGATGGATGGAGACAACGACGAGGTGGTCGAGAAGAAGGGAGGGCTCGCAGATCGAGAATGTGCCTATGGTTGAGGCTATCGGATCGGGTGCCTGTCTATCAATGTTGGTCAATTGCGTGTTCTCTGTCGAATATGCACTCGAGACTCGAAGCTGAGTAATTGGTGGTGACGCTCTAGTGTCTCGTGCTTCTCCGCAGAACCCCCGTTTGCCGTCTCCGTAATGGATTCGGAGGCAAAGGGAATATGGAGCGAATGCCGGGAGAAGTCGTAGATAAGCCAGATATGTCTACGCAGGGAGGAAAAGGAAGAATGAAGAGTTGTTGGAGGGTAAGTGTGGTCGAATTAATGCCGTCCCCAAGCAGCAGAAGCAAGCAGTAAAAGTATACTATGGTGGGAATAAAAGACAGATGATGCACAGCGACAACCGGTGGGGGGGCAATGCTGCTGATGCTGATGGGGATGCACGGAGAGGGATTGGATGGAGCGGGAGAGGCAACAGGATCGATCACGTACACCACTTACTCACCGAGGCCAGTCGAACAATGGACGGACAGACTGTGATGGACGGCGGACTTTGTGCCTTGTGACCGGACGCAGTGCGAGGACGTTGGGAAAGTGTTGGTGGTGGTGGTGGTGCTCGACCTTCCAGGTTGACGGGCGTGTTGGAGTGATGATGCAGCAGAGCAGCAGCCTGGGCCTCGTCTTTGCCGGGAAGGGCTGGCCACCACCGCGCCGGAAGCTCTCCTCTTCCACCTCCAGATGTATCCTCGCTGCGGACGCAGTATGCGAGGGTACATTGGAGCTGCACACGCACCCTTGGTAGCCTTGTCCAGGTCCCCACTCTCGCCCCCCCCCTCGGCTGCGTCTTTCAGTGGCCGCCATGCAGTGACAGCTGCATCCCAGCGCTGTTTCCTGCGCTGCCCGTTTCTTAGGGCGCGTCATCTGAGCGGGAGGAAGGACCCCGAGTGGCCCCCTCGTTCTTGATCCCGTCCGCATTCATGTACTCCTGCGTACCTCTTCACCTCCATCTTCGCTTCGGAGTACAATCTGGGACCTGCGCCTGTCGTCTCGCGACTCGCAGCACCTCTCGTCACAAAATCCACCACGAAATTGAGCCTCACGTCTCAACCCTCAGCATCGCCAACTAGTGCCAGTTTGGCGTCAACGCCAAACCACTGCTTTCCCCAAGGCACCGCAATCGTCGTCACATCACGAACCATCTCTCCCAATGTGTGTCGTCTCCAATCCGCCTGCACCACCTGAAACGAGGAAACAATCGCACCACCGCCGACTGCTCGCAGTTCACGACATGCTGCGACTAGACAACATCTCGTCAATCGCAACACTACTTTCTTCTCCTCTTCCTCCTTTCACTCTTCTACGACTGCAATAACCGCCACAAACAAGTCGTATTCATCCCTCGCAGAGCCACGGTCTCGGCTGGGACCAACCGCCGATTGGCGCCATCCTGCAGCAAGCACAAACCACACGTTCCAACATCCAACACGACGGCTCCCCGCATCACCATCCATGTCCAAGAGAGAGCTATTGCTTTGTTGCTTCATACAGCCATGCAATTCCGAATTGCACGTACGGCCCAACAGTCTCGGGCTTCTAACCCGCCAAGCGCCACTGCGCCGTCTTCTCGCCTGCCCATCTACTGATTAGCCACGCCCAACCAGGCGACATCTGTTCACAGGCGGGGAACCGGCCGAGCGTTCCCGGCTCGACTTGGATTTGCCCGTCTGCAGCCCGCCCGCAGGTGGACATACGTGAGCATCATGGACATGGAATGTGTCAATGCATGTCGCGTGAATGATCTTGTCTTCTTTCCCCTTTAGCTCGCCGGAGGCGGCACTTGGAGGACGCAATCATTCACGACCCCCGCCGTCTGGCGCGTTCCATAACTCCCCGCGCATGACCAGAAGCAGCCCGGTTTCAATCCCCCGAGCGGTGGGTGCTATCTTCTTTCGCCTGGAATGCGGGCTGCGTCCACGCCTGCCTCTCGCCTGCCTGCATCGTGCAACCCGTTCTTCGCCCGGACGTTTCCATCCCAAGTCTTTCTCGCATGACGCCCTCGGGAAGGATTCCGTCATGTCGCCTCGACCTAAAGGGCCCCAAAGCGTCCCGCACGCCCGGTACATTATGGTGTTTTGTCAAACCGTGTCGTGGCAAGTACCGGGTGCTCCAGATTTTAAGCCTCTGGATGCTTCTCTACCCCTGCTCATGCGGTCCACGAGGCGAGCATCCAGACTACACACTAGGTAGCAGGTCCTATGTGAGAAAAGAGCTCCAGTAATGGTTTCTTGATGGTTTCGCATGATGTGCTATCAATGAGCCCGGGATGGCTGACAACTACCTACAACCACCGGGCCCAGTCAGACTCGTCGCTCTGTAGGATACCATCAGTCACGGATGCATGTTTGGACAAACTTACTCTTCAGCCATGCTGTAACTAGTAAAATGACTGGCAGAACACGCGCCAAGCAGCAGCCCAGCAGGGTGGCAATCCTGTCACCCCGGTCTGGCCCGACACCACGGCGCCGCGTCGGCAGTGGCTCACCGCCCCCGTATCGAACCGTTACCCAGCCCTGATTCGGCCCTGCCGATTAGAGATTTCCCGGCCGCTAGCGCTCTCAAATTTCCTCGGGCCATTGCCTCGTAGTTTTCAAGTGAAGAATGGCGCGAAAATACTCAACATCATACGACAGCCCCTTTCTCAAACCCCAATTGCGACTTTCTAGCATGGCCCGCACTTTGGCGCCACAGTTGGTTTTGCTGACTCACACACTTGCGCGCGTCCAGCATGGCCGATATATTCCAGGGCCCATCCCAATCGCTGCACAAGTGCAGTGACGTCGGTCGCCTCAGTGTTGGAATCTCAAGGAAAGAAAATCGTCAGAAACCCACCCTTAAGATCAGTCTTCATCCGCTCTAAATACGGGAACTCAAACGTTTAATCCTTCAATGTCAGATCCACCGCCATGGCTCCTGTAGACGAAGAAGCAAGTACGTATCGCCAGACACCATTCCGCTCATGCTCACTCACTCACACCACTCAAGACATCTCACGAGCCTCGACTCGGACGAGGGAAGAGGACCGACTCTCAGATGAGCCACCCCCGACAGGCCTCAGGGCCACCCTCTCCCGCACAAAGACCCGGACCAGCACCATTCTCGAAAAGGTTTCGCTTCGCGAACGCATCCATCACTTCACCTTTGCGTGGTACACCCTCACGTGAGTCGTAGCTCCTGCCCCCCTTCCGTGCCGCTCCGCGCCGTGCCGGCAGTCCCGACCCACTATATCCCGACCCGCCGGCTAACAGTCCCCCCCCCCCCCCCCCCTCACCAGCATGTCAACAGGCGGCATCGCTCTCCTCCTCGGCCAGACCCCCCACCGCTTCCGCGGCCTCGACACCATAGGCCTAGTCGTGTTCTTCCTCGACATCGTCCTCATCTTCCTCATCACCATCGTCCTGTGCCTCCGCTTCTCCTTCTTCCGCAAGACGCCGGCAAAGGTAATCACCCACCCCTCCGAAGCCCTCTTCATCCCGACCTTCTTCCCCTCCATTGCCGCCGCCCTCTCCAATATCCAGCACTACGGCGTGCCGAAATGCGGTCCCTGGCTTATTGACACCCTGAGGGTGTGTTTCTGGGTTTATCTCATCGTCACCTTTTTCTTTTCCGTCGGCATGTACCATCTCCTCTTCACCGGCCGCAGGCGGTTGTCGCTAAATGCCATGACCCCTGCGTGGATTCTACCAATCTTCCCCGTCATGCTGTCCGGTACGCTCGCCGCCTTCATGGGCTCTTCGCAGCCGCCAGACCAGGCCGCCGCCATGCTGGGTGCGGGTCTCGCAGCGCAGGGGCTGGGCTTCCTCGTCTCGACCTTCATGTACGCGACCTACCTCATGCGGCTGATGACCGTCGGTCTCCCTATGCAGCGTCCCGGCATGTTCATTGCCGTCGGCCCGCCAAGCTTCACAGCCGCAGCATTGGTATCGATGGGCGCCCAGGTACCCCGTCTCGTGTCCGCGAGCGATTCCTTCATCTCCGACTCCCTCCGCTCCGCGGCATTTCTGGCCGGCATGGAGAACCCAGGCACGATAGCCTTGGCCGTCCGCGCCATGGCCCTCTTCAGTGCCGTCTTCCTCTGGGGCCTGTCGTTCTGGTTCTTCTCCTCGGCCTGTCTGTCCACGCTGTTCGGCATGCCCGATCACTCCTTCCATCTCAGTTGGTGGAGCTTTGTCTTCCCCAATGTCGGCTTCGCTATCGCCTCGATCCGGATGGGCGAGGCATTTGGCAGCGAGGGGCTCCTGTGGTTCGCGACAGTGTTGACGGTCATCTTGGTTGCCGTCTGGCTCTTTGTCGGCTTCTGCTGCGCGCGGGCTGTTATCAGGAGAAAGCTCGTCTGGCCGGGCCGAGACGAGGATACTGACTAAGGCGTGGTGTTTCTTTTTGTTCAGCGAGGCTTCTGGGTTCCACACTCGGTTTGATGATACCAATGACGACGTTGGGCTGGTATATAGCTCAGGCGTACTCCTTAATGACTTTTGGCAATGCTCAATACCCCTTGCATGTATCCAGCTTCATGTATGGTATAGAAAGAAGCTGGGAATAGGTATATCAGTGTTCTTTGCTCATAGACTCAACGCTGTGGAACCTGGCTTTTTTTCTAACGGCAAGAAAGCGCAACCTAACGGTTTTGTGAAAGGTATCGGGGCTCTTTACTGAATGAATGGGACTCTTTTCCCTGTCCCCGGTGAGTCCATGATGATGCCCGGCGAACTAAGCCCTAATGAGAGGGGCTATCTGGACGCACTTTCGCATCTTCCAAAAACGATCTCGTACCTATAGTTAGTATGTGTTCCTTCCACTTCCATCCCAGCCAAACACAAAACAAGACAGACAATGGTTGCCCTTATGAACCTCACCGAGGGTGTGGCATTAAAAAAACGAAGGACCCTTGCAAAAAAATCGAAGGCAGCGCCTTGGATTTGACCGGTATATCGAGGGTTTTTAACATGAACAACATCGGGTGGCGTTGAGACCAGTCATTCGTCCGGAACGGCATCTTGTGCTTCCACGCTCTTAACCCAATGAGTCTCTAACACCCCCATGATTTGCACAATAGTCTGACCGCGGGACCGTACGCCGTCACCGACCCTGGCCTTGGCAGGCGCGAAGATAGACAGGCCAATATCGAATTGGAGTTCCCCGGACTCACGCTCGACCACTTGGGCGTGTCCACGACCGACTACAGTCGGGTTTGTCAACTCGGCTGCAAATACTGCGTGATAAACACTGCTTTAAACGCTCTCGCACAAAGCACATCTTCCCAGTCTCCTTTGTGATCGGCTTAGGCGACCCCAAGGACATAGTCATCAGATGCTTCGATGCCGAGGGCGTTCGCGTGCACCTCCAGTGAACAGGCTTCGATATGAAGCGGCATGGCCAGCGCCTTGCCAACGCGCGTGAGCTCGCTCAGAGCAACTTGGTTGACGATAACCACATTTTGACTGACAGTCCGGAGGGCGAGGGCCACGACTACAGTCTTTTGGTCAAGTTCATCGTGGGCACTGCTGATAGAAATTGATCGTTGCTAACCTTTGACTTTGATTCTAACTGACTGAATCCTTCGATTGTTGTGGCTGGGACTGGAAGATTGACGCTCAGGCGAAGCGATTCGTAAAACAACAAGACCAGTTCTCCCACCGAGACGCCCGTTTGCGCACTACCTCGCGGGCCTTGGTCTCAATAACGCGTTCCGCTGAGGGCTGCGGGTAGAGCAAAACCCTTTTGCTGTGTATCATGCTTACTTTCATAGTCAGTGAGCATCGTTTTCTAACTGTTGTTCTCAAAGCCCAGCTCACACCTACCTATGACGAACGGAGAGACAAGCTGCGTTATTCGGAAGGAACTTCACCTTGGGGATCGGATGTTAATGCCGTGGGAGGGCCATGATGATACACATCTGATCAGGTGCTTGGTAAGTATGGAATTCATTAATTCTAACAACTGATGCGTGCAACAGACGCAGCGTCTGCGCTGTGAGGGCACCGACGGTCAGCTATTTCCTCCAGGCGATGGAGCGAGCATGTACAAGGGACTAGATACACATGCGCGTGCATGCCTAACGTAGGAGAATATGTAGGTATTCCTGAAGTTTTGTTGAGATGCTTATTACGTGACATTGATGCTGGTTGCCTCTATCATACAAGATGAAATATTCAGCCTAATTCCCTTGAAAGGCTCTCTTTTCATGATCGATGTTGCCCGTCGTTACTTCATGTGAGATACAACAGCGACATAGAAACAGCTACATTGATTATTGCCACACTTGAAGCTGATGATATATAACTCTGTTCACGAGGTGGACCTGTGATTCTCACCCCATTCGAGAAGTGGTCGCCCAAGCGAAGTCATTAATATCAATCCTGTAGAAATCACCATGCGACACAATCACACGAAAATTCATCATGTATCAAATGTGATGATGGACCTATCTGTCTAAAGGTTCGTCAGCAGAAAAGACACTTGAGAAACCTGGATTCCTTGCTGAGATCTTAGCTCATTGACGTAGACGATGATGCAAAGAACAACTGGTCGCCCTATGCTGAGTACATCAACCCGATGTTGGCATAATGGACCTGAATCATTCGTAAAGACGTTGATTTCATTGACTATGCTCCTCAGTCCGTGCCTTCAGGCAAGTCAACCCAGCAGGAGCACTTCCGAAGGCCGTCCTTCGTCGTCCGAGGTATATAACCTTCAGTCACAAGAACAAACCAGGAGAGATCTTGAAAATCAAGTTCTTTGACAAGAAGATGGCATGAACATGACAGGTGAGTCAACGGACCTCTGTATTCTGACATCATCATTCATGCTGAGGTCACATTGCTTTGACTACACCTCATGCGCGAGGCTTTGAGTTTCCAGGGTGACTCGCCAGCATGCACAGGGTCCAGAGCAGGGTCCATGTATTTTCCAGGCTATCCGAGATGACCAACGTGCCAGCCGACGTTGGTTGCCATCCCATATGACATGGTTCTTGTTGCTTTCGGGCGGTTTTCGTCATGGGACCGAACTCGGAAAAAACTCTATTCGATATGATGAACTAGGATCCATGCACTGTGGCGGCTGGACCCGGGTATCTCAAGCAGGCGGTAGAAACGACGCAAACAACACACCCTGAATCGCAGCATACATGACCGAGAAAGTCACAATCTTACCGCCCAAGTGCCGCCGCTTGCCGTCGGCGCTGTCGTCCAGCAGGCACCCAGCAGCCCACCAGTACCACACCGCGTACCCGGACGCGATCCTGGTAATGATTTGCACGTGGTACGTCGTGATCGCCATGACGGCAAGCAGGACCTGGGCCGCCGCCATGGAAAACACCAAGGCCGCCTTCGTGCCATCCAGTCGCAGCAATGGCTTCTCCTCCGTCGGGCTCCGCGCCAACCCCGAGGGCGTGGTCATGACATGCCACCCGGAGACGATTAGCAATCCCAGCACCGGGGCGGCAAGAAGGAACAGAGGAATGTTCGATAGCGTCCAATAGCGGAACAAGCCCACGCCCCTGCGTGACTCAGAGTATTAGCAACCTAAACAGCACGTCGATGAAAAATTTCATTCCACAATGACCAGATCCCACCTCAAATCTCCGCAAGTACCGCCCAACGGCAACCGACGGCGTCCGGTGAGCGCCTAAGCAGGTTTGTAGGGCTGGGAAGGAAGAAGAAAAAAAAAACGTAAAAATGAGAAAACAGCGAGGCCGAGGGTGAGCGCGCGCGCGTGTGTACATACCAGTAATGTTCCTGTACAAAGGAGTAGATGCTGGGCACGGTCCGCTCGCACCATGGGCGCGCCTCGGATGCGCCGGAACAGTATCGCAACCACGCCAGCAACTGTGGGACGACGGACCCGGTCGCCACGAGGAGCCCGCCAACAATGGGACCAAACAGAGCCGCGATGGTTTTGAGGTTCGTAGGGCTGGCGAGGAGTGGGGGGAGGATCATTAGACACTCGATGGCGAAGGGGAGGCCGTTCAGGAGGCCGTTGGAGCGCGAGGCTGTTGCGAGACCAAAGACGGCGCCGGCGAGAATATGCCCCGCGGTCCAGCGGAGAGAACCTTTGGGCTGGTTCGCGACGCATGCGAGGACGTAATAGCCGGCGAAGGAAAAGAAGGCGCAAAGGCTCTCCGCGTAGGGTGCCGAGAGGAAGAGACCCGCCGGAGACAGGACGTGAAGCAAGGCGGACAGGAATGCCAACCGGGAGCGGGAGAAGAGCTTCAGCGTCAGCTCGTGAAGCATCATTACGGCAAAGATATGCGCTGCATGAGCGACCGCAATGCTGAGAGCCGCTTCCAGGGCCCCGGTGCCGTCACCATTGATGCCAAGCAACCGCGCAACCTCGACCAGGCCCGACACGACGAGGGGCAGGCCGGTGTTGAAAGCCCATTCCTGCTCGAAAACGTAGCCTCGTCGGGCGGACTGGGTGAAGTACAGAGCGTCCCAGCGCGTTAGGCGGGTGACAATGGAAACGTCGGACTCATTACGCTGGAGCATCAGCGTCGTCGAGGTATCGTAGGATGGCGCCACAGCGCTGCCCAGGGCGATGGCTAGCAGGAGGGCCTTCCAGGCCACAAAAGCCGCGATCAGGGTCTGGCGCGGGTGAGAGGCATGGCGGGCGAACATGGTTGGATGACTGGATGACGTCGGACGAGGATGCCTGCCGGAACGTGGTTGGGCGGGAGATGCCGCGGACCCGGGTGCATCGAGGGACGCGTGACGAACTGCCAAGCGGTCGGAGTACGAATGACGAGAAACCCCACTTCAATATGATGAAGGAAGAAACGAATTAGAACTGGTGTAAAAAAGAGAAAGAAACACAAGGTGTGGATGCCGTAGTGTCGGTTGTGGATGGACCCTTGAGATTCCGCGGACTGCGTTGTTGTGAGGTTCTCGGGGGTTGATTGAATCTTGCGCCGCGCCGGGACGAGCGGTCGGGATCCACTCGGTGGCACTTGGCCAATGGGAGGCTTCGGTGAGCTCGGTGAGCCGGCTCCGTCGGTGTGTGGCGCGCGCGAACCAAGTAGGAGGACGAACCACGGGGTCCTGTCTGCAATCTCTTTTTTCGTTTGGCTCCTTGTTGCTCTCCCGCCCGGCCGGAGTTCGGGGGCCGTTTCAATGCGAGCGGGTCTCGATCTTAAGTCTATGTGGGTGAAACGAATTCTGCTCGTCCAATTTTCCTGAGTCTTTTTCTCTTCTACTCCCGATGCGTATCAAGCGTTCGTCTGGATAAGCGGAGCCGGTCTTTGTGACTTAAGAGACGGTGCCGAGAGCCCTCCGGCCAGCCAAGACCGAAAGCTCGAGATTCAAGATTCAAGACTGTGCCAGGCTTGCAGGGCAGGCTCCCAGGATTCTAATTAGCGGAAACCATCATCAGTGGATGAGCCCCTCAGGAGGTGCCCCCCTCACAATTCCAGCCTCCTTTGCCCCTCTTCTTGTCCAGGCATCGAAGAATCCTCCTTTAGGCACCTTGCTCCGTCTGGTGCAATCACCAATCGAGCTGGTCCAACCCGTAGAGGCATTTAAAAGTCTCTGTACGCGACAGGGCCAGAGTGGGCGTGGTGAAGTCCTGGGGCAGTTCCACTGAACAGGGCTCGCTCAGGGCTGGCGAACGGGGGCTCTGACAAGAGCTTCATCCCCTGAATTTACCGCCTCCATGCTTCCCCCTAGCCCCTGAGACCCATGGAGTGCATTCCGTGCTGGCGAGAAATAAGATGAGGACAGCTCATTTTTAGAAGCTCATATTTCAACCACTTACACAGCCCACTGCGTGGCTCAATTGAGCAAAGGAGAAACGACGCGCCAAGAGCGCGTGCACATGGGCCAGGCCATGGACGCAAGGGATGGTGAGGCTGGATGGCCACTGGAGGCACCAGTTTTGCCTGCATCGACTTATTCCGCATTTGTTTGCAGTTGCTGACCGCCATGTTGTGTGAGTTATCCAAGGCAACCTCCGATCCATCGGATAGAGAAATGACAGGGCAGCCGTCTGCCGGGAAGCACCCAACAGAAGACCCCAAGCTAGAGACGCAGGTGAGCCACCCCTACCAAGTTCAGAGGCGGCCCAGTCTCGCCATTCAACCAGTGAGCCAACTCCCGGTAGATCCGCTGCCGCGAGGGCGGGAGGGGATGCGCGTGAGTGGAAGAGCGGATTGCCGGGTGATCCAGACTTTCTGTCGCTCTAGGCCCAGCCCAACTCGTCCAAGCCTGAGAAGGATCGCAACATGAGCCATTGGCATGTGCAAATGCAAGCCTGCAGGAAATGGGAAAGGGGAGACGCAGCAGAGTAAGATCATCGCACATCGCAACTCACACGTGCCATGCAAAGTGCGAGATACGGATGAGACAGTCCATCAGTGAGGAGGGGCGGATGAGCGCTCGTGAATCCAAGGAAATCCGACGAGGAAGGCCAGTCGGTCCCGGGTCTGCAATGGGAATCGGCGTCGGGGCGGAAAGCAAGAGGTTGCCGCTCCGTCCCGACTGACCATGCTCTTTCACATTGTACGTTACACTGACCAGTGCTCTCCTCCTCCCTCATCCTCCCATTCGCACGGCTGCACCGAACTGGAGGCCCATCCTTTGTTCCCCCACGTCCCCACCTAAGCCATTCACATCTGAGGCTTCAAGGCAAGGTTGACAAGGTTGAAGAAGGACACACTGTGACACTGTGAAGGGAAACGAGGGGTACCTCCCAAAGCTTTGGGCATCTGAATCTGCATCGGCTTCTGCATCGTTGCCTTATGTAAGGCACGCCGCATCGGGCAATTGGTGACCGGAACCAGCCGTGAGCAGCAACCTGGGCTCGCTGAGAAGGAGGATGGGACATGGTGACAGGCTGTTTGCTCCGTTTCACGTAGCTCCCTTGGTCATTCCGTCTGCTGCCCCCATCACCACCTCTACGCACTGCGGACGAAGTAAGCTTTGTGATGACGAACCGTCCACCCCTCCAACTGACGTCGGCAGCTCTCCAAATCCAGCACAGCTCTCCCGTCCTCCTCCGTCTGACATCTGCAACCTACCTTCGCCCTGAACGTTCCGGCTGAGACGACCAAGAGACGCGGCCAGTCTCCGTTTAGGTTTCGTGCCCAAGGAGACCCTTCCGCCAACAAAAAGGGTCACCGGACTTGATCATCGACGTCCGTTCGGCACCAAGCGCAGCCACTAGGTTGGCCGCTGAATCTACCTACCTGTTTTTTTTTTTTTTGCCTCTGACCCCCGCCCTCTGAACTGGTGCCGGTCAGCAAATACCTTATTGTACGATAACGTGCTTGCCGGCTTCGGGGGGGGGGGGGGCTGCGAGGCGAGTGGAAGTCCGTCTCTTTGCTGTCCGGTGGACTGGGCGACTCATGCTGGAATTCAATGAGATGATCCGTATTACTGGGCCCCTTACGATAGGGGGGCTCGCACCGTCAAGTGATCCCTCAGTGACGGCATTAGAGATCGTGGCTGATCATACTTCTAACCGCTGTCGTTTGCGGAATCCAACTGGTAACTAAACCTACTACGACGACGACAAGGCTGTATTGGCCGTGACCTTCAAAGGAGACAGTGAGGAAGCAATCAGCGGGTTGAACTGACTGTCGACCGCGATCAGCGCGCCCATCACGACCCACCTGATGTTTAGGCCTTCCTCCATGCTGACATGGCTTCTCCGAGTTGCCCGACTCATTGTTGACTGAGCTGGGCGGCTTTATTCGCCCGGAACAACAGCTCGCCCCAGACATTGGTGATGGCCAAGACACAACAATACGTACCTTGCACTTCACCGCCGTTGCGCATCTGAGATTGTCTCGGAGCATCGGCTTGCTACTCGCCCACCACGACGCAGGTGTCGATGTCGCATCGCACCGCACCACAGCGTTACTGTGAACGAATAATCTCGACGTCGAAAACCCACTGCCAGCCGCCATCAGTCTCGGTTTTAGACATGTCGAATGTCGAGCCGAGACCGCCAACCGCGCTTGCCAGATTGCGATTAACCTCGTCGTCTGTCTGCTGCATCTTCAAATAGTCTGCCCGGATAGATAGGCAATGGTGAATTGACACGACGAAAAGAGCCCGAGAGGCTTTCTGCGTGTACAAATATTGAACATGTTGACAACTGAGTCCGCGGTCGACCAAACCTACTGCCCGGGGACACTAATACAGCATCCCGCTCACCACGTCACGGCGTAAGCGCAGGCACAGCGTGGCTAGACCGTATGCAATAGATATGGTTCCTACCAGCTGCCCTCGTCGGGCTTGAAGCCGACAAAGACGCGATTGGGCACCGCGAATGATTTCTGTATCTGGGTTAACGGCGTCTACCTCACCCGGTCAAATCAGACGTTTCTCGCGACCGTCGAGGATGGCGCGAAACAAGCGCTCGAAACAAAAATATTTAGGCTTCCACATGTCACCGAGCAACATCAGCCCGACTGCGACGTGTCACAGCCAAGGCAGCCTCGGCGTCCTTTCAGAGTTTACCAACCGCATTGGGTGCGGACGCCTATCACTGGACGGTCTGATCTAACAGCGCGGTCGGCTCGAGACGTCTCACGCGGAGTCTGCGATGGGGGCAGACCAAAGTCTCCGGCTGCAATGGCGCCCGTCTCCCGCCGCACATCGCTTCACCTCCTCCTCATCACCATGCACGCCCGCCACTGTCAGCGGAGACGTGCTGGCGCCGCTACCGTTGCCATCAAAGAGTCGCGTCTTACCCAAACTCCACCCAATCCTGGAAAGCCAATGGGCCCGCGCCGCCAGCAGCTTGCGAGACAGCACACAATACAGTATCGACTCTGGTGAGGTTTGCTGGGCGAACACTTGAACAAGCTCAAAAAACAAGCACAAAGAAGCACTTTGTGGCAGAGCACAAGTGGTGGTGTACCGGTAGAGGCTCGAAGGATCGCACAGCTCTGCGGCTTGCGTACCTTGGGACGCCCAGCCCACTGGCAGGCATCCCCTTCTTGGAGGAGGGAAGATGACCCCTCATACCCTGCCAAGATGGCTTGCAAGGGATCCCCAAGTCATACGCCCATCCAATCCGAGTACGGTGCTGCCACACACCACACCAGGCCACGCGAGCTGCAAGTGCAGTGCGTACTTATCCCATTCGCCTAGTGCCCGATTGGGGTTGGCACACTTCTGGCTCTGTGGCCTCGAGTGGCTCCAGTAATCCGGATCGCCAGTCTGAGCATCTGACTGACACCAGCTAGTCTTGGGGCGCCGAGTCGACTATGGGCTTTGGAAAGTGGACTGAGCACTTGTCTTGCGGCGCGTGTCAGAATTCGATGTATCGGTGATCTTAAACATTGGAGGTGGGAGGGAGACTTGGATGATGGCTGCCGTGGACATCCAGCTCTGTCCATCGAAAGCGGCCGTTCATCGCGATCGGGGCGTCGCCAGGCATGTCCCTGGTGGTGAGAGTTGCCAGCACATAGTTCATTTGGCTGGACTCGGGCTATCCCATCCCGCGCCGGGTGGGTAGAGGGAAACGCGCAGCTGGTAAGCTAAACGGCCGAATATAGCAGCACGTCCATGGACGTCCCCAGCTCGCGGGACGAAGAGGACAGGACGATCTCAACATCCCTTCCGGGCACCGCCCTTCCGGCAGCCGTGTTTTACTGGGGCAACAGAATTCGGAGCGAGAAGCCAACCATCGTGAGAGGCGGAGAGGGAGAGGGTTTGAGGCTCGGGCAACCACCACAACGGCACCTAGTATGAGTGAATTCAGTAAAGGCCGCCGACGGTGGCACCCGTCAAACACGACACAAACACGCACAACACCGCCCGTCATTGCGTTTGTGGGCCAAGAGACGACTGACTGCAGTGTCCCCGTCTGCACAGCAGGCTATTCTGCGTCAAGCAGCGCGACCCAGCGTAGGGCAGCACAATGCACACATCACAAGACAGGACAGACATGACCGCACAGATGCACAGACGGCGCTGACACATGAAGAGAAGGCGTGGGCCGGAGCCTTGGTCTGATGTTGCCCCTCACGCAGGAAGGTGACGAAGACTGTGAAGAAGCTGTGGAACAGAGCCCACTTCAAGGTTAAAGCAGAGTCGGCGCAGGGTTGGGCAGGGAAGCCTCGTCCGTCCAGTGTGTGGGGGGAGGAGAACCTCGCAGTTCGCCGACGAGCCAACGCAGAGACGAAGTGGAGGCTGCAGCGGAGCGGATACCTCGTCGCGTGTGGTCGCGGGCCTTGCATTGTGAAGAGTCGACCTTGCGAGTCGGCGGTGGAGGTTTGAGTTGTGAAGAGAGGCGGCACAAGTGGCAGCTCCCAGTACTGCAGCCACGGAATAGTGCAAGGCATTCCGTTCCATGGAGTACTGGGCCAGACCACCAGACCAGGCGAACAATGCGCAGCAGGCAGCGTCGCCTATTCCAAGGATTCAAACGGCTGGGCTAGACAAGAGACGGCCGAGGTCGAAGCCCACTACTGCGTGTGAGAAGGCAGCTAAATAAAGGTGCGTTAGCGCAGAGAGCGGGAAACAGGCTACGGGGTTCGCACCACGGCGCGAGTTTGGCCACCTCAGTTGGCTGTTGCCAACTTGCTAATGGCGATAGTGTATTGTGTAATCGTGACATTTTAGAGCGTGGGTTGTTGTGTTGTTGGGGGGGACTGGGCAAGACTGGGAGGGGAGAAGCACGAGGCGGCAAGTCGAAAGCAGAACGGGGGCGAGCTCCAGACTCGCGGGCGGTGCGACCGAGTCCATGATTTCATTCCACATCACCCCACCGACAAGTCCGCCATCCGCGGAGGCTTTTTGGGGGGTTTTTTTTTTCTTGCGGAGGAGTCTTCTTTGATGAAGCCGTCACGAGTCAACACGTCTCCGTCTCTCCCCGTCATGAACAGTGTCCCTCTCGTCGTCTTGGTCCCGTTGGGAAGATTGGCTTGACAGACTGGGCCACGTCGGCCCATACGCATCCAGCAGCCCACTCATATCGACGGGGGGCCATCGGCGTCGGCGTTGCATTCCTCTCCTTCCACGATCGTTCCCCTGGATTTCCTCTTCGAGAGCCACGGCGGAGGCCATCGCATCCCGTCGTTGGGCGGGTACGTACCAGGCGTCGTAGCCGTGGATAGAAAGTGCGAGGTACGGATGCCTACCTGGATTACTATACAGTAGGTACGTACTGTTACACTACCTACCTTGTTTCTTCCCGCCCGAGTCCATACTTCGGGGAGGAGGTCCTTCATTAACTGCCCTGCCCGCTCAGCCCATTCGCCTCGCCCCCTCCTGATCGCAGAACTGACACAGGCCACAGGCCACACAGCACGCATCAAATCAGCACATTTCAGAGGACGGTACATTACTTTTACAGTCGATCGCGCTCATCCAACACACGCACACACACACACATACGCAGTATACACACCACCACATTGTGCGCGTTTGCAGGTGCAGCAAGTAAACACATTCCACATTTCGGAAGTGCCTCCCAAAGCGAGCAGCAACGACCGCACCGCTCTTTCATTTCCTGCTGCCCCTTGCCTTCCTGGCCTCTCCCCCCGCCTGCCCTGGGGGGGCCATCGTCGCTTTCCCAAACGAAGACGAGCACGGTACGTACTGGATACCTTTCTCCCCCGCCTTTCGCCCGCCAAATAAGACGTACCTCCCTCCCACCCTCATGCTTTTCTCACTTTTTTCGTTTGCCCAACCTCTCGTTCTTGATCTCTTGATCTCTTGATCTCTTGCATCTCTCTCACTTTTACCCCTCGTTCTCTTCTTGTTTATCCGGCAGACTGGTTCGCCTTGTTTCTGCTCCTGAGCTAGCCCTCGTTTCTCTCTCTCTCTCTCTCTCTCTCCCCCCTTCTCTCTTCGCATTTTAACTCGACCCTCGCACCTGGCAGTGTAAGGTACCTTCCCCGAGAGTACACCGCACAGTACAGTGTGTACGTACCAGTCGGCGACCACTGCACCTGCGAGAGTCCCAAGTTCCTGCTTGCTGCCTCTGCAACCGCAACTGCTGCAACCACTACCACCACCACCACCAGTGGTAGCCTTTAAGACAGGGAATCCCTCTCCTTGTATCCCATACGCGCACGCACGCCCACCGGGACTCGCAATCTCCAGTTTCCCCCCTCCTTCAGAGTGCACCGCAAGAAAAAGGTCTGATATCATATCTTTCCGGCTCCGTCCCACCATCTCAAGCTCCAGGTGTACCACCACTACCTCGTCTCTCCTCATCCGTTCGTAAGGCCAGGTACTCCGGCACAACCAAACGGTGTACACCTTACTGTGATCACCACACACACCCCCTTCCCGAGCTACCCTTCAAACGCTTGGCCTACCCTTGCTCGCCTCGACATTTTGACTTTCCATCAACTTACATCTATCTGGACCCTGGTGGCCGCCTCTTCCACCACTTCTTTTCCACTTCTTTCCAGCTTCCAACTTCCCGACCCCTCGGGCCAGCCATACCACGACACTCTCAGCACTGCTCGCCTACCACCTCGTACATACAACCACGACGTCCACGACACCTTTACGACGTACGACTTGCACCTCGACACCACCGAAACCCCGCCTCTTTTCCGTTCCAGCTTGCTGTGTACGGTGAAGAATCCCCGAATTCCGACTTGCTCGATCCAGCCAGCTAGCTAGTCGTCGTTGGTTCCCCTTCTGCCAACACACAGTCGCAGATTCTACCACTGCAACACGACAAAGTCGCTTTTTTCACGAATACGCGCAGCCCCAGTCAACCCAGGCAACCTCTCCCCGCGGCTCACGATCTCTCATTGGACGCCGAACTCCAAACGCTGCTTTTTCACAGCACCTGGTAAGCAATTCTCGCACTTTCCCTTGGCTCTCATCACCTCACCTCAGCCCATCCCGCGCCCACGGACGCCCAAGGCCATCAAGGCTACCCGATTGTGTTTGGCGGCCACTGGCCTCTCACGAGTCACGCCCTTAAAGCCATACAAGCCATACAAGCCGTTCCATCTCACACCCCCCGTCAAACATGGCGTAGCTGGGCTGCCCGGGCTGAGCCTCAACGGAGAAGAGTCTCAGGGCTGACACTAAATGCTTTACAAGTAGGACGCTCATTTCCCTGCTAAATCCTGCTCCCTGGGCTTGACGTCCCCCTTTATTCATCGTTGCCTCCTTTGTTCCTTCATCCGCCTCACCCCAACGCCTCTGCCGCTTCCGTTCAGAGTGTCGCCGTGTCGACCAAGTTCTTGTTCGTCACCGTAGCGATCGATCCAACGTCGGCCACCTTTTCCATCCGGGTGTGACGGCCTGCGCTATTAAACAAAACTCGGAGACAACGGCACGTCCAGAATCCGAGCTGCACTGCAACCACGACCAGCATCTGCAACCCCTCCGCCTGACCAGCTGCAAGTGGAGCGAGAAACTGAGCTCGCCCGATCCATACCTTGCGCATACGCGGATTCCTCCCACGTCCACACAACCCGGTCAATTCCACCACGCTTTGCTCCCGCGTGCGACGCCTGCATATCGCTCGAGATTGAGAAAACGCGGGGAACGCAGCCAAAACCGCCACGCTTCCCTCGAATTCGGTGTTGGACAGGACCATTCCCATCATCGCGCCCATGCGTTCATCGTCTCACGTCTTTTAACTCCAAATAATCATCATGTTTCTCCATTCGGGCGCCAGCCTGCATGGGCACGAGTATTCTAACAAGCCGGCCACAAATGGCCCCCAACCTGCACGCAGACGGATCCTGCTCCGATCCTCGTTAGGCGCATCAGCGCTCCCACGAACTTCCTTGTCTGCAGATGATGCCGGCACCGCAACCCAGCGCATCAACCGCCGCCTGTCATTACAGTCACCTTCACCCTCCCCTCGCCCAAGTGTGCGCAGAGACCGACCCGTTTCCGATCTCCCACTGCGGAAAGACCTTGTTGTGCGCTTTGAGGAGGAGCCCACCGTGGTGCGCCAAGAGACGTACGGGCTTGACGGCGTCAGCGAGGACGAGGGCAGCCTGGTGTCGGAAGTGAGCGACACGAGCACTGTCATCAGGTCCAAGAGGTCGAGAAGAGCTGCGAGGCAATGCACAAATTACCTCCTGGCCTACCCGCCGCCCAAGCTTCGGACAAAGCAACGCCGATTCGTTCAGATTCGTCCGCGGCTGCTGCTTCAACTGCAAGAACTATCTAACGACAAGCGACCGATGCCGGCCGTTGACGTCCTCCCTTCAAGCATGATTGCTGGCACCGTCATCCTACCCCGCCTCGCACGAAGATTCCCCAAGATGTTCAGGGTCAAGGGACAGTTGGGCATGAACGGCCTCATTCTGGCCAAGAGCGAGGACTACGATACCCCCGCTGACGACTCGGACGGTGACGAGAAGGACCTCGACAAGCGGGATTTGGTGGCCGTCATCTCACCGGTGGCGCGCAGGGAAGGCGAAAGGAGGGACTCCTCCGACCAGACTGAGATCGTGCTGGCGGATGGATCAGTATGGACGGCCACCCAGACGAGCAACGGATCGTACGACTTTGTGCATGTTGACGAGGCGGGCCAGACGACGACAGCGAGATGGGTCAGACGGAATGCTAGGCCGCTATCCACTGCGACCTGCGCGGCAGCCACGACACCTGCGCCGGCCTCGGAGTACAAGTTCACCTTCAGCATCCTCGATCCTGAGCTTCGACGACACCCCGTCATGGCGACTCTGACACCGACCAACCTCGAGATCCTTGACAACTACACGACTGTGTCACAGTCGTCTGGTCGCTACCCTCCTACGAGACCCTTTAGCACGGACCTCAGTGGCGACAACGAACCTTGTACCCCTCCGTCGCCAGCCCTCGCAGCGACACAGCGCGAGACCCACCCCGTCGACGAAGCTACGAGAATCTTGATCACGGTCACCTCGGTCTGGGTGTCCCTTCGTCACGGCCAAGGCTGGGCCTCGACACCATCACCGCCGGCTTCGGCCAATTCTCGTCCCGTGCACTCGCGCACCGTCAGCAGCAACAGCTTATGCCAGACGCGAGCTTCAACCTTCCCGGTGACGTCAGCAGAAATGAGCCACATCACGTCCCCACCTCTGGCGCAGCAACAGGTCTTGGCCCAGCTGGCGCCGGTTATGCCCAAGAGGACATTTTCGTCGGGCGCGGCCTTCATGCAGCGGCGCCAGAGCAAACTGGGCGGCGAGGCGGTCACGACCGACCACGCCACGGAGACGGACGACATGGGCGGGCTCGAGAAGGTACCCGAGCCCGTGCCTATCAAGCGGAGTCTAACAAAGAGGATCCGCGATTGGGGGCATCGGCTCGCGTCACGCAAGACGGCAACTGCATAAAACACAAAGAAAGGAACACGGAAATATTACACAAGGAACAGGCGCATAGACGCGGAAACAGGACCCAGTGGGCAAACACCCAGCAGACCATTTTTGTAGCTGTATTATTATCCACCAGCATAGGTATACCCAGAGATTTAGAATTCAATATCATTCAAAATACTTTTTCCCTGACAGTGACCCGTCCTTGCGCACATGAACCATCGGCAACAGCACTGGTCGACGACCTTTGGCCGTCTTAACCGTGGTTTTGGCTGCTGCTGAGGTAGCTTGCCTCGGCATAAGTCACAAATGACGGGACAATGTTTGTCCATCTAAACCTGAAGCAGCGATCGACATGGTAGCCAACACTGGGCAGCATGTTCACGGCGTACCAAGACTGGCAAACGGTAGACAGCCCTGGGCGATGCGCAACATAGGGCTGAGCGGGTGGGGGCTGCCTTCCGGAGCTGGCAATTGAAGGGGGGAGGGGAAAGGTAAGCAGCCCGGGTGCAGCGGTCCCGGGAAAAATGGGTCCCGTCCGGGGAGACAGAGGGAATCAGAGTTCAGAGCTCAGAGCGTGATGCGATGGATCCTAGCGGGCGATCCTGGCGAGCGATGCGCACCGTGGCTCATGATCGGCGGAGGGGCCCCGCCCCGAGCATGGTCCGTGTGTGGGGTTTCCTTCTTCCCTGGCGCACAGTGTCAAAAACACCAACGGCCCCAGCTTTCCCGAGGCAGATTAGATGCGTTTCTCTGTCAGACTCGTGATTGACCACGCCGGACCCTTTGTTCGGAATCTGACAGGATGGATCGACGGGGGGTCGATTATTGAGTGTCTTTTGGCAAGAGTTGGTCTGAGTAAGTGGCGTCTTTATCTCAAAGAAGCTCCCTCGATACGAGCTGCAGTCGAGAAACGTCGTCGCTGTGATCGAAACGTTGCAACCGGGTCAGTTCTTCCAGGACATGGCGACTGGAGTTGCTCAGGCAACAATATCGGTAGTCAAGGAAGATGCATCGGTATCACTTGGCAAACTTACTTTTACCGGTCCCCGTGGCTTCGTGCGGTGAAAAGTCGGTGTCTGATCAGTGATGTGATCGAGGGGAAAAAGCAAGGGTGAGTCAGCTGTCCATTGGGAGCTTGACAGGTCGGCGTATGCAAGCGACAGGAGTGAATCAGCAAGTGTAGTCTCGGGTACTGTTACCAAATATGGGCAAAGGGGGTCTTGGTATTAAGCCACAACAATATTTCCCGTCATAAGAAACCTGGTTTCAGTTTCTCGAGACGTGGGTTCGAAGATCGCGCTTCAAGTCGGATCTCTGCCAGGACATAAGTGGTGCTGCTGCAGGTTCGGAAAATATTATAGCAGAAACCAAACACATCCCTGGAAAATGATAGCGAAGAATGGGCGGGTGCAAACTCGGCTGTATAACGATAATCCTCTCCGGACGCGAGGACCGGCGCCATGGCCCAGACGATTTTAGGGCTGCCCGCCGAGTTCAGGTTCCTGAACGGCATGCCCATCCTCGAGCCCGGTGGCGGCATGTACCAGGGCAATCCTTTAACTGCGCACGCGAAGGGCAAAACATCTCGATGACTTGGACAACAGCATGCATCGGTGGCTATGGAGCCCTCCAACACGCATTGCCTTTTGATCAGGATGGCCCGCGTAGGGATGATATTGAGCCGCACCCGAAGTTACTAGTAGTGAGGCGGCGCCGACCCCTGGAGACTACGTTTATTGACCCTTCGAGGAGTTTTACCATTGGATATGCCAGAAGGCGGCAGTTTGGGGTATAGCTTGTAACGTCTGACAAGATTCAGTCTTTTAGTTTCAAAAAATGGCACCACGCAGATTCCAACTGGCCGTATGAGTATGTCTCTTACCCGAGCAAAGTCTTTTTGACTGATGAAGAAACCATAGAACTGATTGCTTCATCGGAGGCCTCGCTGCATGATCTAAACCCCAGGGTATCTATTTCTTGCCAAAATAATTCATCAGCGTGTTTGCCTGCACCGGCTCCTGCGCTTTCTTTGGCGACTCCCTCTCGGCCTTCTTGCCGACCTCCAGCACCGCCATCAGCTCCTCGAATTCGGCCATGGGCACGATGCCCCCGCTGGCCTCCTTGTGCCCCCTCGCAAACGAGCCGCCCAGCCGCTCCCGCAGCGTGGGGTCCTCCGCGCGGGCCGCGACGTCCTGCAGCACCTCAATGATGTTGACGGGCGGGTCTTTTGCTCTGGCACACCGCGGTACGCGGCACGAGAAGTTGACCAGGTCCGGCAAGTACCCCTCGTTCGCAACCAGCACGACCTCGAGCTTGGACGAGGCGAGGTGGCCGGCCCAGCGCGTTGCTATGACGGGGTGGACCTGGGCCTGGGAGCTGATGCGGAAGACGGCGACGCGGCCGTCGGCGGAGAACTTGGGCGCCGTATGGGTGCAGCGTTCCACCTCGGTATTGACCTCGGACCTTGCTGCGAGGAGGGTCTTGTTGGTCAAGAGGTCCTTTGGGGACTTGGCGGCGCGGAGGGCTTCCCAGGCGGAGGGGACGTTGTACGATGCCGTCCGGCGCGGGGCATTGATTAGCGAGACGGCGTCGTTAAGGGCCTTTTTCGTGTACGTCTTGAAGGTGGCCTTCATGTCCGGGAAGGGAGGCTCCCATTTCAGGGTGTTGCCCAGGTCGCCGTGAGTGCCCATGACGCAGAGCCAGTCACAGGCTCCCTCGACCCCGTCGTGGAGGTCTCGGCAGATGAGGTACGTCAGCAGCGAGCTCGTCGCAACGGGGGGCGAGTCGCAGGCCGTGATATGCAGGGCGTTTTGTGGATGGTCGTTCGCGAGGGCGTGGTGGTGGTCGATGACGATCCCCCGATGGAGCGTGTCGACGAGAGGCGGGGACTGTCGAGATCCTTGATCCAGGATGAAGATGTAGACCGGGGAATGAGAGGCCATGGCCGAGCGGCAGGACTCGTCGTGGATGTTCTTCCCTTTTGGCAGGAGGTACGCCGTGATCAGCGACGGGTCCAGGCCCAGCAATACGAGGGTGCGTTCAAGGATCGCGCCTGGAGTGAGGCCGTCGGCATCCTTGTCCGGCACGATGAGAGTCGGCTTGCCGGCAGACACGCTGGGGAGCGTTAGAATGGGAGTCATGGTTCATGTACGCGTCTGTGATTTGGGGGGGGGGGGTTCCATCTTAATTTTCCTGAGGCGATGCAATGTAAGCGTTCATTGTGACGTACCACTCGCGGATAAAGGCCCTCGCTGCCTCCATCTTGTCGTCTGGCGCAGGCCATACTATGCCACCGTGTTCATCCCTCACTGACGGCGTCAAGTGATACTCTGGAACCTCGGGCTTCGGTTTCTTGATGATTTGCTTTCTGTTTGAGAGGTTCGCCGTTGCGGCGGTCCGTTTCATGATGTGGAAGCCTGGCGTGTGTTGAAGACTGGGAGTGGATACAGGTTTACTACGAGGTATGCCGATGCAATATCTTGCCTTGAATGCTGCTTTACACACCAATAGGCTCATGACTAGGTGATAGTCGGATGGTGTTGAGCCTCACTGTCCGAACTTGGAAATGAGATACCCCGTCACGTAGTCGTTGCGTTGCGTTGCGAATGTCGTCATAGAAATCTTGGCGTGGCTGGAGCGAGCTAGGTCTTCATACGGTGTGTATATCCGTGAGACCGTGGTTCACACTGTACAGAACCACATTCGTGGAAGTATTTCTGTGTTCATATCTATGGTCCAGGAACCGCTATGCTAACAGCAGTGGTCGAATCGAACCTGAAGCTTACGAGCCAGACTCAACGCGGCCAGGTCGGGTGGTATGACGATAACTTTTAAGTGTCAAGGAAGCGCTATTGAGGTCCGTGTGCAATCTGATTACTTGTTCCTGGTATTTGACCAATCTTGTTAGGTGATTTGGATGCTGATGAGACTAGTGTTTTGATTGTCTTTCTAATCTCTCTTTGGATGATTTTGTTGGCTGCTGTATAAAGACTACTGGCGCTGTCCTAGAGTTTTGTAGATAGAGGCCCCGCGAATATGGGTGCAGAAACTAGACAAGAAATAAGATCATAGTACGCAAGACTCTACATTTGACATTCCCCAGCTTCAAAACTATATTTACGGAAAAAGAGATTCTTTTGAACAAAGCGTAACCTTTCCGGCTCGGGGGATTTGATTTGCCGCAAAGAACATCAGAAAGCAGCTTTACTTGAAGTGTGACAAATGGTATCTTGTGCTCTATGGAAATTACAGAATTGCAGCGTAGTTATTACACATTGTGTTACAAAGGGAAAACTCATTTCTTGTAATATACCGCAACATACTCTGCCTCATATGTCCCTCCAGAAAGCGTTGTACTGAGAGGCGTCTTCTTACCGTACACTGCATCCGGAAACGAACCGCCAATGGCCATGTTCAGCAACACAAAGTGAGGCTTCTGAACGGTCTGGCTCCACGTGGCGGCTGGCAGTTGCGACTGGAGGACCTGGTGAACCTGGACATTGTCGACGTACCAGCGGATGGCCTCCAGAGACTTTGACCTATCGACCTCGACGGTGTAGGTGTGGAAGTTCCCAACACATCCTTTTGCAGGACAAGCACTGTTAGCACCAAGGCCGGAAGGCTCATTACAAGCTCCCCCGGGCTGTGTGCCGCAGTGCAACACGGCCCAGACCTGATCGACGTTGTTGACATTCTCCATAATGTCGATCTCTCCAACAGCCGGCCAGTTCCTGTGAATGCAGGTTAGTTAATGTGCCAAGACCCGCTAGCCTTTCGAAAGACTCACCAGTAGTTGCCACGGTACTGAGCACCTAGGGTCCAGAACGCCGGCCAGTAGCCAATGCCCGCGTTGCCTCCCAACTTGGGGATTTTCAAGCTAGCTTGAATCCGCATAATCCCTTTTGGCGGGGCCATAAAATCGGCCCTTCGAGACTCGATGCGCCCAGAAGTCCATGCGCCTGTGGCAGGGTTTTTGATGGCAGTGATCTGGAGATTTCCCGCACCATTGACCCGAACATTGTTGGCATTATTGGTGTACGTCTGGACTTCCCACGTGCCCCAGTTCGCTGGGCCGCCAGGGTAGCTGGTTCCAGTGTCGACAATCCATCTGCTTGCGTCAGGCAAAGTGTTGCTCTTGCCTGTAAAGTCGTCGTACCAAGCCACTGTGTAGCCACTGATCCCAGGAACCTGTGCTTGCACCGCTGGAAATGCTAATAGCAGTGTTACCACCAAGCTGAGCGGCCCCATCGTGAATGGTGGAAGAAGAAGAAAGTCTTTTGCAAGAGTTTCCGTTCGAAGGATCTGGGCGATGTCGCCGCGGGATTGGCGCGATGGCTATGTTTGGAAATGCCAGTATCGGCAACAAAAGTTGAACGATGGCGAAGCAACTGAAAGATTGAAGTAACCAGAGAAAACCCCATATTATAGGGGAGCAACACAGGGAATTTAACTATCTTCCATGGAAGGGAGGAACCAGGTTTATGGGCCTGCGCTTGCGTGAGGATTCTTGGATGCTCCCGCAAAGCCCACTTAGGTAGCTGCGTTCCCTCGGGAAATTAAGATAGAGGAGGGCCCAGAAGTGGTACCAGGCGAGTCCAGTCTCTCTTCCCAAGCCCTAGCTTTGCAGCTAGACACGTTTCTCACCCTGCCTCTGAACAACAAGGACATGGTTCGCGAGGTATGTGAAAGAAATGAGACAACATCGACCATACGCAATGCGGAAGGTTTGAGACATCTCGCAGCTTCGGCAAGAGCACTAGTACCAATGCAGACTATCGCCAAGGACGGACGAGCCCACTTGGCGAGTTGATAGCTCCAAAATTGCTGAACGTTTCTTCCGGGAGGTATGAAACGTTCACAATACCCGAATGCCGCCACTACGGCTTCGATGTCATGTAGGGGAGCATTCTTCATGACCTTGGAATGAGGTTGCGTGTATCGGCCAGATTTAGTAGCCGTCCTTTCTGCGGAGGAGCTATTAGCGTGCTGGCAACCTGCGATGAGCGAGTGTTTACGAATTGCAAGATGCCTTGAAGAGCCCGAAGCCTGACTGCGTTAGCAATTTCGGGAAGTCACTGGTCATGTTTCGGTACTCCCGCGAAAGACAATAGAGGTAGTAGAGGCAGTGGATATATATAGGAGCATAAAGCCTTGAAGCATGAAATCTATGTCACCATTTGTGCCGCTTACCCGTTCACATCCAAAAGCGGATCTGCCTGCGATATGACCCCCTTTATCAGTTCATTGCTGCGAGGTTGCTACCTTTGAGGGCCCCATATAATTATTCGAGGGATCAAAAGATCGATGGTTATCAGCATCGCGCTTGAATATCAGGACACCCCTCATGTGTACATTCTGTGTCTTTTGATAATCTTGTCAAGCTCAACTGCGGCTCAGCATTGACCGGAAACGGAACTATCAGTCGCGTTGTCGCGCCGCTACTCAAGTGTGTCCTCCTCTTTCTTGATCATCTTGTTTTCGACTCGGTGGCTTTCCACAACCGAAAAATGGAGAGCTCTCTATCTGCCATAGCGTAGTCATTCGGTGTTGTAATTGTTGAAAGAAAGAAACGCCCAAGGCCTTCTGTACCAAGCAGGGAGTTGTAGATAATACCAAATGGCGAAGCAGAGAGCATCACTGTAGACTTGCTAGACGCAAGAAGCCTTGGTGCCAACCTCATTATCCTTAACCCTTCTATTGATGGCTGCCATCGATATTTGATGTCCTCTGGCATGTACAAAGGTCGGGTTGGCTCCTTCAATACTGTCTGGTCGATTTCAGCAGGGAAAGATTGTGGGAGTCGGTTCCCAGTTTGCAGAAGATCCTGGAGGTTCATGAGTTGTATAAGAGCGGAATTGTAAATCAGCAGCTCTGCTGCCTGTTCGGACGTATTGGCGGCCAAAGGTCGAGAAAGCAGATCCTGAACCCAAGAGCTAGGCATGTCATCTTCTTCTACTTGCATCACAACTTCGGATATAGCGTGCTGGTTGGCATTTTCCCAAACCCGTCTCCAGTTATGCAAGTCAGAGATCATTACTAGAATCCTAGCATCGGCTGCGGTCTTTTGCTCGCTGGAAAGTGGTCCAGCCGAGAAGGCGATGGAGACTGTTAGTCCGGGAACATCTACAAAAATGTCCATCAAAAGATCGTACGAGGTCTTTGGATGATACAACCATGGTATTGTTTTCCAGCGGACGTGGTCGAAAAAGGATCCTTCATCTCGGTTGAAGCATTTACAAGCCTACGAGAGGATTGGTTCGATATTAGCAAAACTTTCTGGCCAGAACATTACATAGTTGAAACCAGATTTCCTAGAAGAGTCTTACATGTATAGCTCTCATCTGACGCAGGCTTGTCAACATGGGCTCTTGCTGGAAACATTCCGGCCCGCACCACTCGATGATCCTTGCCATCCCATAGTAGTGAGGAATATTGACTTCCTGTTCGACAGCATACTGCATATTGTTAGCAAGAGATAGTGTATTCTCTCAGTAAACCAAGAGCATGATTGACTTGGTGCGGAAGTAACTCACTTGGTAAATACTCAGTATGATGATTGTAAAGGCCCATTGAGCCAAGTCTCTCTTCGACTCAGAGAACAATGCAGATTGCAATGCCCGTATCACACGACCATTAAGTTCGTAGCCCTCGGCTAGCATCTCAGGCTCTTGGAATCTACTACCCATGAAACCAAGCGCCGTCGCTAAGCTTCCGGTATAATCCGCTCTCACAGCCCCAGGCTGCATCGGCCCGTTCAAGGACATACGAAGTAGAGGTTTCCAGAAGGGACCCCATCGATAATTGGCTATGAGATACGAGAATGCCATTTGCTCGCGGAAAGCTGTCAATGGTAACTCTTGGATTAGGGTTGGCGGCGGAAGTGTGACTTTAGTTGTGTCAGAAATGCGAATCAATTGCTTAGCTCCGCCGCTGGCTTCTGAAGCGGTGCTGAAATGCTGCATTCTCAGAGGTAGCTCGTATCCCAAACACTTGTGTCCTGAACTGAGGCACCTTTCGCAAGCGGGAAGAAGCTTGTCTGAAAGAAAAGAAAGGCTGATTAGTATATAACCAAAATTCCCTCTTAACTGCCCTGATCTAACCAATAGGTTCCATGCACCAATAACTCACCGCACTTTACTCTTCTCCGTCGGCAAGTGTGGCAATAGCCACTGGAAGGAGGCCGACCCATCTTGTTGGCTATCGCAGGCTCAATGTTGTATGACTGATGACTAAATAATAACAAACCCTGGTACAATGATCGAGAAACGGAATCTTACGGAAATTCTTCGGGTGCCCTCCGTAATCCCTAGCTGAATAATCTACCCGAGTAAAACTGATATGTTGAGTTTGCCTGAGTGCTAAATGAAACAAAGAGGTTAGCAAGTTTCATGAGGATGCTGCAATTACCAAGTCTGTTGTTTATAGTGACAGGATATCGAGCCGTCGCGAAAAGCAGTCGCTGCGAAAAAGTAGTAGTCGAGGGAAAAAGAAACAAGATTAAGTAAGCGATTCGCGCGCGGCTAAGTGGGATGGGCTTTAGTCAGCTTTGCCTAAATATTCTGCCTGCATCCTTGTTATCCCCCCTTGGACCGGTGTGCTGTTAAGATGTTGATTGCACCGAACTCAGCCCGAGCCATAATGATTGCTCCGTCATCATCAAGTCAAGGTGCCAATACTAATACCAATTCCAAGACAGAGGGGTGGCTTAAAGCTTCCGACGGGGTCATCGACATTCTGCGGCTACGCAAGGATCTTGTCAGCCACACAACCTAAATGATTGCCGCAGGCAGGAAAAAGTAGGTTGGCAGTGGACTTCGTTTTCACTGAGGAAATTCAATCTATATATCAAAAAAAGACTTTATTTGTCCTCAGCATGCAATACAGTGCTGAACCTGCGCTGCATCAAGGGTAGTTGCTGAGACTATGTTTGGGACAGGCCTAGCTAAGCCAGCCAGCCCAGGATTTGGGCAGTAAGACAAAGACGATGCCGCTCTGAGCTTACAGTTGGTTAACCCACTAACTTCTTGTCGCGATGCCCTCACGCGCATCGCGCAGCCTTGTGGGATTTGCGCCGGGGCCGGATTAACTATTAGTCCGGTCACTTTGTGCCGATCCACCACGGAGGATACGTATTTATACGTTTCGGACAAGGCAATCCTGCACGTAGAAATCCAAGCCGTTTTCCTTATGTCTTTTCCACCCTAAGTGGTGACTCTACGACACTTCTTGTATGGTCAGATCTCCCACAGCAGCCCCTTTTATGCCCCAAAGTCGCTGGACTTGTCATCACTTATCCGACCCAATCCCATGCATAGTTCTTCCGTTCCGATTGTCCGATTGTGCCATAACCTTCAGGAATGTCTTCTCATCATTTCCAGGACCAGCAAGGCTTTCACAAGCCGCGTACGACTTTTGACAGCTTTTGGTCCCAAGAGCCAACGAATTTCTACACTCCCAGAAGTGTAAAACTTGCAGCGAACAGCGACTGTATGGAACTTGGTTCGTTTATTATCATCTTTGTTCGCCCAAGACATATGTCGCTGTCAATGCTCCCGTGTTCCAGTGGTCTCGCAGCTGCGCAATCCCTTTAAGTCTTTGACCCAGGTTCCTCAGTAACTTATCACAAAGGCCGCTTCTTGACTTATTCCACTACTTTGGGTGATCGACTATAATGCGCTCTTCAAAGACCAAAGTGAAAGCTATGGTCTTGGCACCAATACTCCATTCTTCGGAAGTTCAGTGTCAAGATGACGATTGGATTGGTCTTCGCGACAGAGCCGAAAGACGCAAGAGACAAAATCGCCTCAACGTGCGGGCGCACAGTACGAGACTCCTGCTTCTCACTTGACTACCTCGATATATACAGAGCTAATGTCACTCATAGGAAAACGCAAGGCACTTGAAGCTCGGCAAAAGCAGAATGATCCCACCTTAATGGCTGCCTCTTAGCAAGAACTCCCAAAACTTGATCATTGCTCAAACCCTGGTCTACAGATCGTCCACTGGACTCCCACGAACGGGCCCAAAAGCTCTACAATGAACATAGACAATATATTTAGCTCTGTCAAATCGTCAGATCATGGAAAGAAGCATTGGCCAAGTATGCCAAGCGCAATCAACGCAGAATCGGCCCCATCGCCATGTTCGCAAAATCGCCGATTTCTGTGGTCCCTTCAAGCTGGCGAGACGAGAGTGGAAGGCCGTGTGGTTTCGGACTTCCAGAAAATGGCCTTGTGGCTCCCTCTCTGCGGAGATCACCTGATCCCTCTCGTTTACTATAACGTATTTCGGGCAACCATCACCAACATCCATATTCTCTCTCTGACCTCACTTCTGCCGTGCCACTGCACACCCGATCCCCATAAAATTATTCTCTTCCCGTCGCCTTCAACCGTCCCGCATACATTACAGCCTACAATGCAGTAAAGAATAAATTTCCTCATGTTGGAGGCGGCTTATCCCGGCAAGGGAATGGTCGCGTGCTCCGATATGTTCGTCCTCCTCCTGAACTGACTGCGAGAGGCGGACTCGAAGACACTCCCCAAGAGCCCCCACAGGTGAGGCCTGACGGTTATGTGTTCCAAGTACTTACGAATACTAACTGGCTGGTCTTTGAAACTATAGAACCATGACTATCTTCTGGCTTTTACAGCTCGGCTTAGCTGGGGTTGGCTACCAGATCAAGCATGGGCTGCTGTGCCTCCCTGACCGAGATGACTTCGGGTAAGTTCTACTGGACTACCCCAGCTTGATGAACGTTTCTCTTTGGAACCAGTTCTACTCCAAGGAGCTCCTCTTCGGTCCTCATCCTCGTGAGGAATAGTGTCTGCCAGATCTCCAGAGTTTCACGTCTGGCAAGGTCGCTGTGGTAGAAAAGGAGGTTTGATGGACAATACTCTTTTAGGTGGAATAAGGGGCCCGAACTACGAGACCGGAACTTTTTGGCCAGTTTTACTTTTTTTCTTTACTTCTTGAGTGAACACCCGAAGCTAGCTACTCGTTTTAACGCCTCAGACATGTTCAGCGCTATCTGCTTCTGCATTATCTCATAATCTCTCGAGAATCACCACAGGCTGTCCAAGTTTCATAAAGATATCAACAGGGTCCCTAACAATACTATTCAGGACCTGATGATTCTCGTTCCCTTCAAAGATCCAGCGACTAATACCCCAAAGCCCAATAGCGACATATTTACAAGAGCCTAAGCACTGGGCTGCGGGTCAAATATTCAAGAACATCAAGAGAAATACTCGCAAGGGACGCGCTACTGAGGGGTTGGAGGTTTAGGTTGAGGTTATGGATGGTCCTTGCAAGCACATCTTACCCTTGGCTCTGGACAATGTCCGCGTCCCCAACGCTCAACTCTGAACGAGATAACCATGTAGGTAAGGGCAAAACTCTAAAAAGCGGACCTGCAAATCTTGGACTTTTTTTGGTGGACAAATAGGTAATAATATAGCTAGAAACCACTCTTCCTCTCCGAGTTTGAATCCAAAAGATGTCTCTATCTCTTCAATAAACCCCTTGTCTTTGAAAACTGGCACCAGATTGGATAGGGAGTGCTGTGTGTGTGGTGTTGTTCACAAAAAAGTAGTTGATGACAATGGATTAGTAATATTGGTGTTCACCAGCCCTCTGTCTTTATTGGTACCGAAATCCGAAGTATTACTAATGGTATCTTTGGTGTTCGGTGTTCGGTAATGGGCTGGAAACAACTAGCGGAATTACATTAAAAACAAAGCCAAAGCGGATAACCACAAATCCGATGGCTCCTGCATGATGAGTAAACAAATCGTCTAGAGTTTATCAGTACTTCCTCATTGTACCTATTCAGTTGTGTTGCAAAGTACACTAGAATACTTTGATGCACTCGGCTTGACAAGTTGTATTTAGGTGTTTGAATTACTTTCTAGCACCCAATGCCGGAGACGATGCGGATTACAGATTCGAAGCACCTGAAGATCCACATAATGAGCCTAGAACCTGTTTTGAGGCTGAGTGGCTTTTATTGAAATATCCTTGATTAATTTACCTTGTGACCTGAGTCCGTCAGCCATTCATTAACATTTTGCACTGGTCAAACAATTGTGACGTTGCTGTATTCTGTGTGTATTTCCAGTTTTACTTTGCATTAACTAGTTTAAAACTAGTTGTTAATAAAACAGTTTGAAAGGCACGTATTGGCATACGGCTAACTACTAGGGGCTGTGTAGCGCTGCTTCATTTGGATAACCATGTATAAGTACCCCCTTCCCTGTTCAGAGAAGTTGAGTTTAGAAATGTGAAATCTTAAACGCAGAGATGCATGTGACAAGCCTTCTTCACCTGAGGAACAAAGGGCATATGTATTTCTGTCGCTAGCATAGCGGTGTCTATAACGTGCAAATGCCCTTCACACCCTTTCGTTTTCTTTTCAAAGCAAGTCTGTCTTTCAGCAGGTAGTAGGGATCCATGATGGTAGTCAAGCAGACTTCATCTAACATTTCATCCGCTCCGAAGTTGACCCTCTACTGCCAGAGGGAGAGACGATAAATTGTGTATCACAGGCTCCAGATCAAATTTGTATCGTTCGGCGCACGAAACAAATTCAAAGTAATTAAGGCACAAGGCAAAGAATACAACGCGCATTTCTGTCCCAAACAATAATCTATTTCGTGGGATAGCTGCACATCGCAACGCATTGTCGCTGATATCAATCGCTAGATCGGGAAGCCCAAAAAAAGAGATTTTACAGCTATGCCGGCTCTGCTTTGGCTTACTAAATGGAGCGTGAATTCGGAAGCACGGAGAAATTTATCTTATTATTCGACTTTGTTTTCGGGACTTAGGCGGGAAGGCAATATCCGAGCTACAAACAAGATTGTGGATATTTGTTCTAACCCATAGAATGACCCGCATGTGCCAAAGGGTAGACTGCACTCGGCGTTCGGTAATTAGATTGTGACTTCATACAATAATTGAAATTCTTACGAAATCTCACCTGTATTTCTTTATAAATCCTGTCCTCCGTGTCCCCTACAAGTTCTCCAAATCATGTCGACTCATTCTTGGTTTCACCAAAGACCTTATTTCTATCATGAAGCTGAGTTTTCTGATTTTTTCGTTCGGTGGTGCTGCTGCACTGAGTGCCGGGCAGTCTTGCCCATCTCGGACCGAGGCGCCGCATATCAACCTGGACTATGGTACCTTTCGCGGAACCAGCAACTTCACGGGAGTCAACAGCTTTCTTGGTCTCCCATTCGCAAAAGCAGGTCGTTATGAGAACCCGCGAGTGATCGGTGCGGCGGACCAACTAAAAGGCGTGCAAGACGCCACCAAGTATGGTCCTGAGTGTCCCCAGCAACCTCTCAGCCCTCCTTTGGATGAAATCCCAGAAGAAGCTTTAGGGATTCTGTCTGATGCTGCGGCTTTGCTCTCTCGAGGAACCGTGACTGAAGAAGAAGAATGTTTAAGTATCAACATCCAGGTACCGGCAGGATTGAACTCGACAACCGGCTTGCCTGTACTCCTCTGGATACATGGCGGCGGTTTTGGCACGGGAGCAAGTGCGGTCGGAACTGAAACTACGCCTCTGTCGGCAAGTCTCCATAGTACTCGGTTTTTTCATACTGTTCGCTGACAGAAACCTTTTCTCAGGATATGATAAACCAAGGAGCAAGGATTGTGGAGAGGTCGGTCCAGATGGGTCAACCAATTGTTTTTGTTTCAGCAAACTATAGACTGGGCCCTTTCGGAGGCTTGGCTTCTCAGGAAATCACAGACGCAGGTGTAGCCAACTTGATGTTGAAAGACCAGTAAGTAACAGGTCTCTCTGCTTCAACCTTCAGACTAACTGTAGCCAAAGACGTGTGGCCATGCAGTGGATTCAGAAATATATTCGCGCGTTTGGAGGCGACCCCACGAAGGTTACTCTCTTCGGCGAGAGTGCTGGGTCCGCATCGATCGCGATTCACATGATCTTAAATGATGGCAACAACGATGAACTTTTTCGAGGCGCCATCATGGCCTCTGGTGGCATTTGGAAGTTGAAAGACTACCACTACAGGCAGGACTTGTTCAACTTCATGGCCGAGCAATCTGGATGTGGCCAAGCTGAAGATAAGGTCGATTGCCTGAGGAAAGCCGACTATGGTTTGATCTACAACGCATCTCAACAGTTGCCGAGCTTGGTCTCATACCGAGCTACCCAGGTCCCTTGGTACCCACGACCTGATGGCTCATTCCTCAAAGCCTCACCTCACCAGTTACTCCGCTCAGGGAATGTCGCAAAGGTTCCGTTCATTATTGGCGATGTGAAGGACGAAGGAACCATATTTAGCATTATTGCCGGCCTTAACCTGACCACAGACGCGGAGTTTCAAACATATTTCAAAACGTACTTTTTCGACAATCTGTCCGATGAACAAGTCAAAAAATTCACAGACTTGTGGCCGCAAGATCCGGCTCAGGGTTCCCCTTTCGATACGGGCGACTCTTATGTTCTCGGTCCTCAGTACAAGCGTCTCTCCGCTGCTATTGGTGACTACACAGTAAGATTGCAATTCCAAATTGAATAATCATGAGTTCTGACACATAGACCAGTTCCAGTCCGGCCGCCGTGATCTTCTCCAGCATACGTATCAACGCCAAAAGTCGTACACGTATCTTCTTGATCAGCAGCCATTTGACCACTACGAGAGTTTGCCTCGGTTTGGTAACCTTTCTAGACTTGCAGCGCTCGGCTCGTTCCACACTTCTGAAGTTGACTTGAATACCTTTGGTGATATCTCACCTACCATCTCAAACAACTCACTAAACATGATGTCGACATTCATCGCATTTGTGAATAGTCTCGATCCAAATACTCATGGTTTGGAGAATCTTCCCAACTGGCCGGTGTGGGAGCCAGAGAATAAACCGATGTTACAGTATGCAGAAAGCGGATGTACAATTATTAAAGATAATTTCAGGGAAAGGGAGATTGATTTCATCAACAGCAACGCTGATGATTATACTATGTAATTTAGAGAAGATGTCCGGGGTCAAGGATGTTTATTGAAGCGGAGAGACTGGTGGAAGGGTTTCAGATCCTCCTTTAGGAAATGAGCAACATGGAGTAACAAGGTTAAGTTGAGATGGCCGACTAGGAACTGCTGTTTGCTGTTTGACGTTGAACTCGCCAGTAGGCTGTTAACTACCTTCTCGAAGGACTCGGCCTCATTATGTAAACTCAGTGTATTTAGTGGGAAGGATAGAACTTTCTTTCCTGCTCTTAAGGCCATTGTTGAGTAGCTTTGTCGTTATAGGTATTTCCAGGAAGTCTAATGTTCCATTTTGTTTTCAGTTAGTAAGCTTCCCCAAGGTCGTCTTTCTTGTCGCTGACTTTGCACTGCGTGGCTGCCAATAATCAGCCAACAGCAAGTATACTTGTACGGGCTCCTTGACCACATTTACTTGAGGAGAATATAGGACAACTTTTCCTATAAATCTCTAATGCCCGCTGTGATCTATTTCTTGTGACAGATATCAATTTTGAACAAAAAGCAATCCAAACCTACGCACAAAAGTGGTCAGCGATACGTCCACTTGCATATTTCCACCCAGGTTGGAAAGTTTGAAGCGGTGGAAGTTACATTTCGCTTCCCCCAAACCTCTTGTAGAACATCTTCAGATTGCATGCATGCTTTCCATTCAGACTTAGAATATGCATTGTCCAGCCAAGAGCTGAAAAAATGACGGTGATTAGTTTTTACAGCTTCTAATCCCGCGATGAAGGCGGACCAAGCTGTCTCAGGCCCATGAATTCCATTCTCCTTCAATGTCCCATCGAATAGGTGCAGCTATTCAACTACCTGGTTTACACTTTTCTGCAGTAGAGTACGACTGAGTTTCCGCATCCGACGATAAAAAAAGCTCATTGAAGCTGGACTCAGTGCTCGAACCATGTAAACGTGCGGTTTCTCGTTTCCAGGGTCTTCGGTCTTCTGCGTTAATTGGGACCTTTTGTTGAATGCACGAACGGTCTCCTCTAGATATGATGCTTTAGGCCGAGGTTCTGCCATTTAAATGGTGTCTAGCTTACTATCCGCGGGTTCAAGTCGGTCCATGACGTTGGCTAGTCTTGTGATTTGAGATACTAGCCTTAGCCAGGTTTCGGGAACCCCATATATTTGCGTGTACATGTCTTTCTTTTCAGGGAATAAGCTCTCCAGGTAAATATCCTGATCGCTCGGCGAGACAGTGTATTGGCTTTCAATGTGGGTAACAGGACTAGAATGCAATTGAAGCGGTTCCAAGTGAAGAAGATTATCGAGCGTGATTTCGGGATTGATTTACGGCTGCGATTTGGTACGAGTTGAAGCATGCCTTCACTGGGGCTCTTCAGCTTCAGTTCAATATTCAAGAACAACTGACATTGGTAGTTTTTCCCTTGTTGCATCAGTCCAACTCTCTTCGTGAAACGTCTTCGTGATTTCTGAAATTATCCGCATCCAAGCATATAGGTTATGCAACAACCGCGTTCGACGCTATAGCTTTGGTTCCATCAATCTCCGAGCACGTATCAACTGCCCCATGGCGAGAAGCTACACGCATGCGTCGAGCTCGTTTCCAGATAAAAGCTACGCGAACTTGAGCTAACGATGTTTCAGGTATTACCATTACCTACTGCTGTTGCAAGTATTGCCACGGTGGCCATCAGCTGCTCTTTATACTTCGACTTATGCGGAGAGATGGTCTCAGCCTTGAGACTGAGCTTCAAATGATTCTTTTCAGATTCGTCGCTCGGCTAGAGATAGATTTCCAGTGACCGCCGGGTCTGGGATAGTTCAGAGAAATTCTTTGAGTTGAGGGAAAGATGAAAGGCCGACACAGCTATGATGGCATAGAGATTTGCCAAGTTGGCGTGTCGGATAGTACCGATTTGCAGCCCAGGCATCGTCAACTGACTCAGAGTGACGATGGCGGAAGGAACATTCAGAATTTTCGAAGGAGACTTTTCACTGATAGGTGGTGATCCCATCTGGCTAATAATTTCGTCATAAAAGTGCTTCAGCAGTTATGGTGCATTCACTGTTGGGTCTTGCTGCCATGCCGTGCTTTCAATGTTTGTATAAAGCGGGACGAGCTGGTTGGTCATTCTCCTCCGAATTGTTTCCGCATTTTTGATCAGCTAGTTTGGCACCGGTTCATTGAAAGAGTTACCAGTAGGTAGTCAGCTGTTTGCCATGCAGGATTCAGCATGATCAAGAAATTCCAAGTCTGCTGTTGACAAGTCTCCCTATTGCAAGAAATCTAGGGACTTCGAGAGTAGATTGCCAACAGCATCTCTCAGGGCCGTATCATTTCCGACAGGCTCAGAAATTCCCCTGATGACTATTCCATCGTTACACTTAGATAGCACGAATTTTTGTCAGTCTTCTAATAATGTTGTTCGAACTGACGCTGGAATTTCCGTGCTGGTTGGGTCGGTTATGTGTCCTTCTGTTGATGGGGCGATTGTTTCATTGGTGGTAGCGAAACCCTCGTTACGTGACAAACAGCCCCCGTTGAAAGCACTAAAATGTCTGACAGTGAACCCATTAAGGCCCTAGGCTTCCACTGTCTTTGACCCTTCTTCTGTTTTCCCAAGAGCAGCTGTATCAGCTGATGGTACACCGGCAACTAGAGCCAAGCTCATTGACATTCTAAACTGTTCTTCATGTATCTGTCATTATTAATGGTGTGCGCGGAGAATATTTTATTACGTCACAGAGATGAAACTACCGCGGTACAGATGTCTCTTAGAAAACTGGCTAATATCGCTTGCAGGTAGGACGACGGTGTCATGTTGTCTGGGTTGGTTGTAACTAGCCAGCAAACCGCTGGCCAACAGCCACAAGGCAATTCTGAGGAACAGCCCCCCCTTCACTAAGAAATTGCCTCATCGCGTTTAAGGTGCTGTCGTTGACATGTCCTACACCCGTCTAAGGAATGCGAACCAATGGGTTTGGGCCTTGTCTTCCGACTTGAACCATGCTTAGACTGAGTTACGCAATCTCGTAAGTCGTTTATGTCTCGTCAAGTTTTCTTGCTTCTTCGTCAATTCAGCATCGTCTTTATATATTGTAACCTCTCTTTGACATAAATTTATTCTTGTTATGGCCCGTTATTCTGGGTGCTCCCAGCTGAGGTCCTCCCAACTAAAAACGTGCCAAAGGTGTTGGCGCGGCGACCGCTATGATCTGGCTGGCAAAGTTGATCATTGGTGTTTGTGTACTCGAGACACTAATCAAGATTGGAAAAGGCACTTATGTCTTCTGTGTCGCTGCCAGTGTCTTTTCCTTCTTTTCAATGCCGAATACTGCTTACAAGTCTCTAGAGCAGGTTTCAGCATTACTTAGTAACAGCAGCGTGGTTGAGGAGCAGGATATTAAAACTACGTGGGATAAAGGAAGCCAGTGCAGCGATTAGGCGGTTGGCACACAAACCACACCAAATACTAAGGTCCCAGTATTGTCACGAGTGCACCTGAAGTCACCGATTACAAAAGGTGACTAACACGATTTCTAGTCAGCGAGAAGATGACTTTTCTCGATGCGCCTTGGCCTGATCAGGGCCGCGGGCAAGCTTGAATGGGGCCTTTTCACGCATGTAGCAGGCTAGTCAGAGTTGCGGAAGCCAGCGTTGACGGCGGGAGTTGAGTGAGACGGCATGGATTGCGGCTGGGTAGAATGATGAACCGATGGGTTATGAAACTCGCGAGCGCCACCAGGAGAATTGAGACATCGTACCATGCGTAGTGGGAAAGCCCAGCAGAATCAAGCGACGGATGATGACAAATAGAATTGTCCCAGTCACTTTTAAGACATGAATGCTGTCAGCCAGATGAGATTTTGTAACTTACTCTTCCTTCCGCCGCAATGAAGAGAGTTAGGATAGCGGAAGGTTGAATACCTTCGGTGATATGTCAAACAATTCACCACACTTGATGTCATACGAGAGGCAATCTGCTTTTCTTTCGACCTGGCTTGACATGACTGTAAGTCAATAATAAAAGGTATTAGACAGATACCATATGTTGCACCAACCATAGAATCCGAGCGTCGCAATGCTCCATAATTAACATCAATTCTCAAAGCATCCCGACTTCGTTCAGGTTACGAGTGATAAAGTTTATTCTATATTGTTTTTTCTCTTAGCAGACTGAAAAAATATCGTCCTCGTCTTCAGGCGTCTTTGAAAACCATCCTCAATGTATTCATCATACCGCCGTGGTCTAACAATTAAGCCAGGAATCGTGTGCTGACAGAACCTCACACAAGGCAACTTAGCGACAGTCAGGTAAGTGAGAAAGCGGCTCGGCTGCGCTTAGATGTCGTTAGGTAGTCAAATGAAGAGAGCTCTAGCGCCGAGCCAATAGTCCAGCCTTACATGACTGCAGCGTGTTCGCAGGTCTTGCGTCTGAGAGCATATAGACGGATAGATGGCTCGATATATTCAAACACGACGGCAAACTACAAACTATAACCGGATGGTCCGCTCTCCAATCAAATAATTATTGGAAACAAGTTTAATGAAATGGCAATACTTGGTGTGT